AAAAATATAATATCATTTTTAATATTTTATAGATTTTATATTTATATATTTATAAAAGTAATTGGATTAAATTTATTATCCTCTCATATATTATTATACATTTAGCGTAATTTTAGTTTATTTAAAAATTAGAATACAAATATACTATACCAATATACCATTATATTATTTTTATTGTATATAAATTAAAAAATTAATAATTTGTATACTATACTATACTAACATATTATTTGTATACTATACTAATAGTATAATATACTATATTATAATATTATTTGTATACAAAACTAATATCTTTATATATAAATATATAAATATGGAAAGATATAAATATATGTAAAAATATAAACATATAAATATATATAAATATGTAAAGATATAAACATATATCTTTAATATTTTGTAAATGTAAATATAATTTATATATATTTTTAAATCTTTTTCTAATATTTATTTTTAAAAATATAATATTATTGGTAAAATTTAATATTTTTTTTCAAATATATAAATATATAAAGATATAAATGTATAAGGATATAAATAAATATATAAATATATCAATATATAAATATATCAAAATATAAAAATATAAATATATAAATATATTAATATATAAATATATCAATATATAAATATATAAATATATATAAATATATATATATATAGATATATATATATATATATATATATATATATATATATATACAAATATATCAATATTATCCCCTCATATATTAATATACATTATTAGCATAATTTTAATTTAATTAAAAATTAGAATACAAATATACTATACTATACTAATATACAATTATTTGTAGATTTTATATATTAAAATATATAAATATATTTTTATTTATAGATTTTATATTTATATATTTATACGGATATACATTTATTTGTATATAAATATAATTTATTTGTAAGTTATTATTAAAAGATCCTAGTAGCTCGGTGGTTGGAGTTTCGACCTCCAACTCTAAGGTACCGGGTTCGAATCCGACAATGACAATAAACCACCTAATAATAAGTTAAACTTCTAAAAAATATAATAAAATTAAGAGATACGGGAAATAAATATAAATAAAAACTTAAATAAGCAAAATATAATATAATTAAGAGATAGGGAAAATAAATAATAGATATAATAAAAGTGTAAATAAATAAAAAGAATTAAATTTTAGTGACCGATTCGGTGACCGAATGGAATCGGTCACTATTTCCTTGATCACTGATTTTAGTGACCGATTCAGATGACCGATTATATATTAATAGATAGGGAAAATAAATAATAGATATAATAAAAGTGTAAATAAATAAAAAGAATTAAATTTTAGTGATCGATTCGGTGACCGATTTGGTTATATATAATCGGTCACTGAATCGGTCACTAAAATCAGTGACCAAGGAAATAGTGACCGATTCCATTCGGTCACTGAATCGGTCACTGAATCGGTCACTGATTCGGTCACTGATTCGGTCACTGATTCGGTCACTAAATCGGTCACTGATTCGGTCACTAAATCGGTCACTGAATCGGTCACTGAATCGGTCACTAAAATCAGTGACCAAGGAAATAGTGACCGATTCCAGTTGGTCACTATTTCGGTCACTATTTTAATTAGTAACCGATTTTGCAGATTTAGTGACCGAATTTTCGGTCACTATTTGATGTTTTTCTTGTAGTGATTAAAGGCCAACAGGAATTAAGAATTAAATACAAATCGATGCAGGATCACTCAAAATAAGAAAGAAGCAAATTATTTTCTCCAAATCAGTCCTAGAAATTTCTCTTCACAACGATCCAATTTTGTAATTATTTATTTGAGAAATATTTGAGTTTATTGTAATTAATTTTATGATTAATTTCTTTTGTTCAATCATTTATGTTGTCACCGCATCGGTACCTCTTCCTTTTGACTCAACTAGAGTGCAATTTTCCAATCGCACTTTCACCTTGACAAAGCCATCAATGTTGATAAAGATGTTTTTGTCTTTGTTCATGTGATTACTTCAACCACTATCCAAGTACTAGGTTCCATTTGTTTCATCACTGGAGTCTTGAGTAGCATAAAAAAGATGTTATTAAAAGTCATACTCTTCAACAAAATTTACTTAATGCTTGTTTTTATGACATTCACTAGTGAAAAAATGACAGCTATTTTAAACTTTTTATGTCGGTTTTCCAATTGACATAGATTCAAGCGACATAAAATATAACTTTTTATATCGGTTAATAATCTATATCATACGTGTTTATTATGTCAATTCTTAACATAATTATCATAAAAAGTCTTATGTTAAATATTTTTAATATAATCATATTTCTTACAAACATTTTATCAAACAGTTTTAATGCAACAAAGTTCAAAAATTAAACACAAATATTATCCACATACAAAAAATAATTAAACATAAAATATAGATATATTCACTTAAATTAGATAAAAAAATCATTCATAAAAGAAAAGATTAATAAAAATAATTTTCATATAACATATTAGAACATTCTATTAAACCAAATATAAAAATATAAACTAATATAAAAAAATGAGATAATGTTTCTATATTTTACCTTTGTTGTAAATGAGGAAGAAACAAGAATGTAGAAAGTAGTGATTCAAGCATGAGAAAAATAAAAGTAAATGAATGTGATAAGACAATGAAAAAGAAAAGAAGTTGAGCAGAGTTATTTAACGTACAAGAAAAAAATAAGAAAGATGAAGAGGATCAAACAAAGTTAAAAATTTTAAATCTGCACACTTTTTACGATGGTTCAAATTGAACTATCATAAGGACTTTTTATATTTATTCAATTTTGAACTGTCATAATAAGTACTTATTATGATGGTTCAATTTTAACCGACATAAAAAGTGTCTCATATTTAAAATTGACAAAGTCATTTTTATGTCAGTTTAAAGTTGAATTGTCATAATAAGTACTTACTATGACGATTTAAAATTGATTCGACATAAAAAGTGTCTAAATTTATAATTTACAAAATACTTACTATGACAGTTGAAAATGGAACCAACATAGAATTTACTTATTATGATGGATCAATTTTGAACCGACATAAAAAGTCATAAAAAATAAGTTTTAATTACAAAATTATCACCATTAAATTTATTATGACAGGTAAATTAGAACCGTCATAATAAGTTGTCATAAAATATTATTTTTGTACAAGTGATTTTTTTTCTCCACATGTCCAAATTTCTTACAATGTTACATTGTGATTTTTTTTGTTTTGCGATATCACAATCTTTCTCTATGTGACTTGACTTTTTACGGATGTCACATAAAGGATATTCTCTTGATTATACTTAGAGAAACTTCTATTTTTCTTTAGTTTTAGAAATTTCTTCATTTTTTTTCCTTTAATTTATTTATTCTGAGACCATAATTTAAACTTTGATTGAAAAGTATTTTAATAGAGTCTTCATTATACTTTTTTAATGTTTGCTCATATGTTTTTAAGAGAGCCTACTAATTTTGTCACTAATAAAGTAGACAGATCTTTGATTTGTTAATTATTGTTACAATTGCATCACATTTGTGAAGAATAAAAATTAGAATTTTTTCAACAATTTTCTTGTCAAGATTATATTTCTCACATGTTCTCATTTGGCTGACTATCCTTTTAATTATAGTATAATAATCTTTGATGGTTTAAGACTCCTTCGTGTTCAATAACTCAAACTCACGTTTTAGAGTTTAAAGTATAATAGTGTGTACTTTTACACTTCCTTAAAACTTCTCATGTAGTATGTGTTCCACGCCTCTTTGGTATTTGTAGCATCCATTATCCTTAAAAAATTTTCATCAACTACGACTTATTGTAGAAAATATAATATCTTTGAATCTTTCTACTTGTTCTCCGTCAACTCCTTCTTCTGAGCCACTATAGGAGTAATGAAACTATCTTCTAGAATCCTCCATAGATCTTGAGAAGAAAAAAAAATATCTTTATTTTAATGCTCCAAAAATCATAATTTTCAACCATGAAAAGAGGTACAATAATAAATTAAGAAAGGTTGACATTAGTCATTGGTTGTGATTGATATGAAATGTAGTGGGACTTTTGAGATAGTTGGATATTGTATTATGCTTAGTAGATGACCAAATGTGACTCTGAGATCACTATTAGTATTTTAGGAATAGAAAATGTTGGTTATAATGAGGAGTTTATATAAAGAATAGTTTGAGAACTTAAAAGAGAAATCACTATTAAAAAAATAGTAAATAGTGACTAAAAAATCAGTCACTAATTAAAATAGTGATCGAAATAGTGATTAATTTGAATTGATTACACTTTCTTTGATCAATGATGTATAATGACCGAATCAGTGATCGAATTAATAATAAATTCAATGATCGAATCAATTATCAAATTAGTAATTAATTCAATGACCAAATTGGTAGTTAATTTAGTATCTAAATTAGTAATTGAATCAGTAATTAATTTATTGACCGAATAAGTGAAATTGAACATGATCATCAAATCCACTTAAACATAAATATTTCTCACACCAACATATTGTCTACACCATCCTTAGTTACTTAAGTATCACCCATAAATTTTATGCTTTAATTTCTCCATTTGTCTTTTTCACGAGTTTCTTCCATCTTCTGTTCATTGTTAATCGCTTCCTTCTCCTTTCTAGTTTTTACTTTTTGTCTCCTTTTCTCTTTCTTGTCACGTGACTTGTTACCTTTCTCAATTTTTCTTCCTTTTCTTAACATACCCCAAAATGGAATGTATCTTTGGAATTTCCATTTCCACAAAAATAGGCTCCGTGTAAAAGCATTTTTGTTGGATGTCAAAAAGCTCTCAAAAGAGTTGACTGTAGACATGACCTGTGGCTTTCTATTTCCACCAAATGCTTCTCCAAATCATCGAGCAAGACATTTTCCATAAATGGATACGGAATACTATAAATAGTTGTCATTCGTAACACTTTCCTATCATCACTCACAACAAATAGACATGACCTCTTCATAAATCCCACATCATATTTTCTTGTTCCATCTGAATATCTCGGGTCCAAAATTTGATAGCTTTTGGATTTTGTAGAAAACCTTGTTTCTTTGAATTCATTTTCTTTTCACAGATGATACGCCACCTGTCATTTTTCTTTACTCCAAGGCCATGCCAATATTTGCCAAGGACATCTTCACTTCCATTCGGTGGAATTTTCTCATAACCAAAATGAGGAGCAACGTTAGGATTGAATAATAAGGATTTGTGTGATGACTCTAGGAACCACGATGAATCCAGCTTCTTGACACTTTTGTACAAGTTACGAATGCTTCCCAAGGATATTTTGTGATTCTTCTTAAGGTCCATAATAGATCCAAGAGGTGTTGTGAGGAAGCTAGCTAGCAAATCGATAAAATCTTCATTTGATTCAACAAATATAATCTTATGATGATGTGATTTTTTCACTATTGCCTTGACCTCTATATAACCTGTCGAATCATTCGACCTAGTAGTTAATTATGATTATTGTCATGTACTATATTATTGTATTGGAAATAGATACATTTGGGTGAAGTTGATGGAGGATCATTTGGGTTATAACACATTAAGTCTTATCACATTGGTTCTCAACACACTTGACTTTAACAAAAAGGGAATACAGTATTCTACCTTCTCAAATTCGGTTAAAGCACTCCAAGCACATAAGGAGATCCAAAGTTCAACTCTTGATTGTAACATTTGAGAGTTTTTTGGTATATAAATTCATAAATGGAATTAAAAGTGGTCTAGGTGGAACTTGAAGCTAGGAATTTCGGTCATCATTTGTATAAGGCAAAATTAGTCTCACATTTCTTAGGTGAATGAGGGAAACAACTAAATATATGACCCCTTGTGTAGTTTTTTGAAATATATTCAAAATAAAGTCAAAAGTTATGTATGAAACTTACATATTTTGTTTGTACATCGAATTGACTTTTCAAATGTCTTTAGAGATTTCTTTCTCTTATTCTCCTGACAAGGAATCTTCCTTGGAGGAGTTAATGTCAAGTTTCTTTAGAAATTTGAAAAAGAATTTTGGTTCACCTTAGATGCTTAAGATGTAAGGCTTTCGGTGTCATCCATAATAAAAGAAAGGAGATTATTTCCATCATAAATATTGACCTATTGTCTTTTAGATGATCACTGTTATCACTTCTTCTATTAGTGTGAACATCAAAACAACATTTTCTCACATGTGATTATGTTAAACATTGTTTTGTTCCTCATTGTCTTCTATACCATCCCAATCTATTAGAAAACCTGGTGTAGAATCAATATGCACATAACATTTTCTCACATAACACAACATCTCTTGAAATTAAAAATATTTCAGATTCAAGATCATAAACTTGTCACCTTTTATTACTATAAGAATATTATAAGAAAACACATTTTGAAGGGTGACTAACAAATTTATCTCTTTTATATACTTGGTTATGTACATAACATAACATAAAAATCTAAACACACGCAAATGTCCAAATCGAGGCCTTGTACCATATATAAAATTTCATGTAGTGTTTTCCCATTTAAAGTAAGTGATAGGATTCCATCTATCAAGTATCTTGTAGTCAAAATACATTCCCCCAAAATTCAATTGGGAGATTTGCTTAGAATAGTAAAGCATGTACCACATTAAGTATAAGCCAATATTTGCATTCCTGACATCCATTTTGTTGTAGAGTTCCTATACGTGATGTAGTTACAAAATATCTTGCACCACAAAATATAATGGTTTGATAGAGCCTCCATAAATCACAACCAATTAATTGAAAACAATCCAAAGTTTTATTATTATTAACAAGAAATTTATTTTTTGTTTATTTTACTATAAGACAACATCACAAACACTACAAGAATTTTACATATTAGCTATGACACATTCTGTAGCTATTTTATAGCTAATCTCTCGCTGGTATATTTTGCTACAGATTAGCTACGGAATAACTATGGAATAATTCGTAGCTAAATCCAAGTAGCTCATTAGATACAAATGCATTATCTCTCAAATTTGTAGCAAATTTTGTCGTTAAACTGTCACTAAGTTCCTCGCTAATTTAAATGATGAAATTTTGTTTTTCTCTAGCTAATTGATCTCCCAAAACTTGTAGCTAATTCGTAGTTAATCCTTTACAATTTTTCTCTCGCTAATCCGTAGCTAATCCCTCGCAATTTCGCTCTCACTAATCCGTAGCTAATCCCTCGCAATATTTCTTTCGCTAATCTATAGCTAATCCCTGACAATTTATCTCTAGCTAATATGTTAATTCCTCGCAATTATTTACTCGCTAATACGTAGTTAATCCCTCGTAATTTTTCTCTCGTTAACTTGTAGCTAATCCCTAACAATTTATCTCTAGCTAATATATAGTTAATGTCTCGCAATTGTTTCCTTGTTAATCTGTAGCTAGTCCTTCGCAATGTTTCTCTCACTATTTCATAGCTAATCCATCACAATTTTTATCAAAATTATTTTCTCGCTAATCCGTAGCTAATCTCTTGCTAATCAATAGTTAATCTTTCGTTAATCCGTAGCTAATCTCTCATAATTTTGTTGACGTAATAAATATTTCTGCTAATATATCATCATAACATTATAATATCAAATGTTTAACATTTAAATTATTACTCATATTCTTGAAAAAAGAAGATAAACTTATCAACTTTCAATATAAAAATATTGTTTAAACAAAGTTAAAATGATGTTTCAAACAATTAAAACATAACAAAAATAATATTTCAACTAAAAAGTTTTGTATAACACAATTAAAAATAGAAACAAAGTTTAAAGTACATTTTCATCATTGTTTCTTTAAGGCAGATAATAAATCTTTCTTGAAAGATTGCATTTTTTTTTGCATTTATTGTTGCATGAGTGTTTGCATTTCTGCTTGTATTTTCATTTATGTTTGCATCAATGCTTGCATATTAGTTTGTGCCTGCAACTATGTTTTTATCTGCTCTTGCAAACTAGATATTTGTGTGACTTCAAGTGATGAAGATGAAACATGTGAAATATCAAGATTCAAACTCTGACCTATACCATAAATTCAAGATTCAGACAATAATATATCAACATCACACCTAATATTCAATTTATAACTAGTAATCAATATTGATTAACAATTATATGATCAATATATTAAATGTATAAAATATGAATACCATTTTTTTCAATTGTTGTCCAAAGCTTCTTGACCGCTCGTGAATATCTCGAGTTAATTTTTTTTATCCATGACACTTTTCCATAACCTACTGAATTAATTTGAATACCTAAACAATTAAGTGAAGTACCAAACAGTTCCTTAAAAGATATGGGTGGCGGCTGATAGGTCTCGGAAAGAAAATTTCTTGCACGTTACTCCATAAGGTTTTTGTGTAAGACAAGTTAGACCTTCCATGAGGAACTTCGTTAACAGAAAGCCACAACCTCAATTAGGTGCCATGGTGGCTGCCTCTCTCACTCTTTGCATTGTTTGTGATATGAGTCAAAAATAAGGTACTTCATCAATCTGAGCATCAACAAGACAAGAAGTTGGGCGAGCATCCCATTTGACGCATGTGTTTCAAAGAAGAACTCCTTCATCAATCTTCCCCTCATTCATAAGAACTCTAAAACTGCATTGAAGCTTGACTCACTTGGCTTAACACCCTTTGCCACCATTTCCCTCAGACGTGACACTACTTCTCTTGGTTTTCCAATATTGCAATACTCATTTACTGCAATCCCATATGCTTTCACATTGGACTTTATCCACCACTAACCATTTCCCTCAATTGCTGAATAGTCTCATCAGACTTTCCCTTAATACACATTCCCTTCAACAAGCTAGTATTTGTGGCAACATTGTCTTTCAACCCATTCAATTGCTTCCTACTCGTCATCTTCTTTGCCTCATCCACTTCTCCACGCAAACAATCACCTTCAATTAACACAGTGTAGATCACAACATTGGGGAACACCCTCATTCCACAACTCCAGTGTCTCCCAAACTCCACCTCTATTCGAGTTCTCATCAATCAAAGTTTTTAGGGGTTACATAGCCTCTGAAATAATCTCATAAAGCCATTCAACATCCAATAAATTTTTCATTTTCAATAAATAAAAAAAGACCTTAGTTTCTGACATCTTCAACTTAGATAACAAGACACGCCACCTAGGAGTGAGAAACTGCCACAAAGGCATTTAACATGGAAGAAGGACATGGATTAACAAAATTACTAACAGACGGACTAACTTGCCCATGAGAGAAAAACTTTCGGCATTAATGTGGAAGAAATTTTATTTCAGGCACCTGTTTGTCATAGCCTATATCATTTAGGAACCCATTTGGTACTTCATTCCTACACAGTTACTATCTTTCATTTGACCATTGAAGCATATTTCCTTTCAGAAGAGAAGTGGTTTTCACAGGCTCATTGACTTTTGCAGGATTGCTGAACAATGCTTTATCTATCATGACTCAGCTCCCTCAATATGCAAGGGAAACCTTTCTAAAATAACTATTCACTTTGCATCATCATATGGCAGCTAAATCCCTCAATATTCGTAGAGTTAGATCATGGGATAGTTGTAAAAGAATCTGACAAGTTTAACGAAATTAAGTGGATGATCAGCACCTATAAGAACTATTCAGGGTGACAAAAATAACAAAAGCTGATCATTATAAACACTATTATCTTCACTAATGTCAACAATTGGAAATAAATCTAATACTTCAAATGATGATGCCCAAACCGCTTGTACAACAAATTGAAAGATTTTTCCTTGTCAGCTTAGTTGTCACAATTTCTCTTCCTCTTAGTTAGTGAAGTCCCCCTCATAATTCACCTGCTCCAATCATTATTCTCGATTTGTGGTCCTATATAACACAATTTATTTGTAAATTGAACAACACAATCAGATTTATCAATCAATTGAGATACTAAAATAAGATTGCAATGTAACCTTCACACACAGAACATTAGTCAAATTTATCTTATCGCTTAGCACCATTATTCCTTCTTTTCTAGCAGATGTTTGTTTCCTGTTTGGAAGCATAACAGGACATTCAATTATTTCTTGAATATGAGATAAGCATTATAGCCTTCCTGTCATATAATCCATTACATTGCTCCTATCTTGACATTATTTAAAATATTCAATAAATTCTGCCATTGCTCACTACTAAGGCCATTAACATCCCTTTTATCCATATTTGTCATTGACATTACTGTGTTTGTGCTTGTTCATGAAATGAGCATTGAATTGACTTTAATCGATACTCCATGCCCTTTGCCAATAGTAGTTGTGTTTTGTTGTCCTCCCATTTCCACGTCCATTTATTCTTTAGTTTCCATGAATGTAATCACCCCACCAATCTCGATAGTCAATTATTTGAAAACAACCATCAGATTCATGTCCTTGCGATCAGAACGACTACATGAAATATTTTTGTCCTTTCCTTCATTTTAGCTAAGTGTTTCAAATTCTATTTGCATGGTAAAACTCATCACCTCTTTGCTCTTCCTATTTACGAGATATAATTTTGACACATTATTCCTGCACTAGTATTGAATATATTTTGTTCAAAGTAGGCAATGGCTCTTCAACCAACAATTTGATCTTACAATCTTTTATTTAGATTATTTCATCAAGTCGCATGAGAAATTGATGAGTCTTTTCTTTCTCAAGCTTCTTTTGTAAAATTGATGTGATGCTGCATATTCATAAGTCATATCTGCACAATGGCATTTGATGAAAATTTCTCAATTCTTTTCATAATTCCTTGAGCTTTCCTCAATTACTCCTATTTGCATTCAGTAAGTTAAGTCCTCAATTATTGTCACAAAGCCGTTTTTTTATGTCTTCCTAAAGATCTTGTGTTACCTCCATATATTAATCGCAATGTTGGTCTAATGGTTTTCATTATCCATGACACCAATAAAAATATATTAATCTACCGATCTTCGAGATTCACTAATTTTTTTATAAAACATGAATTTACATTGTTCATATATTATAAAACATTAATTTGCATTGCTTAAATAAAACCATTAATGGTAAGAACTTGGATATATAGTACTAGATGGACGAACCCTTAGAACTCACACAAAGAAAAGAAAATGGGTAACCATAATATGTTTTGTTAATATGAAAGTAGACAATAGAAAATACTTAACAAGTTTAAGTAACATGCGTGTGGAATAAGAAAAGACCGGGGATTAATAGTCTTTTGCTTCCGTTGGTGAAGATATACGTGCAATGATATCTTTCACATTATTGTTTTTAAAATTGATGTTATTGAGGTAGAAGATATAGCAGTGAGTGTCAAATTAGAAACTTGTAAATACTCCATAAAATACCGCAAAGAAGGAATACCGTACTTTGAGGCAAGAGTATAAAACCCAAGAACATCTAATAAATAAAATAAACTCATATCTCTTCCTAATTAGTGGCATTTAAATAAACAATAATTTTATTTAAGTTAACATATCTAACCATATATCATAATTTATCTAAATTATTATTTTAAACGTGTGATTTTAGTTCATAAAACAATCTTGAGAATTATGAAAAAAAAAAAGATTGTTATACCACCTATTTTTAGTTTGTAAAAAGAAAAACCCAAAATATCCTGAACAAATGGCACATATAAAATCCAAAAACAATTTAGAAAAAAGAAAAATCATCTAACAGTTATGTTTAATAATATAATAAATATTTTTAATTTATTTTTTCTTATTCAGTTTTTTTATGATTATTATTGCAATAGATAGAGTTGTTAATTAGTAGTAGGTGTTATTTTGATAGGGTTGAAGTTATTTTTGTAGACTTGTCACAATGTCTATGGTCAGAGATAGCTTACATAGATTTCGTAACCAAAATCAGCAGTCAATCTAGAAAGATATCCCGAATTCTCGTTTTGTATAAAACTTTATTAAGTTTAATTAACCAAATTAGATATAATAACGTAAACTAGTACGCAAACAACTTGCCCAGGAAAGATGAGAACGATAGTACTTTAGGGCAAGTTTATGTCAGAAAATAATTAAAAGGTTCTCAAACTAAAAATATCACTGGATAGCAAGATGATTTTTTTATTAAAGTCAACATTAAAACAAGTTACCGAATTCCAATCCTTAAAAAGTAACGTGAGAACAAAATGCCAAAATTCAAACTTAGACTTTTGAATAAAATATATATTGAATGAAAAAAATATATAATTAAAACAAGTCAGTGAATTTCAGACTTTTAGTAGAATAATTAATGGAGAAGAGGAGGACTAGGATTTTCTGGAATACACTTAACTTCCTATATATTATTTATCAGTCAGTATAGTAGCAAAGAATCCCGTTTAATGCTAAAACCAGGAAAATTTAAGAAAGTTTAAATTGTCAAAACCTCAAATGTTTGTCAATTTAATCTATCTCTCAAAGGCCAAAGTGTACCTTTACAATATCGCTGGATGTCCTTCCAAAACCATTGGCTACCTTCTTCATGGTTTCAAATTTAACCAGCTCCCGTCTTATCTGTTTCTTTCTTTCTCTTATAGCACTAGACGGGACCTCTGAGGCAGCAGATGAGATTTGGCCAACCAATGTACTTTTTTCATAGTCCAGTTGTTGATACAAATTTTGTAAATAGGTTTTTTGAGCTTGAAGGGTTTCTTCAACCACCTTATATTCAAGCTCTTGTGACTTTCTAAAATCCTCGAGAACTTGATCAACCTCAACCTCAAGTTTTAATGATCGAGGAAGAAAATCATAAGATGTCAACCCAGTCTTATCTTCAAAATGGTCATCATTGACTTGCATCACATTACCATTATCTGATAATCAAACACAAAGATATTCTGTATATTAAGTTGAATGCATCCAATAATAGAATGTACAAGATTTGTCACCAATGTCTCAGATGAAAAATGGTCATTCTGTTTCTAATGTCTTGAAATTCTTATACCTAGAGTTTTGCACCTATATATGCATGTAACCAATGCTATTGTATTAGTAGCAGCCGCAAGTAGTAAAAATAGACAGTATAGATAATATAGGTGAGGTTATTTACCCGTAGAATGAGCATCCTCCATCCAGATGTCTTCAAGATTAGTTCCACATTTAAGCTGAAGTAAACCATCAAGTTTATCATCAGCCCTCACAATTAGTAAGGGAAAACAAGCAAGATAGTTTCAATTTCTATTACCATAATATCATTTAAAAATACCTTTGAGATGGCTAATTCAATATACCGCAGTAGCTCCTTTGCAAGAGGTTTCTCTGAACCCCGTAAGAGACAAGCACCAAGATTCAAAATCTTCTTCAGAATTTCATCATCCAAATTCATAGTTTTACAAGTTTGAAGAAGATTATTAACATGAGATATCATATTAGTCCTCCCATCACAGCGTCGACAATAGTACTGGGCATCTAGTCCAATACTTCCTCCAACTTTACCAGCCAAAAGACATCGGAGAGCACATTCAATATGAGCAACGTGGCCACAAATTCCCTCATCAGTATTCACTGGACACTTGATATAACTAAAGCCACCATAAGCTGTACAAATAGTTTTGCTACAGAGAATGCAGCAACAATAAACGCAAAACCCACGTTCAGAACAGCAAATATCACAAGGCATGACTGGTGAATACTTTTGTACTTCTTCTAATACTAGGCTAGGGCACTTCCTATTATTTGCTTTACACTTGACATCATCTCCATCTTCTGAGTTACATGCTTCTTGTGCTATTTGTTGAAGAGGTATGGCAGCTATTGGCGCTGCATTGTCTGTGATATAGAGCAACATATGCAGTTATTTAACAATGTTATATCATTTTAACAGGCAAAACAAACATAACAGCATGTCACTTGCTGAGTATCATTGTAAAACAGAAAAAAGAAGAAAAACTAAGCAACTAAGATGCAAAAATAATGGTTTTATAGGATAGTTCACAACTGCAGTTGCCCTTGCAATGTCAAGGATTTTTAACTCACCACAACCACATCATGACAGCACGACTGCAATTGAAAACCAATGGAGTATATTGCATATAATCTCACCGGTCTCAAGTAATATGTTGGTAGCAAAAATTATTTACCTATCACTAATAAAATTCATATGCCTATAGATTATCATGTCAAAAACGTTACCTTTATTATTCAGTGTTATGTAATTAGATTTCACCTCTTGATTAAATAAATGTTTATCTATATATAGAGGTGTCAATATGGGTTGTAACTCATGAGCTAACTTGGCTCACCACGAGTTCGAACCGGATTTTGTTCAATTTTTTTCATTTCTACCAATAATGGATTAAAAATAAAATAAACCCGACTCACTTAACCCACAAGTTAAATGGGTTCGAACCGGGTTACAGTGGGTTGACCTGCAATCCACTATTCATTATAAATTTTAAAAATAATTATATTTAGTAACCCCAATTAATGTTATCCTGCCTTTCCACTTCTACTCCATGCCGCTACAAGTCAAACCCTCACTCAAGCTTATCATTAATTATTCGCCGCACCATTGCGTTCATCACTTCACTTGAGCCATTTGCCATCCATCCACCGCACCAATACACCACCGTGTTGATTGTGTTTGTCGCGCTATCACGTTTCAGTCATAACGTTTGTCGTGTTTCAGGCCCACATTTTAGTAGTTTTATAGTGTTTGTCGTGAGACCGCGCCACAAGTTTCAATCACATTTCAGTATTTGCCCTGTCACCGCAATTGTGGCATCACTAAGCCACTATGCTTCAGTTGTACCACAGCGTTTGCCTTACCTCCGCGCTATTGCATTTCAGTCCCATAAGTCAGTTGTGATTATTAGAAAAAAAAAAATTTGAAGAACAAAAAAGTAAATATGGGTTACCAACCCGTAGTGAATTGAGCTGGATTGTGAAATTTTTGGCTCCCCATAAAGTGAGTCGGGTTGAGCTCACCCGTATAAGTTGGATTAGCCCACTTTAACATCCCTATCTGTATGTGCTCATAACAGTGTAATCAATATTAGAATTACATATGTAAATTCAGTTCAGAAAAAATGCCAGAACAATAATTATCGGCAGAGAGTTTATCAACAATCAATGAAACAAATCGTTAAAAACAAAAATGACCACAGAAAAATGAAACTAACGCATTCAAACCAGGAAATGAAAAAAAGAAAGGCCACCACAAATTAAAAGGATGAAATAAAGGAAATTGATAGAGAAAAGGGATATGCTTGTATCAAATGAAAAACTAGATAAACGCAACATCGGAAAAATTGTATTAAAAATAGAAGTATTGGATTTTGTTTAGGAATAAGTGACAGGAGAAAAGAGACCATTAGCTGATAAAGATGGTTGAGCGGGAATCTTCCAGGAGAAAGAAGCAAAAAAGGCATTAAGATCAGCGTCTGGGAAATATCTCTTGACGTAGCGTTCAACAGCAAGCTTGCTTGCAAAGATGTGTTGTTTGCGGAGTGTGCTTGAACCTGACCCTGTGTTCTCCTTCTCGTCCTTCAACATGCGGAGGCGACTTGGCAAATATAGATACCGATCCTGAAAGTGGGTACCGTTCGGGACAATTCTCCGTCCAGTTCTCCACCCCCAAACATCACCCTGTTCTGGCCAATTTTCAGGTGCGTATGGATACCCCTCACCAGACATTTCAGGCATCACTGGCTGTAAATTAAATAAACCGTTATCCTACATCTCATTGCAGCGTAATCAAAATTAGAGTTACATGTACAAAACTCAGTTCAGAAAGTTTAGAATCATTGAAACAAATCATGAAAAAAAAAAAAAAATACACAAAGAAAAATGAAACTTCCACAATAATGCAAAAGGCCACCGCATAATAAAAGGACGAAATTAAAGGAAACATCCCCATTATTACTACCTGCTAGTTCAATGAGGAAACTCTCCAGAATATAAGAAATCTAACTATCAGTATTATACACTAACTTCCCAACTTAGAGATTCACCAAATCAATACCCAGAGTTTCCTTTCTGACTCACCACTTCCGAGTATTATACATGGCAAATGTAAGTTTTCAATAAAAACAAATTAACAGTGTATTCATTAAGATTTAACATAGAGCTATTAGAAAAACTTTACATTTATTCCAAATTTGGTTCAAACTCAAACTTTCCATAAATGTTGTACAACCTTCATCAAAGAGGATGATCCAGCCAAAATTGTTTTCTCTTGAAAGCAAACTTTACAGATAGTTATCCTCCAAATATATTAGGAGCAATATGACAATGCACCACTTTTGTATACTCCTTCGTACTTGAAGGTTTAGGAACATCTTAATTTACCGGCACACAATGAGTTAATCATGATATGACTGTTTACTCATAATCAAAGTTCAGGCGGTGAAAAACACCACCCTTTGCTCTCAAACCATATCAGTTCAATATGACACCTTCACTAATCTCTTACTAGCTTCACTTCTCTTTAACTATCAAGGTAAACCAACCTTTCCAGGAGTGATAAATTCCTGCTCTTCTGCATCCACAACCATACTATGCCCAATCCTGCGTGTCAAGAACAAGAAAACAGCTCAAAATCACAAGAGCTCATTCCAAGGAAAATGCTACTAAAGCATCGATTTAAAACTCAGAATCACAAGTCGTTGACACAGGAAAAATAGTTACCTGTCCTTTACACTAGAACACGGCTCTGTCAACTCTTTGGCAGTAACTTGGGCAGCACAACCATCTTTCTTTAGATTTGCTAATGGGGTTTTACCAGTCAACTGCATAGAATAAACATCAGACAACATACATAATCAAGCAAGGAACACTGTCAACAGACGCAAAACCCAATGCACATAAACTCACTTGTGAAACATCTTTGAAAATTCCGGACCTTTCAGCATTCATTATATCTGCTCACTACAAAGAACACTGGTAGACAAACAATAGCATAGAACCCACAAAGCTATCAAAGACATGCCCATTAAGAAAAAAAAAAAAAAAAACGGAAGAAAAACAACCAATGATATTTATGGATTGGGATTGATTAGTGGCAAATAAAACTTAATTCATATGCATAATTAGCTAATAATAGTTTGATTAATGCAGTGGAAGAGCATAGAAAAACAAAATTCACCTTGGGAATCAGGATGCAGATAGAGAATGACACAGCGGCCTCCAAGAACTAGATAGAACTGCTAACAACCCTTACATTCAATCATATTTATTAGAAACAAAAACGATGTAGTTTCACTCATTTGTTTTTTATATTTTATGAAAAATTAATGCATATTTTTTTTTCATTTTTAACTTATATTCATCCTTATCTAATTTTAATAAAAATATTTTATTAATCTATTAAATTAAATAATACTTTTTCAGATAATATAATTAATTATAAATTCTTGATTTTTTTTCTTTAATGCTTCCAACCAAAACATAAATAATCCTGGATTTATTTACAACCAAAATAATTTTTGCCAACGCCAAAAGAAAGCAATGAAAAATTGTCTATTTTTGTGTATTATTTTTTGCGTAGAGAGTCAGTAATATGTATCATACTCTGAGAATAATATATATATATGAGGGGCTGAAATTAATCTGCTAGAAAAATTAATTTCTTTGCTAAACGTAATTTAATATAATAAATAATATATTTTAAAAGAAAAATATATAAATAAAATCTCTAATAATTTATTTATTTTATGAATTTATTTATTATTTATTTATCATTTATGTATAAAATTCAAGATAAATAGTTGGATAAAAAACAATTATTTTTCTATCTCCTTATTTATTTTATTTTATTTTCTCTTGTCATTGTTTTTTTTCCTCATCATTTATTCATTATTCTATTCTATTTTTTATTGTTTGTTTTCTTTTATCTTCTTTCATTTTATTTTATTCTTCTATTTAAAAATAGTATATTAAATTTTGATAAAAATATGTTAAAATAATTTTTTAAAATTAACATTAAAAATAATAAAATATTTATGTTAAAGAGTTTTTTATTAAATATTTTAAATTATTTAATTTAACTAATCATAATAATCTAATTTAATTATAATTAAATTAAATTATTAAATAAAAAAATAACTTATAAATATTTGATATTTTTAATTAAATAAATAATTTATTTATTAAAATAAAATAATTCAAAATCAATTATTTATTATTATCATAAATAAATTATTTTTTATTATTATAATTTTAAATAACTAATTGATATTTTTTAGTTTTAATATTAATCTAAAGATAATATTTTAATATATTTTTAATAAATTTAAATATAATATTTTTAATTAAAAATAAAAGGAAGATAAGGGAAGAAAAAAACGATAAGAGAAAAAATAAAAAATAACAAGTGAATGAAGAAAATAATTAAAAGTAAATAAAAAAATAAAGAAAGAAATATTACTACGTACAATCATTAAATAAGTCTAATTTAAATTAGCATTATTAGATTTGAGTAATTTTTTAAAAAGATACATTATTTATCACAGAGATTGTAAAAGGGGTAAATCATTTTAGGAAGTAAGTGAAAATACTCCTCCTCGCATTTCCACCACAAGTCTTATCCCTTCATCGACCATACGCTTCGCCCCATCTTAGAAAACATCACTTCCTTTCATTTGGAATCTGATCATGGCAGGCCTTCAGTTAGCAACACCCTTTACTCTTTTCAGAGGAGGGCAACCCACTCGGAAGCTCTCCACTGCTTCTCAGTTCAACCCTCGGCAAGGTCTTGGTTTGCGTCCACTCACTGTGAGGTCCTACAAAGTGGTGATTGAGCAGGAGGGAAAGTCCAATTCACTGGAAGTTGAAGCTGACGAGACCATACTGTCAAAGGCATTGGACTCTGGCTTGCCTGTGCCTTATGACTGCAGGCTTGGAGTTTGTATGACATGCCCTGCTCGTCTCATCAGTGGATCTGTTGATCAGAGTGAAGGAATGCTCAGCGACGATGTGGTGGACCGTGGTTATGCTCTCTTATGTGTCTCCTACCCTCAATCCGATTGTCATATTAAGGTTATCCCCGAAGAGGAGCTACTGTCATTGCAGTTAGCCACTGCCAATGACTAGTCTGTTTCTGAGTTTTGAATGTAGAGTACTTAATTCCAAGCTGCTAGGCTTTGATTAACAGAGTCTGTGCTTGTTTCTAAATTTGCTGGTGTCGCTCTGGTTTTTTGTATTCTATTGTTCTATTATGTAGTTTCTTATCGATGCATGGAATACAATTATACAAAATTTGATTCAAACTAGAATAGACACCAACTTTCCAACAATGCTGATACATGGTTAACCAAGTCTGGATACGTATTTATCACTTTGCAATTTTATTTACAAATTCTAAACTTATTCACATATTACAAGGGTGGAATTCAAAATGGTAATGGAAATTCACTTTTACGAAATGATTCAGACCCGACGTAGGCTAGCCTTACCAAGGTTTTAAAAAACTGTTCATCCACAATTTCAGCCGTAACATCAAAAGTATTGGAGGTCGCCGCGATTACCACTGCAGTCGCACATTTGGGAGAATAGACAGTGCGGAGTAAAAAGCACACCTCAGGTGATGCGGTTGAACGATTTCTTGGGTCTCTGCTTAATCTTAACCTTAACGTTGATGCCATTATCAATGATAGACTGAAGAACAATCTGAAGCCTTCCCTCCACTCTTTCTCCTTTCCTTGGAGTGTAAATCACGTCGTGGATATCATCACTCAATGCTCTCTGAGCCAGAATTGCCCCCACAGCGGCACAAGTATTTTTTTTCTTGGTAGAAGATAGGTCAAACTTGATGTCCTTAGAGATGGAATGTGCCACAGCGACAACCTTACTCGTCACCCTATGAACAACGCAAGCACGAACAGAGGCTTTTGATATGAAAATGTCCAAGCAAAAGGGTTCATGGTAAGGACCTGTAAGCTGGTTAAACGTGGGAGTCCTCTGCCTTTTGTTCACACTAGGACCATCATTGATTTCGTTCACACGGGGCACAAAACTTTTTCTTCTTGTCAATTCATCAACTCTAGGAACATTGTGATCTTTGGAAACCACATTTGGAGTTGTTTTAGCTTTGTTTAACTCCTCTTTTTTCTTCGAAGATTTCTTCCTGTGAAAATCCAAATTATACTCTTCAAACTCCTTGGAACTGCGCTCAAGCTTATAAAACAGATTGCCACGAACCCTCATATTATCTATGTCCTCAAAGTCTAGTTCCCCGTCAACATGATCATCAACGGCTTCATCAGTAACTTGAGGACCAAAAGAACTAGCTATTGATGCAGGTCCCTTCCAGGCCTGTGCCACCCCAGATGAGACACCCCAAGCATCATGATCCACAAGTTCAATATCGAATCCAGTTGAGGGATGATTGAAGTCATAGAAAAATGGGGAAAGATGGAGGCTGGTAGAGTATTCAGAAGGTGGCACGGATTCAGAGCTCGATGCAACCTCAACGTCTTTGTTGGGAATATTGGTGAGGGTCTTGAAGCAGAGGTTGAACGTCCTGGAGAGAAAATGTTGATTGTATAAGGTGGCACCCTTCCTTGCTAGCATGGACAACATGACCAGAGTTTTGAAAAGAGATACAGGAAAAAGGAGTTGATGTCAAATGCTGTCAGCAGCAAAACACCAAACAGTTGCCGTGCACTCACTCACACAGTAGCTAACTGAACTTACGACATCGTCCTGAAGGCCCTAGTAATTGTTTGGAGAAACTATTCTTGGGGATGAATACGAAAAATACTGAACGAATAGATTAAAGCAATCTGAAATACATTCGGTTTAAAAACAGTGAAACAACTATTGCAATTACTAGGATTGGGTTGCGACGCTTTTGCCTTTATAGTCTTCTCTTGCGCGCGTCCAATGAATATTCCTAAGAAATATAATCGCGTGCTAAGATAAAATCAGTTTCATACTAGCAGAATCAAATCCAAAATCCTTATATAGACGGATACTAATCATACACAAAATCTGAATTTTTTATACTAATAATAAAACAAGTTAAAAAGTAAAAACTATCATCTATATCATCAATTAATGATTATCGTGATCATCACCAATTAACCAATTAATAAATAATGTTTTATTATTATTTTTTTATGATGTTTTTACTATTATACCATAAAATTATGATGATTATTTTTAATGTAATATTTATAAAGATATATTTTTTAATTGTGTTAATCATTTTGTAGCTTCAAAAAAATATTATGAACATACAAGCTAGTTTGTTTTTACTAGAATATATAATTTTGAAACTAATTATTACAAAAATGCATATATTATGATAAGGAGAGAGAAGGAGAAGAACTAATTACATATAAATTATTCTATATTCGATCGTATAAGTACATATAAATTATTCTACTCTTTGAAACAAGTAGTCTGTCTTATTTTTATTTTTGAAATCCATTAATTTGTTTAATTTATATTATTATATTTGCAATTACAAAGTTTATCTGCGTAATTTTTTTTTCTTTAGAATTCAAATTCATAGCCATTTATTATTTAAGTTTAAACTATATGCTTCTACCCGTTTCATATTAAGGCCATTTAATTTAAGCACGATTTTTTAAAGTGTTTCTAAGAAAACAAAAAAACGAAAGTAGACCATTCTTTTTAATCATAAAACACCAACATCTCTTGTAGTAAAAATATACATTTTATTTCTAACACATGAAATTATCAGCAATATTGTTATTTGATTTACATCGTGTCTAATCTAGATTTTTAGCTTTTGGATATTTTTATTTATGGATTTTTTGTATTAATGTTTTGTTTGGATGATATCAAAACCTGGCTTCAATTTTGATAAGCGGGACAAACTATTTTCAGTTCACTAGTGAAAACAAAACAGGGACCCAAAATAAATACATTATCACCAAATTCTGTGCTGAAGAACTTTGGCAGAAACAGACCACAAGCTGAACGCCAGGAAACAATGTTTCTTGCTTCCATCAACTAACAAGTCAAGCCATGAAACCAGATTAAACACATGCTATCAATCTATGGGAAAAAAAGCAGAAAAAAATCTATGTAAAAAGAGTTGCTCGAAGTACAATTGCTAATTTCATATGATTAATGAATTACTGTGGACATTGAATGGCATAAGGGAATTGGGCTGAAACCTGTGTCGACTCTACCAGATTCAGATATATACAATAGGAACCTCACAATCAATAGTGTAACAAGTATATGTATATGCTTCTGTTGAAAGACCGGTGGATATTACTTCCTAAGAACTTCACCTATTCGGCAACAGGTCTGGTCCCAGATGCAATTGAATCTTTTGGCAGAAGAAACATTCACATAAAATGAAGTTAGCTACTCTTAATATATTCACTCATACATGACTAGGGACCAATAAATATTCCCTCAAAATCAGTAGAACTTATTCATAATACCAATATCAAAGCACAACGCAGAAGCTTCAAAAGCCTTGAAAATTGACTCGCATACAAGGCAATGAAAACTTATGAGTATCACAGTCGGTAAGAACTCGGTTATTCTGTTTAGGCCACGAAGGTCCCGGAACTATCACCGGAAGCATTTAGGCCTCGTTCATCAAGACACGATTCATTTGAAGAAACTACTGGGTTCAAAAGCAAATCCTTCACATTTTCACATCCAATTTCACAGTTGGAACCAGATCCTACTTTCAACAAACTCTCATCAGCATGATTGAGAGCAGAAATGGAGACATCTAACTTTTGATTCCGATTAGTAATATTCTCTTCTGATAAATTCCGTGAGGTAACAGCTTCAAGGGCGTCATTCATATAGGTCTCTTTAGTAGGTGGAGTATTGTCTGCCTTTTGAGAATCCAACAGTGGATCGATGTCAAGCTCCAACAAACCACAATTCATAGCAATGAACGAATGACATTCCTTGTCAAGGTTTTCTGCTGAACATGGATCAGAACAAGAAGTTTCCTGAACCACAGCTGGAACATTTGAAATATCTTCTCGGTGACTTCTCACATAAGTGTCACTGGCAGAAATGGATTGGAATTTTGAAGAAGGATTTAATTTATCAACAGGAGGAGAAGCCACCACTTTATTCTTCATTTTTAGTGCACTTTGATTAGTTCTAGAAGGAGAAACACATTTATCTGAAACTGAATCAGACAGCATTTCCTCGGAATGAGATTTGGAACACCCGTCAACCAAAACTTGGTTGTTTAGTTCTTGAGAAGCATCACTACATTCATCATTTGTCTCATTATTAGCAGGATTTGAACTAACATCATCACTTCCACGAGGATCTTGTGGAGTTGAAGAACCCATATCTGACCTATTTCCCATTTTGGTATGGATAAAATCATTGTCTCCATTTCCCATTTTCTCAGAACCTGTCAAGAAAAAGAAAGTAAAACTTATGCACATGCAAAAGTAACTCGCTGAAACTAAAATAAACAAAATGGCATCAATACCAGCAGTTTTATTACCTTCCACTAACAGCTTCTGTAACATATCAATACCAGGGAAGACAACCATATTCAGTGACCTCATTTCTTGCCTGAGTGATTCATCAACATGAGTGAAGCCAAAAACTGATGTCCACATATGTGTGAGTTCAGCAATTGCAGGAATAACTAATTTTTCAACATTCAGCGCACAAAGGGCCTTCAAATCAAGGAAGAACAAATAAGATAAGAATGTCAACAAAAGATGCATGCAGTTAAACCCCAATCAAAGCTCTACGAAGATCTTTGGTGCAAGGAAATCACAAAGAATCATAGCTTAAAGGTTTACCGATTCAATGGAAGAAAAAAGCCTGCGACACATCCCCTGGCGCCTATATATATGGCGAGTTCCAATGAATGGCATCTCAGCTAACTTAGTTCCATGGAACCTATGACACAAAAGTTAATACTCACATGTATACTCTCATTTATTCAGACTAACAAGAAAAACACATAGCAGCATAATATGGATTAGGCGAGTGAGAGCAAGAAATCAGTCATGGCCTTTTACCAACCTTTTAAGCTAAATCAGTAAAACCGAATGCTACTTTCAAGAAAGTTAGGAACCAGAGTGACTACCCAATGTCACTCAGGATTCCTCATTGGGGAAATTTTTTATAAATGCAAAGAATTAGGGCACGGACAATTTTATAAATCATTTCTCCCTGCCATTGTCAACTTGGTAATCTAACTCGTGTTAATAGACTAGTGTATGGAAAGGAGAAGCCACCTCTAATGTAGTCACACTGGTGTATGATAGATGTTAAGAAATTCAACAGACTAGTCATATGAAAAGGAGAAGCTCTCTCTAAAGTAATTGACGCATGACTGGTAAATACTTTACATAATGAAGAATTTCATCCCCTTCACATGCTCAAATAACTACAATATTTTTTCCTTGTCAAGTGTAAATTATTCTTCTCAATCCAATTGCAACAGAAAAAACAATCACTCTCCCAACTTCTACTCTTTCTGCAGCTTTTCCACTTCGAAAGAAAAGGTCAGAGGTCCAGTAAATGAGTCAGCAAGACAAAGTCTGAGGCATTGTACCTGATAGATGCTGCAGCAATGATTTCATCCCCTCTCTCCAAAATAGCAGTGTAAAAGCCACCATAGCTCAACCGATTGAAGTTTGATCTGAATATGGATAGAATGAGAGGTCTCAAATTAAATAAAGGGTATTATGGTGCATTTATAATGTTTTAAACTTTTAACTATGCTTACCCACTGTTATATAAAACATTACGGATTAAATTGATCCCACTCCTCCTATCAATAACAGGTAAAAAGCATTCATCCATCACACTTAGTGCAATAGCCAACTTTGAATTGCATTCTACCCTCTGAGTAATTCCCCTGCAAGCTGCCTCTGAATCTTCATCTGTTCTATGAATGAGAGACCATGAAAAACCCGCTTCTAGTTCATGCTTGGTACCAAGATATTTCTTCAATTGTTCAGACAGCTGTAGAAGTACAAAAAACATAACAACAAATCAGAATCTCGGCTTAGCACAGCATCACTACAAAAGTTCACTTCTTTTTTTATTCTTCTTTCAAAGATTTTGATTTTAACAAACCATTAAAATACACAAATTCCTTAAAAACAAACAACTTCAAAGTCTTGAAAGAAGCACATTTATAGACTAGTGCACAGTAATTGGTGGTCGTCTCATGCATGCTGAATTATAAGGTAGAAAATGGTTAAATAAAAACATGTACATTCATCAAGGTACACTTCAAAATTTTGAAAATGATAAATAACTCTAAGATGTACCTCTCTGCACTCTTTCCCACAAAACGAGAGGCTTGGTGTATTGAGGTTATTAGGAAGGGTATCCATCTCCATAGTGCAAGAGTCATGATCTATGCAATGGGAAAGTACTTATTAAAGGACATCAAAGGGGAACAAACAGAAGAGAAGTAATTGCCAAAAGAATATAAACATACTGAGGAAACATCAAATATAAATGAGAGAAAGTGAATACATTTTTTCTCACATAAGTTGCAAATATGTAGGACAGGAACATATGCATCTTCTTCTTCTTCAGAAAGTCCACTGGCTCTGCCACAAAATTTACAGGTGCAATTTGAACAATTCCATTCACCAGGAGGAAGCATCTGTAACAACATAAATGAACTCCTCATGAATGAAGAAAAAAAAATCCTTTTAACATAATTAATATATATATATATATATATATATATATATATATATATCAAGTATATTACTAAAATAAAGTATGCACCTCTGTCAATTTCTCAATAATACACTATTCTAGTTTTGGTGTATGGGAACATTTACTCTTCGATGAGAAAACTTAATCAACATGCTTAGGAGATATAAAAGAAGTTAGAGAGCCATTAATTAAATCATTCAAGCTTCCATAGAAATTATTATGGTATAGTGAGGTAATTTTTTCTTTGAATGCACTTTTCTTTGCAGTGGACAAACTCTACTGTATCAGTATTCAGCAGGCACTTGTTTTGTTCAGCATTGACAAATGCAAAATAAGAAGAACATGTCTTCAGTCCACTTGAATTGATAACAAAAAATCATCCAACAATGAACCATTAGTGCCCCCTTCGACCATCACAAAAGAAATTTGATAAACCAAACAGTACCCCGAAGAGAAACATAAATTTCATATGCTACTGTTCACTGAGAGACAGTGTAAGACCACACCATATGGAGGATAAAATATGCCCACATACCTGTATATCCAAGCAGCTCCGATGAAATGTTGATGGACAACCATCACAACAGATTAAATCACCTCCATCTGCACAGATACCACAGGTATCATCATTTGGATCATCACCATCAACATCCACTGAATGGAAACCAATTTTATCAGAATGTTCTTGTCTATTCCATGCATCTATCTGGCACTGTAGAAGAGAAACTCCAGATTCCAAAAAAATATTTTGATATGGCTGTGGCAATTTGCTTCCTGCGTGAAGCTCAAATTTTGAAACTGTGAGGATCTTACTACAGCAGCCACAGTGTATGCCATCTCTTGTGATCCACCCCTCCAGAAGGACTTTCTTCCGTCTTCGGTACTGGACCTTTTGGCTTAACTCTACTGCTCCAGTGTCAATCAACCAGGCAAGAACTGTCCGTTTTCCCATATATGGGACAAAGCTATCAGATTCTGAATTTGATCCTTTGTTAGATCTGCGAGCTAACAATGTACATCTCCCGTGTTTATTACTCTTCCGTCCATGTACACGGGGATCACATCCAAATGATTTTTCTATTCTGTCAATTGAGTGATGGGTAGCATTCGGGATTTTAGAGCGAGCACTGATAATTGTACTTTCAAACATTTTATTTTTCATTGACTTACTTCCCTGTTTTATAAAGGAGCTTAATTTCTCCTCATTGTTATCACTATCACTGCTATTCATATCATGCTTGTTGCTGGCAGATCTTCTTGTTTGAGGCTCTTTTTCATTATCACTTTCACTATCATATTTTTTCTTCTTCGTTTTCAATTCCTTCTCCATTTTCTTCCTAGTTTTCCTTGTTAGCTGACTGAGCACCTCATCTGCGATAGGTGCAAAAGAAGTATCCCCTTTGGCCTTCACCTCATTAGCATCATCATTCAATTGCTTTTGAAGCGCATCATAAGCTTTGATAATAGACCAATAGGCTGTCCCTGCTGGATTAATGTAAACTGCATCCAGGTAGTCTCTGTTCCTTCGAGGTCTATAGTCTATGGTCCAACCTGAAGTGAGAAGCATCTCCCTAATTCGTTCTCGTAGTTTCTGTTTTTCTGTACCACTACCCCGCTTGATTTTTCCTTCTTTCGTTTTTGTGGTTGGGTGTTTATCATGCAGAGGAGTCTGTTCATCATCGGAGAACATTTTTTTCACAGGCTTACGAGCTTCAGTATTTCTTACTCTGGGATTCAATGATGTGTCACTGTTATCTGAATCCCCCTCATCACCCTTGCTATCCTTGCTTGACAAGGATTTTCTTGATGCTATCTGATTCTTCTCCGGCCTCTTGAGTAATCCTGGTTTCTCAACAGGCTTTGTTTCCGTGTGTGATGAAGGACGAATAGGAACATTCCTCTTGGCAATCTCTTCAGTCTTCATCCTCTTGGTGGGCTCTTCAGTTTTCAACCTTTGCCTGCTTTCCACAGGTTTGTGATGATCGTAATACTGCTCTGATGGCCCACCCAGCTTCTTCTTATTGATCATTACCTTCAAAACACCATTTTTCCCCTGAACCCTAATGGACTCGTTGGAATTAAACTTCTCCCTCTGAAAGGGTATAGGTACCCGAACTCTATCCCTGTTCGTCTTGAACCTATTGTGATTAACATTATCCCCTGGAAAGAAGCCACTTGACCTGTCACCGTAGGAGTTCTTTCTCTTGTCAAGATCACGTTCACTTGACCCGTTTTTGAATTCCCTATCGAGGCCACTCCGAGTAGCATACTCTGATCCCATAAATCTTCCTCCTCCAAAACCAACTCCATTACCTTCTAAGTGCCTCCTCCTCATGCTCTCTACATCCATGCCATCATACTCCTCAAAATCGTGCACATCCAACTTACTACGCTTACTATCCCACGGCTCCAAACCCTTCACCGCACCCCTAATTCGTTCCACTCTATCCCTCTTCCGACTAATTTCATTCCCACCCCGCTCAGAGGCAGCCAAACCATTGCAAACACGAATAGTCTCAGACCCAAGCCTTCTACCAGGAGGCACCAGCAACTCGTCGCTTGATCCAGAATCACTCAAAGAGACGCTGATGTTGGCCCTTTTCTTCGAATCATAGAGCTTCCGAGACGTGGAAGCAGTAGCACCCAACCCATGCCCTTTCTTTCGCACAATTAAACACCCCGAGGAATTTCTGCTCTTCACCACAACCCCAGAACCACCCGATCTCACGCCTGATTCCATCTACCAAAACCCCACGCCAAATTTAGCATCACCCGTAACCAAAACTAAACCCTAGTTTCCAGATCTAAAGTAGAATCGATCTGAATTCTACACACTTACCCCCTCCCCTCGGGCCATAGCAAAATTTTAATGGAATCTTACCTGGCCGGAAAGTTCACGGATTCCGTCCCTCGCAATAAATTGTGTGATGAAAGTGTGACGCAAGTCCCTGCCGGAAAACCCAAAGAGATCGCAGAGCTAGCTAAGTTGGAGAGAAATTAAAACGAAATTCAATGAGACAGAAATTGGGAAGGGGAGAGAGAGAGTTTTTGGTTGCAATTAGCAGAAGCAGCGCCTAAGCCAATATAGATAATCGATGATAGAAAAAAAAAATAGAAAAAACTAAACAGAAAACAGTATCAGCTTCAACCCTTTATGTTTTGCTTATTTATTTTCCCTCCAAATTTTGCCTTTTGTTGAATCCCACGCTTCTGATGCCGCCACCTCACATATCTTTGACGTGGCGAAATCACGACGGTTTCCAGGACTGTTTATACAGTTTTTCCTTACGCCTGTGTTGAGTACTGGTTCTTCGTATGTGTGTATATTCCACAGAATTTTGAGACTTTACACATTTTTTTTATAGAGAGAATACAAATCAGTTAATATAATATAATATAATATAATAGTGATGAAGAGAAAGAAGGGGTGATAATAAATATAAATAAATAATAGGTGTATGTTTATCATTATTCTTACTGAAATATATCTTATGTTTCCATATTACGTTTTGAAATTCTATTATTATTATATTAACATGATCTTGAATTAATCTATACACAATATTTAAATTTTTTATCTATTCTTTTATGTTAAACCAAATATTAACAGAGTTTAAAATAAGAAGAACAGATAAAGTTATTATAAAAAAACAGACCTCCAAAAATAAGTCAATGAGTTGAACCATATTTTGTATTATCTGTCTCCCATAAATGAAAATTAGTGGTATGTTTTATCTATTTTAAAAAAATTATTGTACTCAATAAAATACTCAACATACAACGTAAACTCTTATTAAGAATTAAAAAAATTCAAATAATGCAACATAATAAGAATGAAGTCGATAATATATATCTAATCACATTCAACAATTTAAAATAATACGTCTCTACCAAAAATAAATTTGTCAAATACAAAATTACATTATAATTTTATATCTAATTAAATTATTTATTATATGTTTTATTAATTAATTATATCATTAAATGTAAGTTCTAGATCCTATTATTCAATTATGATATTTGTTGAATAAAGAAAAAATAGAGTTTGGGATTAATCTCCCTTGTGTATAAATCACACATAGGGTAGTCTATTTATAGTAGAGAGATACAACTAAAAGAGTAACTGAAAGTAACAAAATAAACAGAAGATATTGTTTGATATTATGGTTAATATCTAACAATATTAAATAATATCTAAATAATATCTAACACTCCCCCTCAAGCTGGAGCATACAAATCGTATGTGTCAAGCTTGTTACAAATATAATCAATTCTAAGACCCCGTAAAGATTTAATAAAATATCTGCTAATTGATCACTTGAGTTAACAAACTCAGTCTTGATGTCTCCAGACATAATCTTTTTTCGAATGAAATGACAGTCAATCTCAATATGTTTGGTCCTCTCATGAAAGACAGGATTAGAACTAATATGAAGAGCAGTCTGATTGTCACACACAAGTGACACTTGAGTGACATCTCCAAATTGTAACTCTCTAAGCAATTGCTTGAGCCAAACAAGTTCACAAGCAGCTGAGGTCATAGCTCTATATTCTGCTTCTGCACTAGATCTTGCCACAACACTTTGTTTCTTACTTTTCCATGAGATCAAGTTACCACCAATGGAGACACAATATTCAGATGTAGATCTTCTATCCGAAGGAGATCCTACCCAATCAGCATCTGAGTAGCAAACAACTCTTGTATGGTTATTATAATCATATAACAATCCTTTTCCAAGAGATCCTTTAATATACTTTAAGATACGAATGACTGCATTCCAATGATCTTCACATGGGGAATTAAGAAATTGGCTTACCACACTGACTGCAAAGGAAATATCAAGACGAGTAACTGTAAGATAATTCAATTTTCCAACCAATCTTCTATACTGCTCAGGATCAAGTATAAGCTCCCCCTGATTTGGTAAAAGTTTAGTATTGGGATCCATGGGCGTATCAACAGACTTTGAATTCATCAACCCAGTTTCCTCTAAAATATCCATGGCATACTTCCTCTGAGATATAACAATACCATCATTGGATTGTGTCACCTCAGTATCCAAGAAATATCTAAGTTTGCCAAGATCTTTGGTCAGAAAATGGTGACAGAGATGTTGTTTCAACTGAGAGATGTCATGGTTGTCACTACCTGTAAGAACGATGTCATCAACATATACTATCAAGTAAACACATACAGCACTTGAGTGTTGATAAAAGACAGAGTGATCTGCTTCACACCGAGTCATATCAAATTGTTGAACAACCTTGCTAAACTTTCCAAACCAGGCCCTAGGAGACTGTTTTAGGCCATATAGGGATTTGCGAAGACGACATACCATCCCAGAAGACTCCCCCTGAGCAACAAACCCAAGAGGTTGCTCCATATAAATTTCTTCTTGCAAATCACCATTGAGGAAAGCATTTTTAACATCTAGTTGATAAAGAGGTCATTGTTGAAGAGCGACCATGACGATAAATAAACGAACAGAAGTCATCTTTGCTACAGGGAAAAAGGTATCTCCATAATCCAACCCAAAAATTTGAGTATAACCTTTGGCCACAAGACGAGCTTTGAGGCGATCAATAGTATCATCAGGTCCAACTTTGATAGCAAACACCCACCTGCAACTAACAACATATTTCCCAGACGGTAACGAGACAAATTCCCAAGTTCCACTATTATGAAGAGTACTTAGTTCATCTAACATGACCTGACGCCAACCAGGATGGGCTAAAGCTTCACGGACAGTTTTTGGAATGGTCACAGAAGAAAGAGAGGAAAGACATGTATAAAAAGGTAATGACAGTCGATGATAACTCAAACCAATATAATGAGGAGAGGGATTACGTGTAGAACGAATACCTTTTCGGAGGGCAATGGGAAGGTCAGACTCAGGTGTCACATTCAGAGGAGACAGAGTAGTTGACACTTGAGTAGAGTCACATGGTGGTGGTTGTGATTGGTTTCGGCAACTATAAATCTGAAGAGGCAGTGAAGAAGAAGCTGACTGCGGAGTAGAATCTAATGGTGAAGAAGACACAGTTAGAGGGTCACAAACAACAGGAACATTAAATGTACTAGGAGTGTTGACAAGATTGGATGGAGACAGAGGTGAAGATTGACTTTTAAAATAAAAAGAGAACTCATCAAAGGTGACATCTGCAGACACAAAATAACGGTTAAGAGAAGGAGAAAAACATTTGTATCATTTTTGTGATCTTGTAAACCCTAAGAAAACACATTTATGTGATCTAGGAGAAAGCTTGTCAAGACTAGAACTAAAATTATGAACAAAACATGTAGACCCGAAAACTTTTAGAGGTAAGGGATGAAGTGGTTCATGAGGGAATTAAATGGAATGAGGTATTTTATTATCTAGAACCGAAGATGACATGCGATTAACAAGATAACATGCAGTAAGAAGAGCATCACCCAAAAAATGCTGAGGAACCTCTCCATGAATTAAAAGAGTGTGAGTTGTTTCAATAAGATGTCTATTTTTACGTTCAGCTACACCATTTTGTTGAGGTGTATAAGCACAAGAAGTTTGATGCAAAATATCATGAGAAGCCATGAATTGTTTAAAAGAATGAGAAAGATATTCACGACCATTATCACTGCGCAAAACTCTAATAGAAACACCGAATTGAGTTTGAATTTCATTGAAAAAAGTTTGAAAGATATGAAATAATTCAGAACGATTTTTCATCAATAATAACCAAGTGCATCTGGAATAATCATCAATGAAAGTAACAAAGTATTGAAAACCTAAAGTAGACTTAACGCGGCTAGGTCCCCAAATGTCAGAGTGAACCACGGCAAAAGGGGACGAAGCACCACGTGTGACACTACGAAGAAAGAAAGTACGACTATGTTTGCCTAATTGACACGACTCACATGCCAAACTAGACAATTTAGATAAGGCAAGGACAAGTTGCTGTAACTTGGCAAGACTTGGATGACCTAACTGAGCATGAAGAAGAGAGGGAGACTCTATAACTGCACCAACATGTGTAAAGGGACGAAGATGATAAAGACCATGAGACTCACATCCTGTGTCAATCACCTGTTTCGAACTCCGGTCCTGTAAACACACAGAATTGTTGGTAAAAGAAACAACACAATCAAGAGAACGAGTTAGACGATCGATGGATAACAGAGTTAAAAGGAGACCCAGGGACATAAAGAACATTATCAATGGTTAAAGAAGGGAAAAGTTTAACAGTTCCAACACCATGAGATGATACTCTAGAGCCATCAGCTAGTGTAACAAAAGTTAAAGGATCAGGAGAGGATAAAGAGAAGAACAAAGATTTGTTACCAGTAATATGATCAGTGACTCCTAAATCAAAAACTCAAGGACCAGAAGAAGATTGGGTCAGACCAGCAAAAGATGTACCTGTGTGTGCGACAGACACAGTGGAATTAGAAGACTGTTGATCCTTATACCATTTGAGAAATTTGTTGAACATAGCAAGTGTGTCTGATGAAATAGAAGAAGGAGGATCCTTAGCAGATAAAGGTGGGGAAAGATCAGTCTGAGCAACTGCAATAGATCGAGTAGGACGACCATGTAATGTATAACACTTGTCAATCTTGTGACCTAGTTTGCCACAATGTTCACACTCATGTAATGCATAACACTAGTCAATCTTGTGGCCTAGCTTGTCATAATGTTCACACTTAGGACGCCCTTTTCCCTGTTTATGAGGGCGAGTTTGATCATCACGGTGAGATACCAATGCAGAAGAATCATTAACAGAAGCAGGTGTGCCAGGGTTAGGTTTTGCTGGTATACGCAAAAGAGTGGAGCAGGTCGATGTCAAGGTGGGGACAACCGGAGAACCCAAAATCTGATCACGAATATGTGAATATTGATCAGCAAGTTCGTGTAATGCTCCTAGCATGAAGAACTTTGATCGTTATCCTATCTCGGTGGCAGGGTTAGGGGAATGAGGCAATAACTCATTGAACTCATGAAAAAGAGCATGAATTTTGCCCATATAATCAGTCATAGAATCTTGATGTTTAGAGACAATAACATCTACAAATTTAAAACAGACATCATAGAGACGTTGAATATCATTGGTGTATAATAACTTGGCATGTTCCCAGATTTTGGCACATGTTTCGTAGGAACGAAAAATTTGTTTTAACAAAGGATCAAGAGTACCCTTGAGAACCACGCATAATTGAGCATCAATGGTGTCCCAAACGGTCTTCCTCACCAGGAGTGAGAGTAGGTGCTTTCGGGGCAAGATGATCAAGATACTTCTGACTTTTAAGCCATAATCTGACGTCTGATGACCATGTGGCATAATTAGGACCAGTTAACTTGTCAATGGATAAGTGCACATTAACATAGTTAGTGTAGATGGAAGGATCAGACGCAGTACTGACAGAATTGGAAGTACTAAAAGGAGCGGAAGAACTCATAAAGGGCGGAGGCGATAGTGACAGCGGCGTGAACCAGTACACCAGGTAAGTTCCCAGGAAAGAGAGGTGAGTCACTAATGGACACGCTTAAATACCAAGTCTTTCCTTGTCAGAACTTTCCTAGACATGCACTTTCATACTACCAAATAACCGATAGCGGCGGTGGTGACAGCTTCAATAGTGGTCAAAGGCGAAAAAAATTCAAAATAACCTTAAGCTCTAGATACCATGTTGAATATAGAAGAAATAGAGTTTAAGATTAATCTCCCTTGTGTATAAATCACACATAGGATAGTCTATTTATAGTAGAGAGATACAACTAAAAGAGAATCGAAAATAACAGAATAAACAGAAGATATTGTTTGATATTATAGTTAATATCTAAAAATATCTTAACAATATTAAATAATATCTAAAAAATATCTAACAATATTCATGATAATTTCATTTAAAAATATTAGTTTAAAAATAATTATGTGATTAGAACATCTCTAGTGAAAATTTTGACACCCTAGTTTGTTAAAAAATATTATTAATATTAATATTATATTAGAAATTATGATTTAAAAATAAATTAATTAAGTAGATTGCACATAGTACAGGTTAGGCAAACGAATTACCACACTAAAACTTTATCAGCTTCTTTTTCATTTTCACCTTTTGGCCTTTACGAAGGTTGACGGCCTATTGTATGCAACCTGCCTTGCATTGTTATCTCTAATTTGAAGATCTTAAAACATATTTGAATCTCTTCCCTCTCTCTTTACTTTTTTCTCTCCACCTTCTCTTCTACTTCACCTCCCCATTTCTCTCTCTTTGTTTTTTTCAGTTAATATTTATGTAACGTAATAAGAAACAATTGTTATCACAGTAGAAAAAAATAGTTACATAAGCGTTATATAATTAGAATAAAATTCCAAAACAAATTGTGTACACCAAAATCAAGTATAAAGAAGTGTATCCCCATTGTATTTAGTATAGATGCTTGATACATATAAAAAATGTGGACTTAACTGCAGAAAGTAAAAAATACAAAATAGAAGGCTTTCGAGAATTGCGGTTGTTTGCTGCACAGTGTACAAGTTATACAAATATGGCAGAAATGGACCACAAGCAGAATACAAGGAGCTAGAATTGGAATGCAAGAAACGTAATTTCTTGCTTCCCACAATTAGTAATTAAATATAGTCAAGTCATATCAAACACATGCAACCAATCAGTGTAAAGAAGGGAGAACAAAAAACACCAGAAAAAACCTATGTAAAAAATTTGCTCAAAGTACAATTGCTTTTCTCATATGATGATTGCTGAATTACTACGGACATTGAGTGGCACAAAGGGATTGAGCAGAAACCCGTACCCACTCTACCATTTTCAGATATATACAATAGGAACCCCACAATCATCTTACGTAACTCAGTATTTGCGTCAGTAGAAGAACCGTTGTATATTACTTCCCAGAAACTTCATCAATTTGGCTACATGCAACAGGTCTGGCACCAGATGCAGTTGAATATTTCCGCAAACATTCACATGAAATGAAGTTAGCTAATTTTAACCTTAAAAATTCACCCATAAATGACAAGGGACCAAGCAATATTTTCCTCAAAACCAATGGAACGAATTCACAATACCCAGATCAAAGCACAGCGTACAAGCTTCAAAAGCCTTGAAAATTGACTTGCACACAAGGCAATGAAGCTCTGAAAGAAAGCTAGCTCATCTGATAGTATGTAGAGCAATACAGGACTCAGTCATTCTGCTAGACCAGAACAGCCTCAGAACTAACACCAGAAGCATTTACAGCACTTACATCCTCTTTCTCGCATCCAATTTCATCGTTGGAATCAGATCCTACTGGCAACAAACTCTTATCAGCATGTTTGAGAGTAGAACTGGAGAAATCTACATTTTTATTATCCCCCTTTCTAATATTCTCTTCTGATAAATTCCTTGAAGAAACAGCTTCAACAGTCTTGTCTGCCTTTTGAGAATCCAACAATGGATTAATGTCAAGCTCTGACGAATCACAATTCATAGCAGTGAATGAGTGACATTTATTGTCACGGCTTTCTGCTGAACATGGATCAGAACAATCAGTTACCTGAACCAAAGGTTGAACATTTGGAACATCTGAGTTACTCACAGAAGTTTCATTAGGAGAAATAGATTGGCTTTTTGATGAAGGATTTACTTTATCAATAGGAGGAGCATCCGCCAATTTACTCTTCATTTCTAGTGCACTGTGACTAGTTCTAGAAGGAGAAATGCATTTATCTGAAACTGAATCAGACACCATTTCCTCGGAATGAGATTTGGAACAGAGAGTCCCATCAACCAAAACTTGGTTATCGAGTTCTTGAGAAGCATCGCTGCATTCATCATTCATCTCATTAGTAGGATTGGAAGTAACATCATCACTGCCACGAGGATCTTGTGGAGTTGAAGAATCCATATCTGATCTATTTCCAATTTTGGTATGGATAAAATCATTGCCTCCATTTCCCATTTTCTCAGAACCTGTCAGGAAAGAAAAGTATAACTTATGTACAGGCAAAAGTAACCTATGAAATTTAAAAACAAAATTATCATAAACAGCTGCCGTTTTATTACCCTCATGTTTTCCTTGTTCAACTAACAGCTTCTGTAACATATCTATACCAGGGAAGACCATCATATTAAGTGACTTCATTTCTTGCCTGAGTGAATCATCTAGATGTGTGAAGCTAAAAACCGTTGTCCATGTATGTGTGAGTTCGGCAATTGCAGGAATAACTAGTTTTTCAACCTTCAGAGAGCAAAGGGCCTTCCAATCAAGGAGGAACAAATAAGATAAGAATGAATCAATGTCAACAAAAGTTCAATGCAGAAAGGTCCCAACCAAAATTTTAAATAGATTTTAGGTGCACGGAAATCACAAAGAACTATAGCTTCAAGGTTTACCGATTCAATGGCAGAAAAAAGCCGGCGGCACATACCCTGGCGCCTATATATATGGCGGGTTCCAATGAATGGCATCTCTGCTATCTTAGTTCCATGCAACCTAAGACAGTAAAGTAAATACTTACATGTATACTCCCAACTAACATAAAAAATGCATAGCCACATAGATATAGATTATGATATATGGAGTGAGAGAGAGCAAGAAAATCGTCATAGCCTTTTACCATCATTTTAGGCTAAATCAGCAAAATCGAATTATACTAACAAGAAGGTTAGAAACAAGAGCAAGTGGCTGCCCAATGCCACACATGCCTTACTTGTTACAAAGTAATATGCCATTGTTGTATAAAAGCCAAAGGATTAGGGCGCTGCCAAACTTATAAATCCTTTCTCCTCGCTATTGCTACATTGGTAATTTCTAAATCATTTTAACAGACTAGTGTATGAAAAGGAGAAGCTGTCTATAAAGTCACACTTGTATGATAGATGTTAGCAAATTCAAAAGACTGTCATATAAAAAGAGAAGTCCTCTCTAAAAAGCAATTGAAGTATGGCAATGAATATTTTACACTATAATGAATTTTCCTTCTGCATAAACAAATTTTCCCAGTAACTACAATATTATTTTTTCTTTTCCTTGTCAAGTGTTAACTGTTCATTTTCCTTAGTTCTGCTCAGTTTTCTAAGCTACATCTCTAATTGGGTAGACTTTCAATCAATTGCAACTGAAAATCCTTTCACTATCCAAACTTCTACTATTTCTGTAGTTTTCCCTCTCCCAAAGAAAAGGTCAGACATCCAAGTAAATGAGTCCGCAAGTTAAAGTCTTAGGCTTAGTACCTGATAGATGCTGCAGCAATTATTTCATCCCCTCTCTCCAAAATAGCAGTGTAAAATCCACCATAGCTCAACCGGCTAAAGTTCGATCTGAAAATGAATAGAAAGCAAAAAAAAAAGACAGAACAAAGAGTTAAGGCTAGAAATTTTGCATCTCATGGAAAGAAAAAACGCAGAAAGGCTGACTTTGACTTCTTGATTTAATGTACTTCATGCACAATGCCAGAAGTACATGACACACCATTCTATTGGCGCCCCAAACTACCATAGTTGCTTAAAATATTCTTTCCTATTTTTATTGCTTCTTTCATTTATGATCTTCTACTTAACTTAATGGTTGTTTGATGAAGTGGAGGGAACGGATATTTATTTAGTTTTTTTGTTTGGATTGACTTTTAGGAGGGGAGAAAAATTCCTCCTTTTCAAAATTTTGCCCCCTTCCAATATTAGGGTGATTTGGAGGGAATGGAAAGGAGATTTAAAACATTTTCACTTAAGTGATTTTACTTATGTTTGTGATATCCAAAATTATAAGGGTATAAAAATATTTTAATTATTAAATCTTTCCCGGGGCTCCTCATACTAAAAACTCACCAACTAAAACATAAAATTCACCAAAAAAACATAAATGTCCCTTCTTCAAACCCTATTTTTACATCATAAAAAGCTATCAAATTTTATCTAGTATCCACTATTTTTTTCTTCTAAACTTAAATTTTTCATATTTCAAATCTACCATAAACTCAAAAATATCCGGACTAAAAATAATAATTTGATGGTTTTATGTTGACAAAAATCAACAAGGGGATCAAATTTGCTTAATTTTTAAAATAAAAGACTTAATTAGCTTGGAAAAAAACATTTGGAGACCAAAACCACAATAGACCAAATCAGAGGGACCAAAGTGCAAATATGCCATTAAGCCTAAGCAGTCAACATCATGTACAAAGTCAGACGATATTAAAAGTTAAAACAATAAGGAATACCATGAATCTATTTCAGTTTTATAAATGCAGAAAACTATAACATATATAATCAGACATTGGCATTCATCCTTCAGAATTAGCATTCATCCTTCAGAATTAAATGAGATGTCTAATGAATAAAAAAAAGGTATTATGGTTCACTCATAATGTTTAACTAGTGCTCACCCAGTATTATATAAAACGTTACGGATTAAATTGATCCCACTCCTCCTATCAATAACAGGTAAAAAGCATTCATCCATTACAGTCAGTCCAATAGCTAACTTTGAATTGCATTCTACTCTCTGGGTAATTCCCCTGCAAGCTGCCTCTGAGTCTTCATCTGTTCTATGAATGAGAGACCATGAAAAACCTGCTTCTAGTTCATGCTTGGTACCAAGGTATTTCTTCAAGTGTTCAGAAAGCTGCAAAATTACAAAGAATATAATAATAGTAATAATAATGAGTCAGAATCTGAACATAGCACAGCAGCACTACAAAGTTCACTTCTATTATTATTCTTCTTTGGAAAATTCTCATCCTAAGAAAAAACTAAAATGCACAATCCTCCAAAAGAAAGTTATTTTAAGTCTTGAAAGAAACACAAATTCTATAAACTAGTGCACAAGCATATGTGGTACTCATGGATGCTGAATTGAAAGGTATAAAATTGTTAAAGAAATACAAATACATTTTTCAAGATACACTTCAACACGTTGAAAACCAAAAATAACTCTAAGAGGTACCTCTTTACACTCTTTCCCACAAAAGGAAAGGCTTGAAGTATTCCAGTTATTGGCATCGGTAACCATCTCCTCAGTGCAAGAGTCATGATCTATTCAAATGGAAAGTATTACTTAAACTAAGTCAAAGGAAAAGAATAAGGGATACAAACATATTGAAGAAACATAAACATAGATGAGAGAAAGTGAATACATTTTTTCTCACATAAGTTGCATGTGCGTAGGTCATACACAGATGCATCATCTTTTTCAGAAGTTCTACTGGCTAAGCCACAAAATTTACAGGTGCAATTTGTACAATGCCATTCACCAAGAGGAAGCATCTGCAACAACATAAATGGACTACTGATGAAGAAAACCGTCCTCCTAAAATAATTAATTTACTAATATAAAGTACAGTATGCAATTGCAACAAGTCAATAAAACCTCTGTCAACGTGTAATAAATTATTATAGTTTTTGTGTGTAGGAACACTGAGTGTAGTATGTGAAAACCTATATAAAATGCCTACTAGATATCAAAGAAGTTCATGAGTCATATTAAATTATTGACAGTAGGCATAATTTTTAGTTATAAAAACTATAATATAGGTAGATCTTTGATTGCACTTATCTTGACACTGGAAAAACTTAAGAACATCAGTATTCAGCAGGTACAAGTTTTGTCTAAGAATGCAACTTTTTGGCATTCTCCTACAGACATAAGGCAATAACATAATAATAACAAGAAAGTATTTTCAGTCACCTTTAAGTCACAGCAACAAAGCTCCCAACAATTAGTTATTATATATTGTACCACTTCCACCACCCCAAACTAAAATTAGACAAACATAAATTATACATGCTACTGTTCAGCAAGGGAATGTGCAAAAAAATTCAGAGAACAAAATGTGTACTAACAATTTGTTGAGAAGTTAGAACCAAAATATGACATAGAGAATAAAATATCCATACAAACCTGTATATCCAAGCAGCTCTGATGAAATGTTGATGGACAACCATCACAACAGATTAAATCTCCTCCATCTCCACATATACCACATGTATCATCGTTTGGATCATTACCATCAATATCCACTGAATGGAAACCAATTTTTTCAGAATGCTCTTGTCTATTCCATGCGTCTATCTGGCACTGTAGAAGAGAAACTCCTGATTCCAAATATATATTTTGATATGGCTGTGGCAATTTGCTTCCTGCATGAAGTTCAAACTTTGAAACCGTAAGTATCTTACTGCAGCAGCCACAGTGAATGCCATCTCTTGTGATCCACCCCTCTAGCAGGACTTTTTTCCGTCTACGGTACTGAACCTTTTGGCTTAACTCTACTGTTCCAGAGTCAATCAACCAGGCAAGAATTGTCCTTTTTCCCATGTATGGGACAAAGCCATCGGATTCTGAATTTGATCCTTTGTTAGAACTGCGAACTAACAAGGTACATCGTCCATGTTTTTTACTCTTCCGTCCATGTATATGAGGATCACATCCAAATAATGATTTTTCTATTCCATCACCTGAGTTATGGGTAGCATTCTGGATTTTAGAGCGACCACTGATAATGTTATTTTCAAACATTTTATTTTTCATTGACTTACTTCCCTGCTTTATAAAGGAGCTTAATTTCTCCTCGTTGCTGTCACTATCAGTGCTATTCATATCACACTTGTTGCTGGCAGACCTTTTTCTTTGAGGCTCTTTTTCATTACCGCTTTCACTATCATATTTTTTCTTCTTCTTCTTCAATTCTTTCTCCATTTTCTTTCTAGTTTTCCTTGTTAGCTGACTGAGCACCTCGTCTGCAATAGGAGCAAAAGAAGAACTATCCCCTTTGGCCTTGACCTCATTAGCATCATCATTCAATTGCTTCTGAAGCGCATCATAAGCCTTGATGATAGACCAATAGGCTGTACCTGCTGGATTAATGTAAACTGCATCTAGGTAGTCTCTGTTCCTTCGAGGTCTATAGTCTATAGTCCAACCTGAAGTCAGCAGCATCTCCCTTATTCGCTCTCGCAGTTTCTGTTTTTCTGTACCACTACCACGCTTGATTTTCCCTTCTTTCGATCCTGAGGTGGGAAGTTTGTCTTGCACAGGTGTCTGCTCATCCTCAGAGATTATTTTTTTTGCAGGCTTGTGAGTTTCAGTATTTCTTGTTCCCGGATTTAGTGATGTATCACTGTTATCTGAATCCCCCTCATCACCCTTACTGTCCTTGCTTGACAAGGATTTTCTGGATGCTATCCGTTTCTTCTCCTGCCTCCTGAGTAATCTTGGTTTCTCAACAGGTTTAGTTTCCAGGTATGATGAAGGACGAATGGAAGCATTCCTCTTGGCAGTCTCTTCAGTCTTCATCCTCTTGGTGGGCTCTTCAGGTTTCATCCTCTTGGTGGGCTCTTCAGTTTTCAAGCTTTGCCTGCTTTCCACAGGTTTTTTATGATCGAAATACTGTTCTGATGGCCCACGCACCTTCTTCTTATTAACCATTACCTTCAAAACACCATTCTTCCCCTGAACCCTAATGGACTCATCTGAATTAAACTTCTCCCTCTGCGAGGATACAGGTACCCGAGTCCCACCCCTGTGCATATTGAACCTATTGTGCTCAACATCATCCCCCGGATACATGCCACTAGGCCTGTCACTGTAGGAGTTCTTTATCTTCTCGAGAACACGTCCACTTGACCCTGCTTTGAATTCGCTATCTATGCCACTTCTAGAAGCATGCACTGATCCCATAAACCTTCCTCCTCCGTGACCAACTCCATTCTCATCTAAATGCCTCCTCCTCTTGTTTTCCACGCCCATTCCATCGTATTCATCGAAATCATACACATCCAACTTACTACGCTTCCTTTCCCTCGGGTCCAAAGCTTTCTCCGCAGCAATACCTTCCCCACTACACCTAATTCGTTCCACTCTATCCCTCTTCCGACTAATTTCACTAACACCCCGCTCAGAGGCAGCCAAACCATTGCAAACTCGAATTGTCTCAGGACCAAGCCTTCTACCAGGAGGAATCATCAATTCGTCGCTTGATCCAGAATCACTCAAGGACACGCTGATGTTCGCCCTTTGCTTCGATTCATAGAGCTTCCGAGACGTGGAAGCAGTAGCACCCAACCCATCCCCTTTCTTTCGCACAATTAAACAGCCCGAGGAGTTTCTGCTCTTCACCACAACCCCAGAACCACCCGATCTCACGCCTGATTCCATCTACCAAAGCCCCTCGCCCAAATTAGCATCACCCACAACCAAAACCAAACCCTAACTCCCAGATCTGAAGCTAAACCGATCCTAATTCCTCAAAGTTCCCACCCCCCCCCCCCCTCGGACTAAAGCAAAATTTTCAACGGAATCTTACCTCGCCGGAAAATTCACGGATTCCGTTCCTCGCAGTAAATTGTGTGATGCGAGTGCGACGCAAGTCCCCGCTGGAAAACCCAAAGTGATCAAAGAGCGACCCAAGTCGGAAAGAAATTAAATGAAAATTGATACGAGAAAAAGAGAGAATGAGAGACAGGTTGAGATATGTTTGGGTTGCGATTTGCAGATGCAACGCCTTAGCCAATATCAATTAATAATTCCCTCTTTGAATATGAAACTCTTTTATCTTGTTGAGAGGATTAGTTAATTTAAGATAAAAATGCTAAATTTATTTTTTCACTTAATTGATTTTTTTCAGTTTAATTATATTTAAAATTCCATAACAGATTAATAATTTCATATTTTTTAAGAAAGTTTATCTTAATATAATGAAGATTTGATCAGATTTAGTAAAGAAAATAAATAAATAAAATACTTAAAATTATCTTGTGATAAATTTGAGTATGTATGTAATCTCCTTCTCTATAGATTTTTAATCAATCAATTTCAATCTTGATTGACATTATTACAGTATATATATTATCAATTTCAATCTTGATTGACATTATTACAGTATATATATTATCCAAATAATAGGACTTCTTTTAAGTTATTATCAAACAAAGTACCTTCAAAAGTTTTTAATAAAAGATGGTATCAGTCTTATTCAGCGACGTGTATTGTATTAAAATTTATATTTAAAATATTTTTTATTTGTTTTAAAATTTCTTTTCAATTACAATTTTAAATTCAATTTCATTAAGAAATTAGTGTACAAAATTTACTTTCAGACCACCCCAAAACATTATTAAATTGTTTTTTTTTAAGTATACTTGTTTATTTTAATTGTCTATTTATTTTAATATATGTTTCATTTGTATATTTAAAATTGAATTTTAATATTTTTAAATACTTTTTATATTTATAAACTATATTAACTCTATAGTTTTTGCTTAATAATTTATCAGTAATATGTTATTTCTCTGTTATATTTACTAATTTTGCTGATGATTAGTGGAACTTAATTGATTAATTTTAGTGATATTTTTTTTCTTATCTGTACAAATCATATTAAAGAACCGTTTTTTTAAAGTGATATATTTGTTCATTTTAAAATGCTCTTACTAATATTAAAAAAAAACATATATTTTTCACATTAACGTTCTTTTTATGTTTTTAACTCTAATATCTCAATCTTTTATTTCTTTCTATTTATCATTTAAACTTTTTTTAAAATTAAATTTCAATATTTTTTTAAGTACCAGTAATTGAATAGCTTTATACCACAACATAAACTGTTTATAAAAATATAAAATCTTATTTTTATTATATTTTATTTGTGTAAAATAAAAAATTCCTAAGTAAAAATACTCGTATAATTAAACATTTATATTGTGTAGTCCATTCGCAAAACAAACATGCGATTAACAACATATTAAACATAAAAAGAATCAAACAAAACAAAAATAAAACATTTTTGTTTTATAAATGTTGGTTTACAGCATTTCCTAATTATATTAATGAATAATGTATTGATAATTTCAACATAACAGCAAAATGCGTCCTAACACACACACACACACACACACATATATATATATATATATATATATATATATATATATATATATATTAGTAATTCTCAACATTCATTTTACTGATTAAATTAAAAAAAAAAATCATTGAATGAAATGTGAAATTGATTGTATATTATTATACAACATTTAGTCCAGAAAAGGGTTGCATTTAATATGAGTGTTCACCAACCTCAACCTACCTTAATAACATTCCTATAAGTTGGATTAAGTTAATAAGTTGAACTAGAGTTTTTTTAGTGCAGATAAACTAAAATTGAATACCTCAATTACATTTGTATAAGTTGGATTATTTTAACAACTTGAATTAAATTTTATTTGGTGCAATCAATTAAAATTGAATAATTATTTTGAGTAATTGATTTATAAGTTTTAAATTTGATGAATCTAACTATGTAATAAAAAGGTTACATGTTTAATAATTTTATTATATAGACCCTATTTATAAATATCATTGTTAAAACATTTTTAATTATTACAAATATTGAAAACACATGGAACGTTTTTTAATAAACTATTTTTTTGAATTACACAACTTAATTTTCTGATTTTAGATTAAGTTGAATGGATAAATAAAAAATTAAATTAATCGAATTTGATTTGATAAAAGATGAGAATAAACTTGAAGATATGTATAGTTGGTGTTTCTACAAAATTGGTTATATAAAAATGAAAGGCAAAGGAAAGTGTGTGTAGTAATAGGTGAGAGATGGAAGGAAGGAAACTAGGGACGATTCTGATTACCAACGACGATGGTATCGATGCTCCTGGTTTACGAGCATTGGTTCAGTCTCTCGTCGCCACCAATCTTTTCAACCTTCAAGTTTGCGCTCCTGAGGGGTATCGTTTCCACCTTTCATCGCCATATTTTCTAATCCATTTTTTCTTCTGCCATTATGCTAATTTTCTTTCTTCATTTTTGCAGCGAGAAATCAGCTGTTAGTCACAGCATCACTTGGCTCCATCCAATAGCCGCTAGGCAGGTGAACATCGACGGAGCAACCTCGTTTGCCGTTTCTGGTTCGTTTTTCTCTTCCCGCTTTCTACACAACATCGTTAGTATTTCGCATTGCAAATCACTGCTTACGTTCTCTTCACAGGGACTCCCGCTGATTGTGCCTCGCTAGGGATTTCCAAAACTCTCTTTCCCACAGTACCTGATTTGGTACATCTTCTATGCTCTGTCATGCTTCTTCCGTTTTAGTTTTGCACTATCACAGTTTTGCCTTCCTAATTGTATGCCCCTGTGGAATTGGTTGATCGCATTATTTGACATGACATAACTTAGTGACTAGTAGTGAGTGTCTCCTGGAAGAAGGCTTTTGTTGTTTTGTTATGTATAGGTCATCAGGTTTCCAGCTTTTTTTTTAACCTAATTTGAGATTTTGCTGGTGCTATCGTTTTTAGCGAGCTTAGTCCTGTGCAAGTTGGATCTATTTGACTAAGCCGTGCCTAAATAGTTTAGTAGCAAATAAAAAAACGATACAGCCAATTGCTGATGCGTGTTATATCCATTTGTTCAGGTAGTCAGTGGCATAAACAAGGGTAGCAACTGCGGTTATCACATGTATGTAGTATCGTTTCCTTTCACATGTCCATCCAACTTAAACTGCAAATGAATCTTCTATGATTTTTAGAACGAGGAGTAAGCAAGTTGTTAGTCATGTAAAAGTTGTTGTTGTTCCTTTGACGATTATTGTCGTTTATTATGACTTTTTTAGTCGAAATTTTTATGCATGAGGGAGTGATCTACATTAATTTGATCTTAAAATCTATAATATGATCTAACCTTTTTCTTCTGTTGGAAATAATGTAGTTTCCCCAAATAAGTAATTTTTAATTTTCTATGCTGCTTAAAATCTACACTGAGTAAAATCCTGGACCTGATAGTAACTGATGTAAAAGAAGATCGTTTGATAGAAGTTTATCCTTTGAAAAGTTTTCCATTGACTCCATATGGCAATTTCCATTGCCATTCTAAGCATTGAAAAGAAAATGGTTATTGCAGTTCCTTGAAATCTGAGATGCGCCCAATTCTGATTTACATAATATTTGTTTCCACTATAGTTGCTTCAGTTGTTATTACTTCATGAATTGGCCATAGCTATACTGAATAGGTCCCTTTCAGTGTTTACTCAGGCACTGTAGCTGGAGCCCGGGAGGCCTTCTTCAATGATATACCCTCTATCTCCATTTCATATGACTGGTATGGCATATTTGCAACCTGCTTCTGCTGGGGTATATTGCTGTATTTATCTTGAATATTTATTCTGAAACCATTTTGTAGCTTATGTAATTGTGACCGTGACTGCTAATTGAATGAATGTCTCTTATAATGGGGCTGACTGGTGTCACTAACTATTTCAACATTCTTTCATTTATATCCAACCATGTCAACAGCTTGTTCATTAAACTGTTTGACCGTATTTGGAGGTTACTTTATATCAGGGTTAACGGAGAGAGTAATTTAAATGACTTCACCCTTGCTGCACAAGTATGCCTACCAGTCATAAGTGCTGTACTGGTTGAGACAAAGAATCCAAGCTACCCTAGAAAATGTTTTTTGAATGTAGATGTGCCAAACAATGTTACTAGCCATAAGGTATATTACAATTATTTTTGCAATCTGTATGTTTTATTTGTGATAGATGATGAATATTATCTAGCCAAATTGGCTTTTTTTGCGGATTAATTATCACATAGGTCTATGCTGTGATGAAATGAACACAATACAGGATAAAGGGGGATAAATTAAATGTTGTTTTTCATACTTTGTTGTAACTTTTCTGGAACTACTTTAAAGTATTTTATTGTTATTCTCAGTTATGAGACAATAATAATTATAGAATTGACATCCTATTAAGGATAAAGTATGGTTTACACAATGAAGATTGATTTCTTACTAGTGTAGTTTATTATGCCGGTTAAAAGGTCATGCTTTGTTTAAATGGAGAAATATTTTTCAAGGCTCTGCTTTGTTTAAAATGAAAAACATATTTTTTCACATAAATATATTTTTACCTAGATATAGAGGTTGTTAAGATTCCAACATAAAACCAATTGGCAATATGTGGAGTAGCCTAACATGTATTTAAACCATACCAAATGATATGAGGTAGGCGATGTGGGACTTTCAACACACCCCCTCCAACGAAGCCTGCCGGACCAGGCAAAGGGTACTTTTGGCTCTGATACCATGTTAAGGTTCCAACATATAACCAATTGACAATATGTGAAGTAACCTAACATGTATTTAAACCATACCAAATGATATGAGTTAGGCGATGTGGGACTTTCAACAGAGGTCAATAGATTGTTCAAAGACATGATTTATGATAGAAAATTATCGTATTTTTTTAATTCATTTAATTGTCCTCACCTACTGAAAATATACGTAGTCATTTTTGTTTTTAATATTATTCCAAGTATTTTTCTTGTTTTCCAGTTGTTGCGAAATTTGTGTATATTTAAATCTCATTTATTTGCTAAAATTATACCATGCCTTCAAAAAACTGTCTTGGTTAAATCCTAAAAATTGGGCCTAGGGATGGGGAATATGTTACCCATTTAGTGCATGTTTGGTTTTGTATCGGATCGAGTCAAACACTAATCTATGACCCACATCCAAGCTAAAGCTATTTTGAATGACTTCTATTTTCTCATCCGGAATATAAATGTGAGGCTCCAAACGCCAAACAAAACAAGCACTTAGAGCCTATGGCAGGTCTGCCTCAGCCTAGGCCTATTTATTGAATATGTGAGGCTATGATTTTCTAAAAAGTCTAATTGTCTACGAAGATCAGGCTGTTAGCCAACTGAAAAACATCTACCAAGCTAATCTGTTCAACTAAATATAAGTAATAATTAGTATCATTATATTGAATTTTTTATTACAATGTCTTCAACGCTTTGTTTGGATTAGAGGATGAATTTGAGAGAGTGGAAAATGATGGATTTGAGATGAAAGAGAGGTTGTTTAGATTAAGGAAAGAGGGTAGGAAATGAGAGGAAAGTTTGTGAGTGATTTGATTGATGTGAATGAGAAAAAAAAATGTTTTAATAGAAGAAATTTGGAGATGACAAAATTATTCCTTTGGTGAGAATCGATTTTAGCAGGGATACTTGTATAAATTACACGAGGTGAGGTGAGTTGTTTTTCTCGCCTTGTCTCCTCACCCCCCACCGAGGATCATCCATCTCCTCCCTCCCTCAAATTCACGTTCTCAAACCCGTTCTCAAACCCATTCTATTCATGGAAAACAAACATGAAAGCTGCTGGCTCTTCCATCCACATAAATAGTACATCATTAGAAGCAAACACAGCATAAATTATATATTTGTTGATCTGTTTAAAGAATGAGGTCTATTGCTTTACAGTCTGTTAGCCTATTTAGTGTTTGGCTGGTTAGGCAATTAAGGAATTATTATGAAGTAGGACATGAAATAGGCTTTCAAGCAGGCTAATAAGAAAATTAGGGAAGGCTTATGCAAGGTAAATAGGACCAGCCTAGGCCTTAGGTTTGGGAAATAAGCCTAGCTCATTTAAGTTAAGGTTTGGCCTGACCCATTTCTACACCTGTGTGTCTATTATCCCCCCCTTCAGGCAATTTCATACATAGCAGATTACTCTTCTCAAAAGTAACTGTGAAAAACTCCTTTTTAAGAGGTTTAAAATTGTAGTCTTATGTTACTATGACTGTTGGAATTTTTTTCTTTGGATATTTATGGGAAAAGTTCATATTAAAATTGAAATGCAAATATTGATATTATCTTAAGTGAAAATATTAATTCAATTTAGTTTTTAAATGTGTACTCCTATAAGTACTTAATTAAGAATTTAGCCTAATAGGGTCTCAGCTCTACATGTAAATGTTGAAAATTTTTACTTGATTCTGTTACAAGAATATACTATGATATTATAAAATGATGTTCAAGGGTAACTAATTTTGGAAATAGTCACTGTACTTATGGGCTATGCTGTTATGAAATAATGCAGTTAAACTCTGCTTCATAGTTCTTTAAGTGTTGAATTTAAGACTGAGTCACAAGGCCCCTAGATGCCGAAGACATTTTGCTACCTGTAGTGGAAGTGACAAGCAAAGTCCTTTTTGGTAGGGCCCCTCTTTTTCCAGGTTTTCGAACCATCATTATGCTTTGCTTTTCCTAATAGGTGAAATGCAGCCAGTCCAGCAGTCCATTGATTCTTAAGAAAATTGTCGCAGCCCTTTAGCATCATCCTAAGGGATCTTTCATGAAATTTCATATTTTGGAATATCAGTGATCCATGACCTCCTAATTGTGATTTGTAAATGTCCTCAGTTTGCCCTGCTCCCCAGTTTTCTCTAGCTGATCCATTGGAGGTTTCTCGAACCACCATGATGGAATGGTCACTCATCTGTTCTTCCAGTTTGCATCCTAGCAGCAATCTTATCGATTATGGCATATAATTTCATGGATAAATTCTTTGAGCCACCCATGTTGGTTGCTGATACCTAGTTGTTATGTTATGAACTAAGGTACATGCCCTAGACATGAAAGACTCCTTGCGACCTATAGTGAATGCAAGAAGCAGGCTTGTCCTGGAACCACACCTAGACTAGCACAAACATTTTTCTGAAATAGTATCTCCTAGAGTAACTGATTTTTCTGAAGTAATTTCTTCCTTAATTCCTTCAATCAAGATCTGCTTTTCATATAAGGCCACCGATTAGAAAGGGATCCTAATTCATAGGATTATGTTACACAAAATCGTATCAAGACAAAATCTCATAAAATTCAATAATGAGACAAAGTAATCAGAATCCTAATCAGCCAAAACTTACCTTGTTTTCTTCCTCTGCTGATATTGTATCCCCACAAAGGCATTCGTATCAATGACTTGAGATGTTGTTTTAACTGTTCATCCTATGTATTTTTGTATCCTAATATTGGAGTTAGAAACTGTATAAATTTAAAAGACTTACCTTTCATTGCTAAATTTGCTACACAAATTATAGTATTGCTTTGTCATGCAACCAATTATAACTATTTCTTGGTTGTATTGTGTGTCTCTACAACAGGGGTACAGGCTAACTAAGCAGGGTAAAAGTATCATCAAGATGGGATGGAGGCAAGTCACCACTGAAACAGCAGGACAAAAAATGTCATCTGATATGACCAATACAGATACAGAAAGACCAACGAATTTTGACCTATCATCTGTATCACCAGAACACCTTTTGTTTACGAGAGAGGTCGGTCAATTTCCTTTCTTTCTTTTTTTTTACTTGAAATACTCCTATTGTTATAAGTCCCACAGTAAAGTCTTCTGCTTGAGTATGCTGTGCTTGAACTGGTTCAAAAGAGAGCAGAGAGTGTAAGCATTGAGTTTTGTTGTCTTCTTAAGTAGAAGTGATCACGTGAATCTATATGGAATCCCTAAATGATCTTGGATGAACATTTCCTAGTCCTTCCTTCCACTTTCTCACAAGGAAAGTTATTCAGTGATCTTTTAATCTTTTGTAGGTAAGAGGTTCTGTACTTGATGACGATGATACAACAGACTACAGATGTTTGAAGGAAGGATATGTGAGTAAATATAAATTTGAGAACTAAAAAGTTAATATGCACATTCTAAGCATTTCTGTTGTTTTAGATCACTGTTACTCCTCTTGCTGCTCTCTCTCATGCGGAGGTAGATTGTCAGGCCTATTTCCAGAATTGGCTACAGAGTGTCCCTGAACTCCCCTCTTCATCATCTTTATAATGCTGTAAGTCCTGTCATGAATTTGTAGTTTATGTGTTGCTTTGATGGCAGTATACTGCTTGCTTCAGTAGCTGCTTTTGCTTATACATTTTTAGCAATCTTGCTTTGAGAATGATTATTCTTCGGAGATGAATGGAAACTTTTAATATAATGTGTTTACAAGACACCACTACAAATGACATTTGAGTATCAACTGTATCTAATTCACGTGTTATTATTATAAACATATGTCTACTTATTAGTACACCCTCTGTAGCTCATATCAGTTGCCTTTCGTGATTCCCAGTATAGCACAATTTGTCATGTGATCAATTGTCACATTATAGCACCTTCTTTTCGCTGCTGTGATTTGTGAATACTTTTCATTTGCTGATTACTCCGGTTCACTGGAAGTTATGTCACCTCAATATGTTGCTAAATCAATTATTTTGATCCTGAGCAATTTGGTTGCTCCGGTATGCATGACACTGCTCCACATTTGTCATGGGGCAATAGGCAATAAAGACACTTCAATAGTGTTATATAATTGATGAGAGCTTCATTTCTGTATGTAATCCATAATAATTAATAACATTTCACTCATTTTTAGAATAATATTATAGCAATTATTCTTGTTCTGTCCTTATCCACATAAATTCCACAAGTCATGCTTGAATGAATGAAAAATTGATACGTCAACTTGGAAAAGAAAATTAAAAAAAATTTCTTACCCTCCCCTAGTTTGCATTGTTCTTGTCCCTTGTCAGTGTTTTTAAAGGAGTCTATTATTTCCAATATTTACTTATTCTCTCTTAATTTAATATAGACATTGCTGATAATCGACCACAGGTCGTTAGTTATCATAAAATTGGATGAAACGTGCTAGCAAATTCTTGGCTGATGCTATTCATAGTTTTCTAACACCTGCGTGTCTGAATTCCATATAGGGTCTGAATACGTTATTCCCGAAGCGTGAAGTTATGCCGTTGACGGTGCTATATTTTACGAATTAAATTTGTAATCCTGTGACAATTGTGGGAATCTGAAAATAAGTGATAGCTGACCTAAAGATTAGCATTGTTGATGACTTTTCTTTTCTCCAGACTTTTGGAATATAGTTTTTCTTCTTGCATCCTTAATATCAAAATTAAGGTGCTTTCTTTTCATCACAGAATAAATATTCGAGAATGTAAAAATTACAATTCGGACATGATATTTCGAAGTGTATTTTTGTTTACTTTGTAAAAATTACATAAATCCATTCTGAAAGAAGGAAAGTCTTATTTTGATTAGTACAGGGTGAGAAAGTTGTGCCCAAAAAGGTATTTTTGGGTAGAATGTCAAATTACACTCATAGTTCTGCCCAAGTTTATCAGTCTCCCCGTAGGTTTATTTTGAAACCAAGTTCAAAAGTAAAATTTGGTCCCATTATGAATTAAATTTACCGCTGCTTTTGATGACATAGTCTGCTTGGAGTAGTTCGTCCGCATCAATCTAACCCTCCTTTGTTTTCGAGCAGTGAGTAGGACATGTTATATTATTTTTCCAATATTTTATCGTTAAATTAGTATTTCGAAAAGCAAAATATCCTGATATTATTCTTTATAGTTTTTTTTTTTTTTTTTACCAAATTCATCTCGAGAAATGTAAAATTATTACCTTATAGAAGACTCGGGTAATGTGACAAAAAGGACAAATTTAGAGATGATTGTATGCAGGGCTAATAGAGTAAAAGCTTGTTCTTGTCATAAAGTTGAATATTTGGGAGATTAATTTAGAAACCAAAGTTTTGAAGAACCTAAGATTAGCTTGAATTTTCACAAAAGATAATTTAACAATTTACACATACATGGTAAGTGCTCATATGTTTTTATTTACTTTTAGAAGAAATGTTAGTAAGTTATAATTTTAAAAAATATTTTAACAAATTCAAATTATAACATTATAGAATATTTTTTCTAGAACAGAAATTTTAGAGTATATCAGCACTCATGAGCACTATGCTCATTTAATTTTTAGGGAAAGTATTATAATAAGTTAGTAAGTTCTCCTTTTTATGTGAAAATTTTAATAAATTTGAAGTATTAACATGTTAAGGTAACTGTTCTAAAAAATAAGTGAGATTATATAATCAGAACCGAGTTTGTGTGTGTATCATGCACTCCTAAACTCGACACTAGTTTGTGCAAATTAACATTTTTTTTCCTTGCAGTGTAGATGTTCGATCTGTAGGTTGTGCTATCCATTCCAAGTAGCTTTCACGCATCAACATCAATAAGGAAAACAAGGGAGCAGACTACCATTTCAACAACAGCTTAAAATAGACAGCTTACCAATAAAATACTTATTGAGAACTTCTTTAATTTGTTTTTCAAAGGCTAATATATTCTTACTGGGCCACTCCCCTCCCTCCTACTGATTTTGAAAGCATTCAAGCAGAAAAAAAAGAAAAGATGGATGTTTAAATAAGCTTTTAATGGATGCTTCATAACACGAAAAAAAAATTAATCAAAGAGAATCATTCTATGTGTGGAAGCTACAACATTTAAAAAATATTAAAAGAAAAACACTCTGTATGGACATCATAAATATTATGTATGTACATTACGAACTTCGCATCGATTCTGTTTCGTGCATAGCCCTCATTTTTTCATTGGCAAAGAAGAGTGTGATTCCACTAGTATTGACCAGAGGACGTGCACGTCTTCATAGGGGCAAGATTTGACATCTTCATATAGAATGTATATGCCTCTTCCTGAAATGTTTAAGAACATTTGTGAAAATTTGTAAAATGTGTGGAAAGAATGAATTGAATAAATGATGCCTGCGCCTAGCTATATAGGAGAAGTTGAGTGAGTGAAGAGAAAAACTTGAAAAAGAATTCAAACGACGAGGCCTTTGAATTGTTCTACAAAATCTTATTGAAATGCAGGTGAAGGAGGGAAGTGCGTTGCATGTAATGCACGAGTGTTTGAAGAATAGAAGAAGAAGCATTGTGGAGAAGATATGAGAAAAGCTTTTCTGGGAAACTAGCATGAGTAAGAGAATGATGCAGTGTGATGGAACGTACTCTTGTTTTGAGTGGAATGCATCCGGAACCAAAGCTTCTTGAGTGGAGAGAGGAGGGATTGCAGCCACCCCATTTGGTGAAGTGGGTGTGGCTCATGCAGGTGTAACAAACATGAGGGCCATAATAAGAAGAGGGTAAGAGAGATAAAGAGGGGATCTCTATACTCTTTGCTTAAACAAGGGTGAACATTTTGCAAGGTAGCTTTTCATGTTTTGGGACATTTTTACATTCCCTTGCAGGCCAATCATGAAATTCACATTTGTTGCTGGTACATTGTCCCTTTCAAACCTCTTATCCCTTACAGAAGAAAAAGAAAACACTCCACCAATCAGCTTTGCATCTCACACTTTGACGACCATAAAACTAAAATAAAGATAAAGAAAAGAAGCCTCTATTGGTATCCATTTTTTCCCTTTCCCTAAAGAGCAGTGGTGGCTTATGCCTCAAGATAAACTTCCTTTTTTTCACCATCATTTTGCATCTCTATTAGAGGTAAAGGGCACACATTGGGGAGGTTTCCATATTTTCACACATAGGCCCTCCTCTTGCATTTTAAGCAAGTACAATCTCACTTTCATAGAGTCTCCAACAAGGCACCCCACCACACTTTGTTTCCTGTTAGTCCACCTGTTCCTCTAGGGTGCCTTACAAGAGTGAAGACAATACTCACTCACCCAGGAATGTTTTGCTCACTCACCTTCAACACGTCACTCCCATGCCTATGATTTGTCTTATCTATTTTGCCCCACACTCCTAATGGTAGTCCCAAGCTACAATTTTTAGTATAGAAGATATTTATGGGCCTACCATTTTCAATCTTAAACTGCTTGGTTGAACCACCAATAAGTAGAAAAATTAAACAGGGCAGTTAGTACATACAGGGTCAAGTTTATCTAAAAAAATAGTTTTCTCACTATCAAAAGTGTTTTATTTAACTCAATTTATTAACAGCGTCATATGATTTGCTTTTATTTTTTTATACCAAATTCTTTACAACATAAATTAGACATAAGAAACAAACATTTTTAGAAAGACTAAGAAATTTTCTTCTGGCTTAGTGTAAACAATCACTGTAAAGTACATTAAGGCTGTAATCTTTAAACTTATTATTCAGATTTTCACCCAAAATTTATTTCAATACCATTATACGTCTAAGCGTTTAATTTCTCAGCCTCGAAATTTCATCTTTTATAACGTAGCATTCTTTCACCTTTTTATGAGATTCGATTTATCTATGAATAGTGAATAGCACGCAAATCCAATTTTTCACTAGATCCCACCTTATTGTAATTCTTAGTTACATACAGAGTAAGGTTGTCAATAATTTATCCTAATTAACGGTTTAGTCATAACAAATTCTATTTTTTTAACACCCAGATGCTGTTGTTTATTTTTCTTTAACTCTTCATTCTCTTTAAAAGGAAAATTTTGGTCAAAATTGTTTTAATAAATATTTTCTTTTATAAAATCTAATTAAAAACTTCTTTTAAGAAAAAAGAGAACATCAAAACAAGTAGATAAAATACAACCTTTAAACAACTTTTCTTCTTAATTTAGAAACTGTTAAAATTGAATCGGTCATCTACTATTTGAGTTTTTTCTTTCAAATATAATAACTAATTTAATTGAAACAAGTTAAAAACTGGGGAACTATTTTACGTTTTTGTTCCATAATATCATATGATAAATTGATTTATATATTTATTTGCTGATTTTTTTTAATTCATTTTATAATGATAGATTCTCTATATTGACTGTTAAAAAAATTATACTTGTAATATATAAACTAATCATATAAAATTAGCAGCCTTTACTTTATTTGAATCTAATTTACGTACACAGAAGCAATGCAGTGGGTGTGAAGTGGAGTATGGATTTCAAGGTTTTTAAAGCCCAAAAATGAGTGGACTGGGACTACGATCAGAACCAGGACCAAACTTTTGAGTCCCAAAGTCGCGATCAGACTCTCAAAACTTAAATTTGCAGAGAATTTGAATAACAGTTGCCTCAGATTTTTCATGGCTACCCCGTGACTCTGAGTCTTCTCGTGATTATTCTTTTGTACCCTTCTTTCTTCATAACTTCAATGTAAATATCTAATACAATAAATTAAATATTCACCAATGACTACATTTCTATGCATCAGTGGCAATGAAACAAAAATCTATAGCCAAGAATTTGGGTGAAGATAGCGTTTAGATAACTGATTAGATGTGTTTCGAAGTTGTTATTAGAGTAAAATGCATGGAAAAAGGGGCAAAAAGTGAAGAATTGTTGACGTGCTTCCAAGAAACGAATTCAGAAGGATCGCAGAATCTGGAATGAGATGGAGATGGTAAGTGAATAGATTGATTTGTTGCATCCATGCACAATTCTCCAATCCTTATATGTAAATTTTTAGGAAAAAAATTCATAAGTAAAATTAATTTTTGCACTAATTATGTTTTGACTTTAAATTTATGATAATGTAATTAGAATCGATCATATAAATTGTTATTTACTTTTTTATATTAAATTTTTTTAAGTAAATGATATATATATATATATATCATTAAAAAAATTCAAAATCATCACAAAATAATATTCAAATTTTAAAATCGATATATAATATTTTAATAATTTATCTTAACAGAATAGTATTTTAGTTGGTATAAGATTGAAGTTAATTTATATAAAATATTATTTAATCTTTATATTAAAATTTGTATATAAATTAATTTTAATGTAAACAACAAATTATTTATTTTTTATACATAATTTTGTTTAAATATATCTAATTTATTCAATTAGGTATTTTTAAGTTGGTTGTTTTATCTTAATAAAATTATAATATAAATATATTTTATATTCAATAAAATAAAATATTATATTATATTATATTTTTAAAGATGATTTCTCTATAATTTTCGTTATATATATATATATATATATATATATATATATATATAATAAAGTTATAATTAAAATTATTATTATATCTTTTTCATATTTTTTATTTTTTTTCTCGTCCAATCTTTTTTTATTTCTTTTTATAATAAATTTATAATTAAAATTATTATTATATATTTTTTATTTTTTTCTAATCCAATCTTTTTTTATTTCTTTTCTTTTGCTCTTAAGTCGTTTATTTATTTATTTTTTCTTTTCTCTCTAATACGATTAGACTATCTTTTTTATTTTATTTTATTTTTTGTTAAACATCTCTTTTCTTACAATTTTTTTTACAAGAGTCTTACGTTATTAAAAGTTGAAATTATCGAAATTTATATATATAAATACTTTTTATAAATAATTATAATTATAAAATTATTATTATATATTTTTAATTTTCATTGAATAAAGATAACATATTTATATTTTTTTTACAAACAAAAATATTTTCTCATTTATCTCATAATATTATTATTTTCTTTTTTTTTACAAAATGAAATTAATATTAAATATTATACACGATTGTTTAATTTTCAAGAAATATCTCTCTATATATATAATTTATTCTAAAAATATGAATTATTCTTATTATTTATTAATTCATTTAAATTATTAAGTTATGTAAAATAATAATGAAAATAAAAAATAAATTTTAGAATCTTATTCTTATTTTTATTTTTTTCTTTACTTATCGTTCATTCTTTAGTAATATAATAATTTAAAATAACCATTCATCTAAAATACTCAATATATTTAACAATGAATTATTTTATTAATATAATCATCATAATTATTATATTATTAAAATAAATATCAATTCATTATGTTTCCCTCAACTTCAGTATGTCAAAATCATGAAACCTAAATAGAGAAAATAAAAGGTGTAAGAGTGTGTGTAGTTTTGGGTGTCTGAAATAAGACTCTTTTTTTCCCTTTTGCTTCTCCTTGTATTTTGCCTTTTTCTATAAGCCTCTAAATTTTGACCTGAATCGACCCGAAAATTGGGTTAAAGCTAATGGTAGCACCATGTGTCATCTTGAGTGCAGCTTTTGCAGCTGCCCAAATCCTGCTTCCATAGTTCATACATCACAATATATTGAACTGTCAACACCAATATTCAATGCCAGATTGGCAGAGCGTGCGTGAGGAATGCATGCATGCATGTTTGTATCATCACATTTCTGATCAACAAAATCATTCTTAATAATTCCCCAACTACACCTTATGTAATACTTTGATTCCACTTGTGTTTTTTCTGACAGAGACAAAGATATAAAACAGCCAACTCAATAAATAATAAATATAATGTGAAGTTTTAAAAAGAATTATAAATATGATGGGATGGTTTGATTAAACAGTCGTTTTCCGTTATGAATCAGTGTGGGATGCATTCTGTGATGACCCCATCTCATACCATTCACCATCAAAACACATCACTTTTCCCTTTTTTTTCTCCCATGTCAGTCACTTTACATGCTTCCAATCCACCTTCCCTTTTATTCAGTGTGTTTCCTTCAATCTCTTTCTGTCTTCTCTCTCTTGAGTTTCTTCCAGAGAAGATCATATATTATTACTAGTAGAGATTTGATCATATAGGAGTGTTATATAGATATATATTATTGAATTATCTCATCACTTGTGAAGTTGGTGTTTCTTGAAAATGAGTAAGAAGGATGAGAGAGGCAGGGCTAGAGTTGAGGCAGTTCTTGAGCTCATCAGGAAACAAACCCCGCTCACTGTTAAACAGGTTCTTCCTTCACATCCTCTTCTCTCTACTTCCACTCACAGTTCTTTCAGTAGGTAGGATACTTTCTAATCAAAAGTGACAATTTTATTGAACTGAGAGTAAATTGTTGCAGTTTTAAATTTTGTCGCTTTTAGTTTATTTTCTTGCCTTCACGTGTGTTGGGAATGGTGGTGATCTACATGTTCTGCTAAAAGCAATTATTTGAAGGAGAATTACTCCAAAATGATGTTCTTGGTCTGATATACACATGTTTTTTGTTCGTAATTTTTGTGTTTTCAGAAGAAGTTCTGCAACAATGCTTGCGTGGAACGATTTCTAAAAGCAAAGGGGGATAACGTGAAAAGAGCTGCCAAGCAACTCAGGGCTTGCCTTTCTTGGAGAGAGAGCATAGGCGCCGGTATATAAATAATTTATATACATTATTACAATGCTCTTCTCACATTCTTCTTCCCGTTCTTAACTATTTTACATCTCAAGGAATGTGAAAACCAGCCAAAGAATCTTGCTCTTCCTGTAAATTATCTGAATGAAGTCTTACACAGCAAAATGCACCCTACTTCCTAGCAATGATTAAACTCTCCCTCCACCCCTAAAAGCAAAGTGTTTTTCTTCAGTCTTTTTCCTTCAATTTAATATAAGATTATACTAAATTTTTTATGTTTAATTTTTTTAAAACAGATCATTTGATGGCAGATGAGTTTTCAGATGAACTGGCTGATGGGTTGGCGTACGTGGCTGGTCAAGACGATGAGTCCAGACCTGTAATGGTAATTTATCATGATCTGCCTTGTTTGTTCTGAACATGGGTGTGTGTGAACTCTGTATAGGTTTCTGCAAAAGCCTTGTTTAAGTGTGAGTTAATAATAGCAAGGAGTTGTATTGGGGTAACAGATTTTGCGGATGAAGAAAGAGCACCAGAAGTTTCATTCCCAGAAAATGTAAGTCCGGAAACAGAAGAGAAGAATCGTTTTCAGCCTTTTGTTTTATTAATGTCATCATCTGCACTGCACTGCAGCAGCTACTGCAGTGGAGCTAAACTGCGGTTGGTTTCTTCTCTCTCAAGGTTCACTCGTTTGTTGGTCTTCACAATGGAGGTGGCTGTTTCGACCATGCCAAAATACGTACAACAATTTGTCATGCTTTTCGATGCGAGTAAGGACCTCAACCCTAAACATACTAACCATGCAAAGACAATGAAGATTCACACCAGATACTTTCTTTACACATTTTTAGTCAGAAAATGTCTAGTAAAGGGTATTATTTGGAACTGATTATTATGAATATATTCTTCTAGATCTTTATGGCTTCCTTAACATAGTGCTGACTTTGCATATTAACACAACACTGTATTTGAGTGATTTTTGAACTAAGCATATAGAAATTTGGTTGCAGGCTTTTACAAGTCTTCATCTGCTTTCATGAACTTACTAATGGGAGCACTGAAGATAACGGGGGAGTACTATCCTGGGCGGCTACATAAAGCGTTTATCATAGACCCTCCCTCGCTCTTTCCTTACTTTTGGAAGGTAAAGCTCATAATCCATTACGCAAAAGTATGGTAATAATCTGATCATGATTCTGGGTGTTACATGTGCAGGGTGTGGGGGCATTCGTGGAGCTATCAGCAGTGACCAACGTGGTATCAACGATGGATTTGGATGATGACGATGACGATGAAGCATCAGCGGACATAATTGGAGGAAGGGGCTTATGCTCCTCGTCGCGCTTTGCCTTCACGGTGTCCCATCACGTTGACTCCCTCAAGCCTTGGTATCTCACCCTGTCGGATACGTCAGCCTCGAGGAAGACTCCGGTGCCGCCGCAGCGCACTCCGCGGCCGTCGTTTCTGCAATCGCCGGCGGGAATCCTTTTCCGGCGCTGTGATAGGGTGTCTCGGGAATCTTTCTTCCCGTTATGGAAGTTATACAAAAGGCCATACGACGAAATGGTTTACAGGTCAAAGATGAAGGCCCCACTGGGAGGACACATTAGACGACGCCACATTTCACTTTCTCAACGTTTCTGAATCTCATTTCTCCCATCTTCTTCTTTTTGCTTTTCCTTTTTCTCCTTTTTTTCTTTCCCCATAACTTCACCATTAGGAGTAGTGCTGCATTTGTTTGTTGTTTCACCTGAATTTCAACTATGTGTCAGTCCTCATGTGATGCCATATATATATATATATGCCAACGAAGAGAGACCCAAATTCAACGACTGACATGGCGTGAATCAATTAATAATGTGATGTGATCAGATTTATTTTTTTGTTTCTAGTGTTTGCCTTTCATCAGATAAAAAGAAAAATGACATAATAATATTGGAATTTAAGTGTGAGTGAGAGTTTCACGTAGATGTTTATAATATATTAGGTTAAATTTATATTATACTATTATTATTAAAATTTATAATTTCGTTGTGTTTTAAAATGTTAAAGAAAAAGTCCTGCATTGCAAGGATTAAATACTTGTTTTCAACAAAATACTAACGACAATAAACGTAGACTTTGTTTCTCGTTTATGCGAAGGGCTTAACTGTTTAAGCCCAATAAAATGGAACCTACAAACAAAGACATGCGCATAGAATGGAATCGACTTTAACTTCCTGCACCTTAATAATTTTTTTTTTTCACTCTATTATTTATTTTAAATTAAATCATAAGTGTCATTAAACTAATGATGGGTCTCCTAATTCGTTCTATAGTTACAAATCAGTATTGTTATACAAAAAAACTGATCGGAACTTGTTATATTATGAGATGTGTAAGTTTCAGATCATCTAATATAAAGTGTTTGATAATATATAGCTAGCTGCTGAGAATATAGGTTCTCCAAACATTTGGATACAAAGAAAAGAGTGACTTATAATTCTCAGTGGCTTTTTTTAAGAAATGAGAATTGGAAGAAAAGACAAGCCTAATAGAATTATTAGGAGAAGAGAGAACATGGAGGAAAGGCACAATACATTATTTATTTAATCTATGATTTACAATTGAAATTGAAAACATCAGCATGTAACTTATACTGTAGCTATTACTTGTTCTGCCCAATATAGATGATTTTTTTTTATTAAATTCATAAAACAAAAACAAAGATAGCACACAACCGTAGATGATTAATGCAATGAGCTCATCATAGTTTTTTGGAACAAGTTAAAAGCTTGAAGTATTATTGGAGAGAGATTTTTCTGGAAGCTTTGGCACTGCAGTGACAAACTATAGGCCTTGATCTGCCATCATATGATCATAAACCAAAGGAGGAACACCAACTTCCACGGTTCCATCCAGCATTTGCATCACGTGCTTCATTGAAGGCCTAAGAGAAGGATTTGGATGAACACACCATATTCCAACCAAGGCCATTTCCTCAAACTTCTTGAAATCATTCAGCACTTCTAAGTCATGTCTCACCACTAGCTCTAGTTTCCTAGACACCGCACACCTTAAAACCCAATTTGAAAGAACCAAATCATCATCTTCACTGTCTTTTCCGTCCTGACAAACCACAACGTGTCTTCTGCAGCAAATAATCTCCAATAACATAACTCCAAAGCTGTATATGTCAACTTTGGCAGTTACTGGAGCACTTCTTAGCCATTCAGGTGCCATGTATCCCATTGTCCCTCTTAAATTAGTGCTAGTTCTTGTCTGATCTTTTTTCAAAAGCTTGGAAAGCCCAAAATCTGCAATTTTTGCTGTGTATTCGGCATCAAGTAACACATTTTCTGGCTTGATGTCACAATGTATGATTTGGGTGTTGCACTCTTCGTGCAAGTATAGCAGGCCTCTTGCGACTCCAAGAGCCATTTCAATCCTCTGACCCCAATGAGGCCTATCTCCCTCGCCAAACAAAAAACCAGACAGGGCACCATTTGACATCATCTCATACACAAGAATTCTATGACTACTCTCAATGCAAAAGCCCAAAAGCCTCACCAAATTTCTGTGATGGGTACGGCCAATAATTTTTAGCTCAGTCATGAATTCTCTTTCACTTTTCTCAATTTTCTTTTCTAGTTTCTTGACTTTAATACCAATCTCTGCACCATCTATTATAAGCGCACCACGATAGACCTTGCCTGAAGCTCCCTTTCCGAGAATCCTAGTGAATCCGTCTGTTGCTTCATGCAGCTCCTGAAAGGTGAATTCTCTGAAGTTGATTCCAATAGCGGTTGCGTTCAGGTGCTTCTTTCTTCTTGTTAGTCTCCGAGCGAAAGGATGATAGTATACAACAAGGGCACCAAAGAAACAGGCAAGAGTGGCAGTAACTGCAAGAAGAACCTTCAGAAAGACTTTTACGTTAAAAATTTTCTTCTTGGGAACTTTAGATGTCCCAGACACTTTAAGTAGTGCTTTCATTCCCTTTGAAGAAGAGCTATTTCTAGCATTCAGCAAGGGCAGTCTCTTCTTGACACATGTGGAGGTGGAAGGGCTATATGTTGCAGCAACGATATTACAATCATCTATTACAGCCTTCTTACAACTTTCCAAGTCGACACTAGCTAAACGAAAAAAATCAGTATTGAATTGGAAATCAGTGTCGTCAAAGACCTGGAGCTCGAAGTTGGTCTCTGCACAATAATTGATGTCAGCAGGTGGGTGACACCCTTGGGAAACATCCTGATGATCCAATGGGATATAACCTGGAATACACTCACACTTCACTGATTCATTGTCAGGAGAAGTGCACAGACCATACACACCACAGACAACATTCACTCTGCAGGGGTCCTCCACAGCTCTCCAAACCCTACTCCACCCGCTCCCATTCCTTTTGTTATATGCGTATTGTTGGAAATTCCCATTCTCATCTATTGTAGCACGATGATAGTAATCCTCCACCGGTGTTGGAGTGGTGTTGGTTAAGGAGTAGATGTTCCTGGTGCCGCTGACAAGGTACATGAGAGCAGTGGTAGCATTATACACCAAAGTCACATTGGAGGTTTCGGCGGTTGAAGTGAACCAGTATGCAGGGTCTGACCACTGGTACGCTTTGAGCACCAAGTTGCCATCTTGTTGCATTTGTAACATGAAACTTCCCATTGAGTAGTTTGAAGGTCCTTTCCCCTTGGAATGGAGGGTTTGATTAGTCTGCAAGGTTTGGCCTGGTAAGATTGTGTCCGTTAAATTGTTGAAACTCTGCCACACAGGTCCTAAGTTGGTGTTATTCAAGACAAAATTACCATCATCTTGCATGTTGGCAGATGTTGCAGCACCTCCGTTTCCTCCATCATATATTGTCCGAGCAGTAGTTCCGTTTGGGTATACTACCAAAAGTTGTCCTGCAGAAGTGAATTGGATTTGGGAATTTTGTCCCACAGGAGGAGTGATGTACCATACGAGTGTTCTCTCTTGGATTCTCCCAAACCATATTCCTACAAGAAAGAGACGATTGCGAAGAGCGTGAAATCCAAATTCAAAATCACCGGAGGGTGACTTCCACGTAGAGTTTGTTCCAGCAGCGATGCTTGTATTTGATTGTATGGCATGTAAGCCATTCAGATGTGAAAGTGAAAGAAGTGCAAGAATGGAAGAGAGAAAGATAGCTAAAGACATTATAATTTATGTAGAGTGAGGGAAGAAAAATGGCAATGAAGGTGTATAAAACAACAACAAAAGTTGAGGTGAAGAGTCTTCTTCACTGAACGGATTGATTATTGGGCAAAGAGAAAATTTCAAAGTAATTAATATGTTTACTAGTAGGCTTGTTTCAGAGTTGCTAATTTTCTTGTCTAATTTAATTTGGTGCGAACGTTTGCAGAGCCAATCAAATATCATAAAGTTGGACATTCACCAATAATGAAACTTCCTTGTGAAGTTGGGGCTTGCTTTTCCACACATTCATCATGTTCAACGGATTAAGGCTGAGTTGAAACTGCAGAAAATGAGGATAGACACTATTATTTCACTTTTGTTTGTATGAAAAGTCCTTTGAATTTGATAGACATAAAATGTGGAAAATGTGGTATATAATATTAATAAAATAAAAAATTGAATTGTTTATACAAATTTGTTTTTACACAATTGTTTCCCATTTTATCTTTTATATTGTATAATTATTTTTCCAATTTTTCGTTTTAAATCAAAATTTTATTTTTAATATTTAATATGTTTAAAAAGTTGAAAATTTATTCCCTAGAACTTTTTAAATTATAATTTTTTTTTCAATATTTTCTTAATTATATTTTTAGAAAATGTAGTGCCAAAGGCTTTATTTCCATTAGTTAAATATACTAATAATTTTTTTGGTTGATAATACCCTAAAAGTTTGGGAGGAAGTAATTGTTTATTGAAATATTTAAATAAAATTAACAAATTATTTTAAAAAATTGTTACTTCATAAATAAATAAATAAGGAAAGAAGAGAATAAAACTTTAAAATTTCTTAAAAAAAATCTTTATTGAAATAAATAGAAATAAAAAAATAAAAAACATCTCTATCAGAGTTTCCCTTAGTTTTATATAAAATACAATTAAAAATATAAATTTTAAAACACGTAGTCTTTGAGCTTAAAAACCGAAACTTTAAAAATCTACTATTTTAAATATAAAATAATTAATTAAAGTTTTCATATAATGTTACTTCAAAAATAACTTATTAGAAAGTTTTTTTTTCTTGATCTATCATAAAATTACTTGTTAGAATAATAAATATATAAAAAAGACTTCTGGAATGAAACGCATTGCTAGAAAATACAAACATCGGACATGTCATGTATAACAACTTCTGAAACAGACACACGAAGACACGAAAAAAAGATATGATGCATTGATGTTGTATACATGGGATAACATTACGCCTTGTTCTGGAGAGTAACCAAATCCAGTGAGGCACCATAGCTTCTATTTAGTGCCTCAGCGCACCAACCATGCCCATCATCCACCGATGGCATCCTTACTTCCATAACAGGAATTGCAGGTTTGCGAGAACCAGGCATCACAACACCAGCTAAAACTCTTAGCACGTTTGCAGCATCTATGTCCATGCACACATTGATTTCTGGCATGCCTTTAGGCGCCGCAGGTATTCCCATTATCTTGAAATATCCCAATAGGTGGTTTTCTTCTGCCTTTTCCCCCTCACCTTCATACACAATAATCAACGCCTCTGTTTGATTATCATGGATTGTTGTGAAAACTAGCTCCTTTCGTGCTGGCATTGCTGTATCCTTCGGAATTACGGGCACAAATTTGTTCCCATCAGCACGAATGCCAATGGCAAGAGGTGTGGCTTGAATAGTTAACAAATCCAAGTTCCCCAAGGGATCATTGATGCCTGAAGCGACTGCTCCTTCCAGTGCTGCACCGCAAACAGGAGCTTCCAACGGATTCATGCCTTTATAAAGTTCCTTCCCTTTACAAGTGTTAGCAACAAGATTCTTCACCCTTGGGATATAAGAGCATCCACCAACAACTATCACATCATTTACATCTTCAACTTCTACCTTGGCATCTTTCAAACACTGGATGATAAGGCTTTCACATTTCTCAAACACCTTTCTGTTTACCTCCTCAAACTCCTCCCGATCAACAGTCTTCCATATCTTCAAACCATCTCCCAAATCTACATCAACCTGAACGCTGGTCTGAGAGGAAAGCTGGTGAATTGCATCCTGGGTTGCAACTCGAAGCAGGCCCATCCGTTTAATTTCTTTGACCCTGTGGTTCTGAAATAGATTTCCAGATTCTGGCAACAGATGACGCATCATATTCTGAAGCAAGTCTTCACCACCAATGGTACTTCCTGCCAAAGCTTTAATCTGTGAAACTCCTCCCGCTGTAGCAGTGACAGCAACATCACAATAACCAGCACCCATATTGAAAATGAGAGCAATTTTCTCACATCCACTGCCCATATTCTCATGAGCATTTTGCTGTTGTTGCTGTGCATACAACAAAGCCACAGCTGTTGGTTCAGGCATCAACCTGAGAACATGAAGGCCAGCCATGGCACAAGCACGCTCTATCCGGGTTAGCTGAAATCGACTGAATGAAACTGGAACTGTAAGAACCACATTTCTTATTCTTCGTTTCAGCTGAGCTTCAATCATTGCCCTTAATTCCACCAGAAATATCGCCAGGACTTCTTCTGGAGTAGTGGATCTCCACATATTGTTCACTAATGCGGCAATAAATGGGCGAACACCAATGTCCAATGTCTGCACTAGAAATGGGAGATTCTTACTTGCATGGACAACTGGGTCGGTATCAACTCTGCCAATCAGGCGTTTCATGTTGAAAATCGTGGCTCCAGACAACATCTCATCCTCATGGGAGAGTTGACTGCAGACCCCACCAGAAGGGGTATTACCTTTGAAAGTTACATATGATTTCATAATCTTTTGATTCCCTGTGTTCTTCAAAAGTTCGACTCGGGAACCACTCCACATAGCAACACTACATTGTGATGTGCCAATATCAATTCCAATTGCTATTTCAGAAAAAGTAGATGGTTTTTCTTCTCCAGTGGTTTCGCTGTCAGATGTCACAATATATGCAGGTTCTGCCATTCTGTGTTTAACAGATAGAATAGAAGAACGTTGAGGTTTCTCCCAAACATTATAAAGAAGTGTTTAGCAGAGTTCTATTCAGTTAATTATTATTTTGTTTCAAAGTTTCATTTTCGGAAAGTTGAGCACTCTGTAGGACAAAAGCTAACATGATCATTGTAGAAGTGCGGAACAGAGTAAATATGAAAGTAAAAGCACAAGTAACATTTCACCATGCGATTATTCAGGATTGATCATTAGCCATCCATTCTACAGTTGTTAAACTAGATTTTCCCTGAATTTTCTGAAGATAAAATTTCATGAAATAAATGTGCATCATGCATGTGCATTGTGCATTCATATAATCATATGTAAGTATCTCACCACAATTCAAACATAATTCCAGGTGTGAAAAAACATGAATCACATTCTTTGTAGGACTTTTTACAAACATGTAAACTACAAGTGAATAACTAGAGTATGCCACTAAACAATCCACAGCAAACGCTCACACCATCCATTATCCTTCTTAAAAATATGTAATAAATCAGTCAACTTAGACTCGCTTTCAACGTTGAAACGAGTTTCATTAAACGCAAAACCTAACCATGAATCTTTTTCTCAAATTAAGCTAGTTAAGTAGATTCAGGAACGAATCATCATCAAGCATCGCTATGTATAAAACCAGTTCAAATTTTTATTCTCTATGATTACATTTCCTCAATTCCAACATATAAGTAAAACTGTGCTTCTGTACTTGTAGTGTGAGTGTGAGTACGATGACAATTTCATTGGTCGATTATCAATTAAAATAAAACGAAAATAGCATAAGAAAAGATAAATAATGAAGATTGAGAAGAGGTGAAAACCTGAGTAATGCAGCAGAGCAATACAATGTGATTGACTGATCAATTAAGCCAGAATGTGAAGCAAACTCAATTAAACCAAACAGGTTCATATAAGAAACGGAGAGTGAGAGAGTTGCCGACTATTACCCATGGAAAGGTGCTCAAGTTCTAGACCCTCCCAGAACGCAAGTAACCGTCTAATAATTTCTCTTGCATTATTTATATCTATTACATTAAATTTATTTTAAATTATTGATTTTTCTAAATAATTTAATTTTTTTAATTAATTCATCCAGTTGTAATAAATAGACAAATTTAATATAATAAGTATTTACAATCAAATTAAATTAGTTTGATTTTTAAATTTTAATTTAAAATTTGTATTAAATTATATAATTTTTAAAAAATATCTAATAAATTTTAATTTTAATTTTTTAATTGATTTATAATAATTTACCTATTCATTTTTAAGTACGGTGATTGATTGTTTTGTAATTTTTAATCAGATTCTTTTTTTCTTACATCCATCTTATATCGATTTGTTCTGTAAGATTATATAACTTTCATTGAATAATGTCAGCAAATAGTAATTAGAAGATGCCAAATCACAAAATATCAGACAAATAGTAAGTTTATAATATTATTTTAGCTGAAAACTAAAAATATTATTGAAAAATAAATTACAAGTTATTTTAAATCTTTTTTGTGTATATACTAGAAGTGTCTAGAAAGTGTCCCGTGGCTGAGCCGAAGGGAACTCACTGGAACCTCTCACTGTTCTAAAGTTATCCTAGTTAAATTTTGAGAGTATGTTCTGAGAAACTTCTTCTGTGATTATTTTAAATAAAATATATATTTTTTAAAGATAAATTAACTTACACATAAATAACTATTTGTTTATTTAAATTGTATGAAAGATTATCTATATATAAACTTGTTGAAACAAACTTTGATCGAAATAGTATTTACTTTATGATCACAAGTTGAACATTTTCTTTTAACATTAAAATAAAAACTAATTACATCAAGGAGTTAAAATATTAAATATTTAGTGTTAATTGTTATGTTAATCTTGAAAAGTTAGAAACTGCTGACCTTAAAATTAGAGATTTTATAGTAGTATAACTATTTCATTTATTATATCACATATTGTATTAAAGCAAATACTGTTTTTAATTCAATTAAACTTATATTAAAAAATTTACCAATAAAATTATATCCATGTTTGATATACACGCACAATATAAATATTATCAAAATCATATTAAAACAAAAATATTTTAAAAATATACAAATATACATAATTATTTTAAACAAATATTATTATTTATTTATAATCATGGAATTTAAATATCTGTGTGTCCCATGTATATGTTCTGGGATGTTTAAACAAAAATATGAATGTTTCAAATAGGCATTAATGATGCAGCAGGCATAGGACTAAGTTTGCACAAAGAACGTGTAGGTAATAAATTAACATGAAACACATTTTCCAAGTCAAAGAAAATTGAATGGTGCATGTATTTGTACAAAATTGATTGTTTCAAAGTCTATCTATCGTGAGCACGAGCTTTTAGAAAAAATGGTGGCTATCGAAGTGAGTGACTTCAGGCAAGGCAACCCTGTGCTGTGTTGGATGGGTCTATGGTGCAGTAACAGGAAAGTCAGTCTTCAACAATGAGTGATAAAGTCTTCCACCATGAGTCTAGCAATATCATCGAAATCACATAAGAAAATGCAACCAAGAGTTGTCATGCTGGCACTATAGCACCAGCAGAATATTGACCACAGAAGAATTTATATCAATGTCTGACTGGGTAATAAGCAGTACTGGCCGCCATTTTTCTATATTTATACATTCTGCTACTTGCATATATTTATATCGATTATTGATTAGTTATATCGGATGTCAACTTAGTATCTTCATATAAAAATAATTTATCTTTCTGTTTTTCGTTTTCTAAATTTGCACGATGCTTGTTCCGAAGTCTAGCATTATTATTCAAGCAATCTTATCCTATCCACACAAGGCATGGGATTTTCTGCTACCAAAAGTCTTCCAGATTACCAAAGAAATTTCCCTGATCACTTTCATTCATCATATACGATAGAAAAATTATATTTTTACAATTTGATATCTCAAAAATCTATTCAACAATTTCTTTTAATATTAATATAGTAATAAAAGAATAAATTTTATATTTATTATTAATATTATATTATTAAACTGAGTTGTGTGAATGAATCTGATCTATAGATATCAGTATTCTATATTATATCATGTGGATACAACTTTAGTTACACGGTTTTAACCATTCCTACCAAAATGGCTACGGAGTTTCTTGTTCTCTCTGTTGCCATACTTCTGTTTTTCAATGTTCGTAGGAGCGCCAGCTCAATTGAACTGGGATCCAGCATTGTGGCTGGAAGTGGTACCAATTCATCTTGGCGATCATCCACCGGTGATTATGCTTTTGGATTCTACCGTCTTGCTAGTGGTCACTATCTTGCTGGAATTTGGTTTGACAAAATTCCAAATAAAACATTGGTTTGGTCTGCAAACCGTGACAATCCAGTTGAAAGTGGATCATCCATCAATCTCACACGAAGTGGCCAGTTTGTGATCCAACGTCTCAATGGGGTTTCATCCCCCATCTACAAAGGAGCAGACGCAGCTTCTGCGACGATGCAGGATGATGGGAATTTCGTCTTGAGGAATTCACTTTCCAATGTTATATGGCAGAGCTATGATTCACCCACTGATACTCTTCTATTAGGCCAAACTTTGAATACGAGTCAGACTCTCTACTCCAATGCCAATGGATCAGTAGACTACTCAACGGGACAATACAGTTTGGAGATCCAACAAGATGGCAACATCGTTCTTAAAGCTTATCGGTACACGGATTCTGCCTACTGGTGGAGTGGTACCGCCCAAAACACAGGTGTGAGAATTATTTTTGAGAACACAACAGGTTTTCTTTACGCGGTCAATTCCACCCAACAAACTATATCTAACATCACGACTGAAGTAGTGGGTGCAGTCGAAGATTACTATCAACGTGTGGTGGTGGATGACAAGGGAAACTTTCAGAAGTTGATTTACCAAAAAGCAAATGGAAATGGGTGGAGATCTGTGTGGCAGGCCGTGACAAAACCCTGCACCGTGACTGCACTTTGTGGGGTATATGGTTTTTGCAATACATCTGGTTCTGACACCCTAACATACACTTGTGAATGCTTGCCTGGCTATACTCCTTTGGATCCAACTGTACCCTCCAAGGGGTGCTATCTCGCTGAGGTCAAGGACTTGTGTCCTGCAAATTCTTCTGCCTCAAACTTTAAGGTGGAAGTGAAACAGATTCAAGATGCTGATGTACCAAACGCTGGATACTTTTTTCTTGATCTAGAAGTCTTAGATGGGATGAATTTGGAAAGCTGCACGAGGGAACTGATGGATGATTGTCTCTGCATGGCTGCTGTTTTAAATGGCACTGCTTGCCATAAGAAAAAGTGGCCAATTATAAATGCCATAAGAATCATCCCTGACACTAGTAATCTTGTGATGCTGATCAAAGTTCCTCCGGTTGACAACATGGATAATAAAAACGATTCATCGTCTTTGCTTGTTTTGATAGTTGCTCTCGTCTCTTGCTCTCTACTTGCTGTACTGTTTGCAGCCACTGCGATTTACCATCACCCCGTTTGCCAGCATCTCATGCACAAACAAGCACCACCAAAGCCAAAGCCTATGGATATCAATCTAAAGGTATTTTCATTCCAACAGCTGAGAGAAGCAACTAATGGATTCAAGGATAGACTTGGTCGAGGTGCCTATGGCACGGTGTATAGTGGGGTTTTAAACATAGATGATCAACCAGTTGAGGTTGCTGTCAAACAACTGGAGCAAGTAGAAGACCAAGTTGAGAAAGAATTTGTGACAGAAGTTCAAATTATTGCTCTCACTTATCATAGAAATCTAGTTGGTTTATTGGGCTTTTGCAATGAGCATAACCATAGACTTTTGGTTTATGAGAAAATGGAAAATGGGACACTATCCAACTTCCTTTTTGGAGGAGCTAAACCCAGCTGGGACAACAGAGTTAGGATTGTGCTTGAAATTGCAAGAGGCTTATTGTATCTACATGAGGAGTGTGACCAACAAATCATCCATTGTGACATAAAGCCTCAGAATGTTCTGCTTGACTCTAGTTTCACTGCAAAGATTTCAGATTTTGGGCTGGCAAAGCTGATAATGAAAGATAAAACTCGAACAAACACAAATGCTAGAGGTACAGTGGGATATATGGCACCAGAATGGCTAAAAAATGCTCCTGTTACTACAAAGGTGGATATCTACAGCTTTGGCGTCATGTTGCTGGAAATCATATTTTGCAGAAGGCACATTGAGTTGCATCAAATTGAGGATGAAACAAGGGGTGATGACATGATACTCGTAGACTGGGCTCTACATCTGGCAATAGAAAACAATTTAAGATCCGCAGTGATTGATGATGTTGAAGTTGAAGCTGATTTCAACAGGTTCGAAAGAATGGCAATGGTAGGTTTATGGTGCATAAATGCCAATCCAACTCTTCGACCATCTATGAAAATGGTGGTACAAATGTTGGAAGGAAACATAGAAGTGGCTGTTCCACCATTCAACTGAGAGATTGGCAATTTATGTAATCTATCTTGACACCGAAAAAGTAAAAAAAGTCATTCAACAATTATTTTTATATTATTATTTATTTATTTTATTTTATTATCTTTGTCAATCAACTACAAAATAATTTTTAGGTTATTTATATGAGATGTTAAATTTGGTCGTCAAAAAAAATTGTAAGATTATCGTGTCATCTTCTCCTTCAACTTTTTAAGGGTGATTTGATTTAGTTTGTGTTTGACGTTAATGATGGATTTAAATGAATGAAAATAAGTAGATTTGAAAGAAAAAATAAATAAAAGTAGAATGGTTTGAATTAAGAAAAAGTTAGATAAAAAAAATTAAAATAAATAGAAAAAAAATTTATGAAAATTTATCATTATATATATACTACTAAAAATTCTTATTTTTCATGAAAATATTTTTATAAAATTTTGATAAAAATTACAAGAAATAAGTTTTCTATAAATTTAAACAATTTTTTCAAGAAAATAAGAAAAAAAAACTAATTTTCTACTAGTGGATTAATTTAATAAATTTAAAAAATATTTTAATTGATAAAATTATAAAATAATAAGATTATAATTTTACCCTTATCTTAAAAATATAATTTAAAATAAAATATAATTATTATAAATTATGTTAAAATAAGATGTGAAATATTATTTAAAATAGAAAAATTTAAAATTACAATTGCAACCATATCAAATATATTTTATAATTAACTTATAAAACCATATCAAATATTTATATATTAAATAATTGAGAATTATAAAATTATTAATTTATCATTAATATACTACTAAATAAAATTTTTATTAATAATAATATATTAAAAACATTATTCAAACTAAATATATATATATATATATATATAACAAACCCAAATTATTATTTAATACTAATAATTAAATATAAGTATAAATTAATATTAATAAAAATTTTAAAAATAAAGTAGGATTAATTCTCTATTAACACTAATAAATTATTTAATAAGGAGAACCTTGTCAAATCATTTTGAGTGTAGGAAGACAAGACAAACTGCAAGTCCAGTAGCATTTGGTGTCCTGCCAATTACCACTTTTCATTCCAGAGACGAGTGGTTCCTTATTCACAACTTCTTTCCAACAAATATTTATTTAATAATTTCATTTAATAGTATAATATTAATTTAAAATTATTTTTATTGTCGGGAAATCTTTTTATGATTATTATATCAATAAATTGAGTTATTCCATAGTTTTTTTTTTTCTTTGAAGTTGTTCTTATAGCACTTTTCTTTGTCAAAGCTCCAACAGCCTTTGGTCCAATCAACTAGACGATTGCGTGAAAAAGGACGCAAAAACAATCAGCAGTCGGAACTTTCATTTTGAGAGTGACTTCGACTTGGCAAATTGAGAGTGGATGACGAGTAGGATCATTAACAATAGTAGAATAATCATGACTACATTTATAGTATTTGACCAGGGCTACAATTGTTTTCATTCAACAATTAGTTGGACCAGAAACTAAAATAAGTAACGTACTTAAATTTTAAGAGATGATTCTTGACAACGGGTATAACCTATCAACACCCAAAAATATTATTATTTAAAGAGTATGATAAGCTGTCGTGAGATGTTAGGCTGTCAATAAAACATTTTCTTTGAATTTGAATTTTATCACTTCCACTTACAAAAAGACTTTTCCGATCAGCTTCTCTCGTGTTTTTTCTGCACCTCGATACTGTTCTTTCCTCACTTCACATCAACAAAAATGTCTTTAGCTATATTTCTCCCGTCCATTCTTGCACTTCTTTCACTTTCACATCTGAATGGCTTACATGCCATACAATTAAATACAAGCATCACTGCTGGTACAAACTCTACGTGGAAGTCACCCTCCGGTGATTTTGAATTTGGATTCTACCTTCTTCCCAATGGTCTCTTTCTTGTGGGAATATGGTTTGGGAGAATCCAAGAGAGAACACTCGTATGGTACAACACTCCTCCTGTGGAACAAAATTCCCAAATCCAATTCACTTCTGCAGGGCAACTTTTGGTAGTATACCCAAACGGAACTACTGCTCAGACCATATATGATGGAGGAAACGGAGGTGCTGCAACATCTGCCAACATGCATGATGATGGTAATTTTGTCTTGAATAACACCAACTTAGGACCTGTGTGGCAGAGTTTCAACAATTTAACGGACACAATCTTACCAGGCCAAACCTTGCAGACTAATCAAACCCTCCATTCCAAGGGGAAAGGACCTTCAAACTACTCAATGGGAAGTTTCATGTTACAAATGCAACAAGATGGCAACTTGGTGCTCAAAGCGTACCAGTGGTCAGACCCTGCATACTGGTTCACTTCAACCTTGACCTCCAATGTGACTTTGGTGTATAATGCTACCACTGCCCTCATGTACCTTGTCAGCGGCACCAAAAACATCTACTCCTTAACCAACACCACTCCAACACCGGTGGAGGATTACTATCATCGTGCTACAATAGATGAGAATGGGAATTTCCAACAATATGCATATAACAAAAGGAATGGGAGCGGGTGGAGTAGGGTTTGGAGAGCTGTGGAGGACCCCTGCAGAGTGAATGTTGTCTGTGGTGTGTATGGTCTGTGCACTTCTCCTGACAATGAATCAGTGAAGTGTGAGTGTATTCCAGGTTACATCCCATTGGATCATCAGGATGTTTCCCAAGGGTGTCACCCACCTGCTGACATCAATTATTGTGCAGAGACCAACTTCGAGCTCCAGGTCTTTGACGACACTGATTTCCAATTCAATACTGATTTTTTTCGTTTAGCTAGTGTCGACTTGGAAAGTTGTAAGAAGGCTGTAATAGATGATTGTAATATCGTTGCTGCAACATATAGCCCTTCCACCTCCACATGTGTCAAGAAGAGACTGCCCTTGCTGAATGCTAGAAATAGCTCTTCTTCAAAGGGAATGAAAGCACTACTTAAAGTGTCTGGAACATCTAAAGTTCCCAAGAAGAAAAATTTTAACGTAAAAGTCTTTCTGAAGGTTCTTCTTGCAGTTACTGCCACTCTTGCCTGTTTCTTTGGTGCCCTTGTTGTATACTATCATCCTTTCGCTCGGAGACTAACAAGAAGAAAGAAGCACCTGAACGCAACCGCTATTGGAATCAACTTCAGAGAATTCACCTTTCAGGAGCTGCATGAAGCAACAGACGGATTCACTAGGATTCTCGGAAAGGGAGCTTCAGGCAAGGTGTATCGTGGTGCGCTTATAATAGATGGTGCAGAGATTGGTATTGCAGTCAAGAAACTGGAAAAGAAAATTGAGAAAAGTGAAAGAGAATTCATGACTGAGCTCAAAATCATTGGCCGTACCCATCACAGAAATTTGGTGAGGCTTTTGGGCTTTTGCATTGAAAGTAGCCATCGAATTATTGTGTATGAGTTGATGCCAAGTGGAGCACTGCCCCGATTTCTGTTTGGAGAGAGAGAAAGGCCTCAATGGGGTCAGAGGATTGAAATGGCTCTTGGAGTCGCAAGAGGCTTGCTATACTTGCACGAAGAGTGTAACACCCAAATCATACATTGTGACATCAAGCCAGAAAATGTGTTACTTGATGTCAATTACACAGCAAAGATTGCAGATTTTGGGCTGTCCAAGCTTTTGAACAAAGATCAGACAAGAACAAACACTAATTTAAGAGGGACAATTGGATACATGGCACCTGAATGGCTAAGAAGTGCTCCAATAACTGCTAAAGTTGACATATACAGTTTTGGGGTTATGCTATTGGAGATTATTTGCTGCAGGAGGCACGTTGAGTCCAGTCAGGATGGAAAAAACAGTGAAGATGATGATTTGGTTCTTTCAAATTGGATTTTAAGGTGTGTGGTGAATAGGCAACTAGAGCTAGTGATGAAACATGACTCAGAAGTGCAGAATGATTTCAAGAAGTTTGAGGAAATGGCCTTGGTTGGACTATGGTGTGTTCATCCAAATCCTTCTCTTAGGCCTTCAATGAAGCACGTGATGCAAATGCTAGATGGAACCGTAGAAGTTGTAGTTCCTCCTTTGGTTTATGATCTGATAATGGCAGATCAGGGTGCTGAGAATCCCACCCAGAGCTTATAGTTTGTCATGTTGGGTTGTAGCTTTGACAAAATGCTTCTATTAATTCGTCAAGCTTTCACTTGAACCAGAAGACTTGATGAATTAATTGCATGAATCATGTGCTTTCTGTGTTCTGTAACGTTTTTTGCTTTATTAGTGTTTTCTATACTAAATAATCAAACACTGAAATCATGGCCTTTACTTTCAAATTCAACTATTAAGATGGCCCAAAAGACTTAATTTTACAACAAACAACTTGTTAAACTATATCTATTAAAAACACGTAACGGGGACAGGTTTGCCTTCCGACCTCTCTGATTTTTTTTTTTATCAAACTCGTCATTTTAAAATATAATTATTTTAATTTTTTAAAATATAATTATTTTATTAAAATAAAAATTGATATAAGAAAAATAAGAATAATAAAATTTAAAAAAATATAATATAATAAAGATAAATTATAAATAAAATAATATTAATTATTACTAAAATTTATGTAAAAGATTTAAAAAAATAATAATAATAATTTTATTTTAGTTAAATTTATTAAAAGATTGAAAAAAAAACTAATCTAAAACATTAATAAAATATAAATAAAAGAAAAATAAGAGAAACAAATAACATAGCAAAATAATTAATATAAAATTTAAAATAATTTAAAATTAATAATAAAATATAAAAAATAATTAATAAATAAAATAAAATATTAATATTTTTAATTTAAATATAAATTCAGGATTAAGAAAGAAATGAGTCCGGTATAAGAATTACGTCACCCTTGCCGCTCGCAAATTAAGAAGAAAACCCAAAAATTATCCCGAGTTTCTTTTAAAGTTAAACTCAGGGAAACGGATCTATACCTATGGGTTTAATTACGATCTTTGATTAAATATATTTGAACAAGAAGAAACGTATGGATGAGTTGTGAAGAAAGTTCGGATTTGATTGAATTGACTTTTTTTAGGTACATCATATCCTACTAATCTCTTTTTAATGCTTATTTATTTTTAGAATCCATATATTGGTCTCAGAATTAAAATAATTTTTTAAAAAATATTATATTTTTATGCACAGGTTTAACCACATACATTAAATGCAGTAATAAATCCATCTTGGCTGCAAATTATAGTCCTGTTACTTGATCTGAGAGAATAATGGTCTTTTTGTCAGTACTCTTGCTTGCAAGATAATTATTCGAACTGTTTGGTGTCAATCTCTATACCGTTGCATCAACTCTTTCTCTCTCTCTCTCTCTCTCACACTGTACATAGCATTTGATTCCAAGTATATTCTGCTTGACGTTTGGATCACGAAAACACTGATTGCTTCTTGCCTTCACCTTCTCTAGTTTCTCTTAATTTCCAATAATGGCAGAGTTTTTTACTCAAACATAGATCATGACTCCAAGATAGTTCTCCTACCAAAGTTACCTGCAAAATTGCACCCACAAATCCGCATGGAAAGTGACTCTGCATAAAAAGTTTGGCTATAAGAAAAGAGATTCTCAGAAGTGGAATATGTTCTTGGAATAAAGGTTGTACCCCAACAAAGATATTTTTCTATTAACTCAAATTTTGTAGTTACAAGTCCCACATTGTATGCCTTTTAATTTTTAATTTGACTAGTTTAAAAGAAACTACAAAATTTCCTTTTTAATGATCATTATCTTGCTTCTTTTTAATATTATACATTAATATTTTTTATAACATAAAAGAAATATATAAACAAGAGAAATGTAAATAGAAACCAATTTAGGTTATATTACATTCGTCAAAATATAAATTAAATTACGTTAAGTTAATTAAAAGAAAATTCTTAAAAAGAAAACTGTAAATAAACTATATAATAACAAATAACATAAAAATTAAATTCACATATATAATAATAATAAATAATATTTGATGTTAATTATATTATCATATGTATTATCTATTCTAAAATTTTTGTCTAAAAATGTTTTTAGGTTAAGAAACAAAAATATTATATATATAAATTATCCGAAAAGAGCGTATCAAAGTTATGTATTTATGATTTATTCATCAAATAGTTTTTAATAAAAAAAGTAATATTTATGATTGTATACTTCTTAATATAAAAAAAAAACTATTTATGATTGTATACTTTAGGTTTATTTTTCTCACATCCGAAATGGTTTCTTTTTTATCTTTACATGTTATTTTTTTTATTAAAATATGTTTTCTACGAAATACTGGATTTAAATCTCCTAACATACACATGATATATAGTTTAAGAAGTTATAACTAGATGTCCAAAATAAATTTCAAACATATATTTCATATTCACAATCCAATCATGCTCCTAACAAGCATATGGTTTATCTCTCTTTACAATTTTAATATATATCAATGAGAAAGAATATACCCATTCCAATAACTTATCTTTATTATTTATTATTTATTATTTATTTAATAATTAAAAAAAATTATTATGTTAAATCATTAAATAATACAATATAAATAATAAAAATAAATATGAAACCTATTTTGTTTACCTTTATTATCAGAGTAATTATATATATATATATATATATATATATATATATATATATATATATCCTTTGTAATATTAATTATTCGATCTAACTTTACTTTAATAATTAATTATTTCGGTCTATCATAATATATTTCTTTTTAACTTAAATTTAAATATTTTTAAATAATTATCAACCATTAAAAATAGCAATATAATACAACATAAAATATTTATTATAAATATAAATCATAATTTGTATGCTAAAAAGGTGTATTACATATTTTAATATAATATAGTTTACATTTTTAAATATTTACTTATTGTAGAATTTAGTTGTATGAAATAAATATGTATTTTGTGCTTATACATAAGTTATAATTAAGTCATATACATTCGTACAACAATTACAATTTATATCCGTTATATTGTCACAGTTTGAATTGGATTTAAAAAAAAAAAAAAGCTAAATATATTTATTTTGGTTCAGTTAATTGGATTTATAAAAAACAAATCTAACTCCCGAAACAGTTTTTATTGGATTTGATTCTAATTAGATCCAATAAAAATAAAAATTCAAACTATATAATTGAGCTAATTTGGATTTCAAGTTTATCTAATTGCTACAAACTAATAAACATCTATAAATTATATAAACTTACCTCTCTCATTTTGTGTAGTATATATTAAAAAAAAAGTTGAAAGATAAAAATATATAATTGTTTTATTGCTTACAAAAATATCATATCATTCTTATTAACTTAATAAACTTATATAATAAAAAAATAACAATTTAAAAACTTTAACCAAGTTTAGTAAAAACACATTTAACGATTTATATTGAAAAATAGTTCTACTAAAATCAAACACGACAACTTTAATTCCTAAAAGACATGATCAAATAAATAAATTTGAATTAAGGGAAGAATGATAGTTATTATATTTGAGATTTTCCTTTGTTCTTGGATTGAATGTAACCATAATTTGATAATTTATAATCTGAGAACTATTCACCGCTATATTATTTTGACCCACGATTTAAATTTAAATATATATTTTATATATAGCGCATAATTCCCTGGTATATTACTCTGATGAAAGAGGATGAGTAAAGAGTTGTAATAAATTTGGGGAGGTGAAGTCGATGAGAGTGTGCGTAACAAACTAAACTAGGGCTACCCGATGTTCACGCAAACCACCACTCTGATTTTAAATTTACAGATCTGCAGATTCCACTGCAATCAATTCCAAACCAATCCAAAAATTTAGTTTTTAATTTTATTTTAATCTTTCCTCTTTGAATCAGAGTGCTGGTTCGAATTGTGGAGCTGCAAAACTAGAGAGTAGATAGAGAAGGGTATACAAGACTAGAGATTCCCCTTTTAGCATGTGAGCAATAATGGGCTCTGGAAATACAGCACCTTCTTCTTCCGGGCGCCCTGATATGTCTGTCTCTGGCAAGTCTTCTGATTTCTCTTACTTTTGTTTCTCTGCGTTTAATTGTTTGTTCTTATACCCTTTATTACTGTATCGGAATTTCATTAGTATATTCGTTCCCCTTTTTTCTTATATATGTGGGGATCGATTCCTTGACTTCGGTTTTTGGATCTGCGGATTTAGTTTTTAGTGTCTCAGTTTCATATTAATTTGGATAGGCTAGGGGGTGACGGGAAAGTGAGTTATTGAGAGATGATTCATCAAGTGTTTTCTCTTTTTAAAAGGGGATTGGCCAGCGAAGAATTGAATTGACATACTTTCTGCTCTAGAATCTTTACAAATTGGCATTTGGGAACCATTTATGCAGTGACATATTATCTGTTTTCTGGGCGGTAATTGGACTATTTGATTATACTGGGTTTTTAAAGCTTTGGATTTCTTGAAAAATGCTTTGGTGCTATATGTTATCATTAGTCTATGTTAAGATTGAATTCCTAAATTAGTTTTGTAAACATGTAAGTTGTTCTCTGTTATATTACAAAAAAGTTGGAGTCTTGGGGAAGAAGAGGAGTCGTGCCTGGTACGAGTCAAAGACATTTGACAATTTGAATAGAAACGTACAGTCATAGCTTTTGACGTGATGTGGCTAATCTGTTGTCCTTAATTCTGGAAATATTGAATTCAACCTATTTTGCGAACTCCGAACAAAAAATTGCAATTAGTGTTTATTATATCCCATATGATTGTTTAAAAGTCTTTATTTTGCAGAGGTCCGTCAGAATCACCAGCTGGAACTAGAAAATTTGACACTAACCACACAACCCTTCAAAACATTGAAATTCTTCACATTAGCTGTAATTCAATGCATCAAGAGGACAGCATTATATCTATTGGCAAAAGGTGGGTGGGTTATGCTTTTCAGTGTTGTGGTTGGGATTTTTGGCGTAGTGCTGATGACCCATGGTGGCCTCCATGAGAAGGTATTTTTATTCAGTCTGTTACATATACTGATAGCTCTCAATCAAAGAACTCTCCTTTTATGTTTCGTTTGGCTATTATATGCAATATATTTACCTTGGTAGCATATATATATATATATATTCAAGCCCTCTTAATATCCAGTAAACTTGAAATGTAACCACCCTAAGTTTTCATATTGATTTTTTTTATTATTGGGTGATGATTATGCTAATTAGAATCATATTTCTTTTGGCTCTAGAAACTATATGAAGGATAATTTTTCTTTTAATTTCAGTCATATAATTCACACGTGAGGTAGACCATTTTTTAGGTAGCTTCTTTGTGAGATACTTAGACTCCACAAATGCTTGTTCTTTTTCGCAGCATCTTGAGGAGCTTCTTGAATATTTTCGCTTTGGACTGTGGTGGGTGGCCCTTGGGGTTGCTTCTTCAATTGGTCTCGGTAAGCAAAATAACTAATCCTATAGTCAGATGATGGTTCCTGATTGCGTCATACAGGGTTTACTACTTACTAGGTTTATGTGGTCTGTCTTTTTACATAGCTTGCGTGATTTGAAGTTAAAGAAAAGCAATTGTTTACAATATATAGATTTTACACTCATGATTTAAGGTCCTTTTCCCATCATCTTGATCATGTGCCAGGTAGTCCATGAGTCTGCATTTTCCTTATTATATATCTATGTTTCAATGGTAAATTGTTCCTTTATCCTTTTATTTGGTTCAGGATCGGGCTTGCACACATTTGTCCTATATTTGGGTCCACACATAGCACTGTTTACAATAAAAGCAGTGCAATGTGGCCGAATTGATTTGAAAAGTGCTCCATATGACACAATACAATTAAAACGAGGCCCTTCTTGGCTTGATAAAGACTGTTCTGAGTTTGGGCCACCATTATTCCAGTCAGAATATGGTTCACAGGTTCCACTTAGCAGCATTTTGCCTCAAGTTCAGATGGAGGCTATGTTATGGGGTATGGGAACAGCCATAGGGGAGCTTCCTCCTTATTTTATCTCCAGGGCAGGTACAATGTGTATAGTTTTATCACTGTCGATCCCTTACCCTAATAAAGTCATTGTTAAGTTGATATAATAGTCTGAGTTTAATCCTATACTACTATTTAGAAAAATGCTTACCATGTGATATTCTTCTATGTAGTATTTACTATTTGCATCTAAATTGCTAGATTAATGGGATGTGAAGCTCTGGAGCTTCTGTTATTTTGTTGATCCTCTATAGGTAGAAAAGAAAAAGAAAAAGAAAATTTGTGCACGTTTCCCGGAAATCAAAAACTGACTATTAAATATTATTGATATTTTTCCAAAGCAAAAGTCAATCCCAGCATTTGAATTTTCTTTTTCATTATGGTTATCTGCATAATGCAAGTGTATAATTACTAATAAGGATCAACTTTACATTCAAAGCTCACAGAAATGTATTTTTTTTTTGTGTGTGGCCTGGAAATAATGCATCATGTTGCTTAGCAGTTTAAAATGAATGAAATAGCCAATCTTGAGACTTCTCAAAATTGTTAGAAAGGTTGGCTCCATCAGCAAATTATAAAGAACATTAGGTAAAATGTGAATAACTAATAGATGAAGCAAGAGTTTGGCCATGTATGCGGTTGGAGCAATAATATCATGAATACATCCTAATGTCTGAATGCTATTCTAGATGAGAGTAGTCGAATTTATTTTACGCCATATAGGCCATTCAACTAGTCTTATAGTCTCTTAATGACATGACTTGTGACTTACTGTATGTATCTCAATATAGTATATTCTCCTACATGTATGCAAAGAAAACTTTTGGCTAAAAAATACACAATGAACCAATTTTGGATTTGGTGTGTTTAAATATGAAACAATTTAAAACAAAATCAATTAGAATAATTGATTATTGAAAAATCTTCTTTCACAGCTAATCAACATGCATGGTTAATGTAATTATCATCAGTTATCAAATACTCTCATTTTTCAGTAATTTGGTGCTTATTAGTTATTTTATTTATTTATTAATTTACAAATTGGTTTGTACATGATTCGAATCAAATTATTCGTGTAGCACGCTTGTCTGGGGGCAGAGTGGATGCTATGGATGAATTGAATAGTGACGATAAAGGAGTCTTGAATCAAATTAAGTGCTGGTTTCTTTCACACTCACAACATATGAATTTCGCTACTATTCTAATACTTGCTTCGGTTAGTTTCGACTTCATACTTCATTTCCAGTCCGGCCCATTATTCTTTGCTTATATGTTTTTAGTTTCTTGTGCGAAGAAAAATTCTTCACGTATGGCTAGGATGTTGTTAATATTAATGACCTTTTGTATCTGACAACTTCCGCAGTTAGTTTATTAGTCCTGACTCCATCATGAGATAGCTTATTCTTCTCAGCCATAAATTTTACACACCTGCAATTTGGTGATTCATTCACTACAATTTCATCAATGAATTTGGCCTTGTCTTCAAGAATCTTTCCAGAATGATAATTCTGTAAACAACGGTAGTTACTTCCTTCTGGGCGGGAAGTGGCACCAGAGGCTGTAATTTTAGGCTTTCAAAGTAGAATATTCTTTAGTGTAAGACTGACTGCTGATTGGGTTATGCCTCTATTTGTAAGATTTCTCTATTGTGATGCTACAGTATAGACAATAGTCTTATCACGGTAACTGACTGCTGATTGGGTTATGCCTCTTCATAATCCATAGAATATTAGTGAACACTATTCGAAATATCGCATCAAGGTGTTTTGGTGCATTTTTCAGTTCATCCACTTCTCTCAAAATAAAATATGCGATTTAGAAAATATATTAGCAGCTAGCGATTCCTTTATTTTGAGGCGCATCCTGCTTTAAAATAGTATTTATTATATATATTTTATCAATTTGTAAACAGATATTAACTGAGATATATTCAGGTTCCAAATCCTCTATTTGACCTTGCTGGCATCATGTGTGGACAATTTGGCATTCCATTTTGGAAATTTTTTCTTGCAACCTTGATTGGAAAGGCAATTATTAAAACTCACATACAGGTATGTACGAGTTTGGATTTCTCTCGTCCCCTCACATTAATTTAACCTTCTCTTGGATGATTTTATGGGTAGTGTAGGCAAGGGAATGATTTGGGTTTGTGGGAGAAGCCTGATCTTTTTTTATATTTTACATCTATTATCTTTGTGCAAACTTGCTACTTGGTTTTTCCGATAAATATTTATATTTATTAAATAAATAATGCAAACACTATTTTTTATTTGATTTTGTGTGTACTATTAACCTAAGTGGTGAACTTTCTGATGATTTATGACCAATACCTACCTTCTTTTGTGGCCCGGCACATTAGCAAAGGACTCAACAAGAGAAGGATAGATAAATAGTTAAATGAAGAGAAAATGGTACAGTTCTCTTTAAGATAAAACTGTCGTCATTTTGATCTTCCAAATAAATACATGAAAATGGTACTTCAATGCCATTTTTTACCTCAAACTAGTCCTCTAGAAGAAGCGATTTGTTGTCAAATTTTGACATCAAACAACCGTACAAGGACCGTATTTGTGTATTTGTTGTTAGAGAACCAGATTGATGGTTCTTGTAAATTTGGAGGACCAGAATAACTGAACCAGGTTTATACGCTTCAATAAAAAAATAAATAAAATCATTCAGACATAGCTAGCATTCTACATCTACAATTTTGATCTATTTGTATATTTATTCATTTTGCAGACTATATTCATTATCTCAGTTTGCAACAATCAACTTCTTGACTGGATTGAGAATGAATTTATTTGGATTCTCGGTCAAATACCTGGTTTTGCTTCGGTCTTGCCTAAGGTGACTGCTCGTCTCCATGCAATGAGAGATAAGTATTTGAAAGCACCCCATGCAGTTTCCCCAAATAAGCAGGTACCCGTTAACTGCAATATGACGTGTTCATCAATGCTTCTGCTTTGATTTGACTGTTAAATTCCTTAATCTGAAAGTGTTGTTGATGTGTCCCGTTATATTTCTAATTTGTGCTGCTTCATTTTCGTGCAAATCATCTCATGTTCATCTGCAGGGGAAGAAATGGGATTTTTCTTTTTCTGCTGTCTGGAACACTATTGTGTGGCTCATGCTTATGAACTTCTTTGTCAAGATAGTAAATTCAACTGCGCAGAGGTATCTGAAGAACCAGCAGGAGATACATCTTTCTGAATTAACGGAAAAGTCTACCCCAACAGACTCAGACGTTCAATGAATTATTTGTGTTCTGCTTGTGTTGCCCTTTTTTTAGCGGTTCCTTCTGCAAGCAGAAAATTGAAATTCAAATTACAGCAATTTCTTGTGGCCCCACAGAAGTTACCCTGAAAATCTGCATTAGAGGTCCTGCCAGGAGCTTCTATAGGAATGAATCACAGTAGGCAACTCAAGTTGCAACTTCTATTTTAATTTGGGGCAACCATTGTTTGGATTTTAGATTTAACCCCATATTAATTGCTGCTCTAATGGAATTATAAGAATTCTATTCTTTTGCAATGGCAAGACAAATTATTAGCTCCTTTATCTTTCTCTGGCAAACGATAAATTGTTCCCCTTCTCTCTTGCCCTATCCCCTCTAACATCAACCACCATCGCTAGGTTTCATAGTTGCGCTTTAAATAATGCATCGTCACTTCAGCTACTACCAGCTATATGCCAACGAGATTTCATGATTCGAAACTAAATCAGTTTTCAATTTACTCTTAGTGAAAAAAAAGAAGGAATTTTTGTCTGGACACTTTCATACTCTAGGAGCACTTTTTGTTCAGGATACTGATATTGTAATTTGAATTTAATTTAATAACATAAAACCTTTTGTACTCTCAATCAATCAGAAATTATTGTACATAATTTTTAAAATAATTATTATAAAAATTAATGAGACTATAATAAATGACAATTTACCTTTAGATGACAGTATAAAAAGTATTTGTATTTTTGATAAATTCTAATTAAATCTTATACGTTTATTTTTGTCGAACTTAATTGACATACACTGACAATGGGATCTTTCAATGATCATACCTTTAAAAATCCACAACTTTTGTAATTTTTTTTTAAGTCATACCTATAGTATTATTTAACTATTTAATAATATCAAAATTCTTGTTTTCATAGAAGCAAACATTTAACATTACAAAAGTCCCTTAATCTAAACCACTATTGGGCCTCCAATATCAGATGAATTAATCCAAAGTATCACAGAAATTCAATTTGGCACACAAGTAGAGTAGGGCTAAAGCAAACAATGACACTTCAACGTAAAAACACACTAATTGGATGTGTTAACCAAAATGAGTTATATAATTTATTTATTTTTTAATAAGGCTTACTTGTACTTTGTAACTATTGAAAATACAATAGAAAATCAATAAAAATGCTTGAGGCATGCCAAAAAAAAAGTTGATTGCAGTTAGCTGAAAACAAGGTAGGAAATGTCCATCTCTTCAGGGTTAACTTTATTAGTGACAAACTATCTGTACCATCAGTGCAACCTTGGATAAAGTAACTTTTATTTGCTCCTACACATTTTAGAAATCATTAAATATATTAAATAAAAACATGCTTCTATTACAAAATCAGATCTACATAAAATATTAAATTTTGTCACTAAAGTTGCCTCCTAACATTTTTTTTTATGCTGTTTTTATAATTTTTAGTGTTTTTTCATTTATTTCATCTATATGAATGGAAGATGGTGAGATGGAAAGTATTTTCTTTGAGAATTTTATTTACTTGGATGGGATTGAATTTATAAAAAAATTATTAAATTCAACACCGTTTTAATTAAACGTTAATGTGAAGTTAGATTGTCCATTAGGATCAATCCTTTTGTAAAAATATGTAAAAATAATTAATTAATTAATTAATATATTGATAAACCATTTTCCAAGTTCAGAGAAAAAACAATTTGGGTCTTGGATCGATTAATTCCACAGTTGTATGTGTGATAAACACCATGTGATTTTCTCCATGATTTTGCTCATTCGATAAAGACCGTGTTTTTGTGTTTTGGGCTCAAACAAAACTAGTAAAGCAGGCCAGGCCTCTTTGAAAAGATATTGAATTAAGCCCATTCAAATTTTCCTATAGAGCAAAACCTAATACTATTTGCACTCCCCTTTTCTTCTAAAAGCACTCCTCTTTTAATTATTTTATTTAAAATAACATATTAATCCTTAATTTTACTTTAGACTATCAATTACGTTACTCGATTTGATGTCCTACAAACACGACCTTTCTAGTATAAATGTTACAAAACAAAAATGCTATTTTTTCTTTTGACTACAACATTAACATGTAACTATTATATTTATATAAGTATTATTAATAAAGAAAAGGGACCCCCTCCCTTATCTTAATAATCATTTATTAAATGTTAAGAGAGGAAAAAATAACTTTGTAGAACTTCAAAGTGTTTTTTTCATCAAAATCCAGATTCAAACTTTTGTTGGCTGGTCTATATCATAAGTGCATTATTTAAGATCAATAATAGTTCACCTTTTTTTATGTGCGCTATTTAAATACGTGTGCTTTCATTAGTTGTGATTTTGGACCTTAAAAATGAGAAGAAGAATAAGTAAGGATTTTGTTATATAGACTCGTAGCATCGTCTTGTACATAAATTCGCTTTCGCTTTATATACTCTCATACGTATTTAAATTCCATACGTCTCATAATTGAAATTAGAGACTCGAGTTTGCGAACTTTTGAAGTCAAAAGGAATATGCAATATTTTTTGGGTATAATGTTGATCTTCAACATTTGAGATTTGATTCTATTTAGATTAGAGAATAAAAACAAAGTAATAATTGAGTTGTTGGATTTTGTTTATTGCATGTTTATAGCATTTACGTGCCGACGTTTGAATTCTTTTACGTTGTTGGTCGGTGAAGTTTACTCCGCGTTTTTATTTAACGTCATACCTAAGTTAGTTTGGGAAATGGGAAATTATAATTAATCTTTTCTATTATGGTCTCTTGTTTTTATTTTTTTTATAAATAAAAATGTTGAATTAAAAATAGGAAATCGGATTAAATTAAATATATATATTGATATTGTAATGTAACGTTGATGTGATATGGTGGTTTTATAACTGTAACCACCACGAGTCATATCTAAGTTAGGAGAAGAAGAAGGGATAAGTAGCCATGTTTTTCCTCCTTCATATATCAATAAAGGTGCAACTTAACAATAAATAAGACATTATTATTTAAAATTTCACTAAATTATTAATTAAGTAGTACGTGACTTACTGAATTTTATGCATTTTTTTAAAACATTATTAAATATATAAACGACATATACCTTTTTATAATATCAGTAAATTAATTAGAAATTTTAGTCCAATTTTAAAATGATTAATAAAAATAATAATCATGATAATCTGCAATTGAATAAGAGTAAAATGTTTTTTTATTAATGCTAATGTATAGTTCAATTAATTCTATATTTTGAACCATCAAATAATTTTGTCTTCTTATAATTTCGAGGGTACACAAAGATAAGATAAGATAAGGATGTCAAGAAGTGATTTTCTTAATTAATATACACTAAAATTGAATTGGCTCCCATATTATAACTAGTGGAATATCATACTTCAATTTTCAAAATGATCTCGTGAATTTGAACATATCCAAAATTGTTGAACTGTGGGAGGGTGTGTGATATGGGAAGAATTAATCAATGTGTTGATGAATTATAAGATGAGAGTAAAAACTATATGGAAGATAACCACTACTACTCATCAATGGAGGAAAGTTGCTTATACTTTTCAACCACACCTTTAAGTCTTCTTTTTCTTTCTACCCTCTTCTTCTCGTGAACATCAAATGCATGCTTTGAAAATTTTGCATATTTTTCTTATCCACATTATCATTACCATTATATCTTCCTTATTTTCTTTGTCCTTATCCCAAATGAACCTAATTCGCAAATTCAAATATTGCTACCATTGTTTTGGACAAGGAATTTCAACAAGTCAATTTCGAGGACTCCAACTCAGATAATGCTTCTTCACAAACATAGTCACTGTAAGCTTTGAAAAAAAAAAAAAAAAAAAAAGGCAAAATAGTGGTTTCCACGTCATTAATGCCTAATAAAGCTAAAAAGGCTGAAATTGATTAAAAAACTTTAGACTAATAATATAGTTAGTCAAAAATAGCCAACCTTCCCAGTGTCTAGGGCTTCATGTGATTGCATCATCTTATTTTAAAACCCTAATGCATAAGGTACGTACTTATAAACTATTAAATTTATTTGTATTTAACTTATGATTTGTAGTTATAAAAATTTACATCTAAAATACATGAATCACTTTATCACATCTTCATTTGAGCTTTTATATATTGTGAGAGAATTCTAAGACTTAATTACTTTTCCATGCCAATGAAATTGTGAATTGTGGCACAAATGGATTTGAAACCAAATACATGCTTGTGTTTGTGCAATGACAAGGATAGATGGTGTTGAGTGCAATAAAAGAGACACAATGGCAACGACTATAACGTAGTGATAATATGATGATGATAAGTGGAATAATAAGTATTTTCTATTAATTTTTTTTATGGAAAAAGGTTTAAAAAAATTTAACAATGAAATTCTTTTTACGTTTTTACTTACAAAGTTGTGTTGTGAAGAATTAAAATTACTTACAAAGTTATAAAAACTAAAAAAAATATAAAATTAATCCGAAAATAGAAAATAAAATTGAGAATGTGGTGGTTCTAGAAGAGCAAGGCAGACAAGGTCACACGTTTCAGGCTTTAAGGTGACAGATATGGCATTATCACCACACCACATGTGAATCCAATTACAATTCTCTCCCTTTCATCACATAATCTGCCACGTCACACCCTTACATCATCCATTGTCATCTATCTCCACTTACACACTGCCATCACATTTTCCATGCCCGCTTTCCACCTATCTTTTTTCTTTACCCACTCATTTCCTTCCATAAACAGCATAATTAATTAATTAATTAATTACCATTTTTTCTATTTCAATCACAACTTTTTTTCTTCTTTCTCTAAACATGGCTACCAACTTTAGTAGCACGTGACAGAGACTTTCGTCACGCACCAAATAATTATTTTCGTAATCTATGTACAAGTTCTCTAATATAGTTTTTTTAATCTGTACACAAATTAATTTTAATTCATGAAAATGCAAATTTCATTTTTCATTCGTGTAAGTTAGTTAGTTACAACATATTCTTATTATTAACAAGTCTTATCCAACATTTACTTTTTGTGTTTTTATATAACAAAAGTTGGGAAATACTAGATTAATCTTATAATATGTTCAGGCCATTCACGTTTTCCTTATGCAAATTCTAAATTTGTCCTATTTTTCCGGCAAAAGCCTTCAAATTTGGCGACCAATTTGATGTCAGTTATATATTATTGTTACAAAAGGGTATTTATATACATCGAATATTGTGATTATATTCTACGCAAATAATGATGCATACTTTAGATTATAAATCGATCTTTTTTTATTATTGTTATTATTGAAGATTTGAAGCTGACGTAAGTGGTATTGCCGCCATTGATAGAGCGACATGTGGACTAAAGTTTCTGACAAACAAAGTTGTTGCAGAGGTTGCGGGTTTGTAGACGCTGAATTAGACTTATATAATCTTTTTGTGCATAAAAATCGAATACAAAAGCTACAAAATTTATAACAATTCACACTCTGTTCAATCCATTGGATTTGACTCTCTTATCCCAAAAACAATCTATCATTTGTATATTGTCAAATTCAATTTTACGATATTTATTTATTGTTTATGAATGCATGATGGAATCAACGTATGGGCCAGGTTAAGTATTTTACTTTTTGGGGAGACTTAACTAATATTTGAACAATTATTAAAAAATCACAATTACAAATAAAAACAAAACTAATTGTTAAGTTTTTTATTTAACTAACCATAACTTTGTATCAACAAAAAGTAATTATTTTTGGATGAGTTGAAGGTTTTAACGGCATGTGGTGGAGTAAGAATAGTTGGTGCATAAATGAGAATAAATCGCCATTGATTTGAGCTTTTTGGTAGCACAAACCAGAAAATTCCCAACAGTAGGGGAGTTAGACCATTGACTCAATAGTTATCTACATATGGTTGGTCAAATTAATAACTTCGTTCGCATGTGTGTTGGGGAAATAGTTGTTTTGTATTTTTCTTCTTCTTGTTCACACACAATTAAACACAATATCGCCGAAATCAAAACCTTTGTTTTCTTCTTTTATGCGACGCCTACGTAAGTGATTCTTATTCTCACTTCCGCCCAGGAAAATTCAATACAAATAAAACATAGAAACTCATAAAAAAAGTGCTTTTAAAAATGAGGTTATTAAATCAACATATTTGAGAATACGGGAATTAATTAATAAATCATATTTGTCTTATATGTTGTCTTATATGTCAAATTAATTTTTAGATAGAACATGAATATGGTGATTTTTTTTTCTTTATTTGAAAACATGGACTTTATCACGATATCATACATTAATTAAATATTAAATTGATTATTTAGTGGCATAAATTGGACGTAGATTGGATTTTGCCCGTATCCACATGCAAAGTAATAATTAAACGAAGGGACGTAAAGTGCTCTTCTATGGTTAATAAAAAATGAATCTTTACTTATGAAATCACCATGAAATCGTGAGAATTCGTGTGTCATAATGAATTCGTCCTTTGTGTGTAGGTGTTTTTCAAATGCATATTATAAAAAATAGGAAAAAAATAAAATTAAAGGTGTTTTTCAATTCGTGAGCATTCATACATAATTTAAAGAAGCAAATGCTCTTTACTTTTGGGGGTTCAGAGTCCAAAATTAAATATTTTTTTATCATGTTCTTTAATGAGATGGATCTATGTTATTTTATACGAATTGTGAACAATAATCATAAACGAGACTTGTTAACGGTGCTCCTGATATAAGTTGATACGAGAATAAAAGTAAGTATAATATATGATAAAATAAATATAAGTTACTATATTATACGGACTTTGACCTTAATTAATTATGTTAGAGTTAATAATCAAAATATTAGAAGTTATTTTTAAAATAAATATAAGTTACTATATTATACGGATTTAAAAATTTAATAGGAATGGTTTAGGTCAAAATTTGTAAATGAATTTAAATATTCAAGAATTTCAAATAATTTTCTTAAGTTGAAAGCTGAATTTACATTGTGTGGTTGAAAAATATTGATGAAATGAATTTGATAATAAAATAAGACTGAAAATGAATGTTTTAGAAAAAGAATACGATAATTTAGCTTCAAATGTAAATTTTAGAAAGAGACAATAATTAATTAATAAGATTTCAATAATATTATAATTTACCTCGTCATAATTTACATTTTTAGTAATTTTTTTCATATTTAATTATTCTTTAAATATGCAAAATAATCCGATTACGAATAATAGCAGAAGTTTAATTTCGATGTATGGTTAAATTTAATCTAGTAAAATATGAAAACGTATAGATATTATATGAAATCCATGTTTTGACTTGGCAGCCGTCAAGAAAGAAGATAAGATTAAAGTAAAAAGGAGACGTGAAAAGCCACGTGGGCCCATCTCACATCATAACAAATCAAAAGTTTCCTCTCGCCTCGCTTCGCAACTCCTATAAATACACCCTCCATCCCTCACTCTCTTTTCTATCCGCTGCCTGCACTCTCATCTTACCTTCTCTTCTCTTCTCTTCCTCATTGCCTTTGCGTTTCATTAACTACAACCATGGCCGGCGGAGGTTTCGCAACCAGCGGCGGCACTGGCGGCGAATTCGAGGCCAAAATTACTCCCATCGTCATTATTTCCTGTATCATGGCTGCCACCGGTGGTCTTATGTTCGGTTACGACGTCGGCGTTTCAGGTTATCCTTCTTTTCTCCGACTTATATTTATAAACCTTTCTTTTTTCTTTTTTTTGTTTCACAAATTCACTGAACCATATGTGAATGTGATCACCTCCCTCGTTAAATATATTTTGTTTTAAACGTTTTTTTTTTTTGTTCGATTATAACTGATACATGATCGGTTAAAGTTAAATCAACTTTAATTGTGGTGATAAAGTTTTTTTTTTGATAGTTTTAAATATGGACTTGTAGTATTTGAAAATAGATGCTATGAATTTTTTTTTAATACAGTTTTTGAAATGGATCTCACTACATTGAGAGACGACACGAACGATCGAATAAAAAAACTAATTTCATAATTAAAAAAATATTTATTAGATAATAATGAAATGTTTTATGGCATGAGGCGTTAATATCGGATATCTGATGTAAGTTCGCAAAAATTGCTCAACCACCATACTAAATAAGTCAAACAACCGGGAAGGGCATTTTTGAGATTTCATACAACGGCGCTCTTTCACCTAATAATGCGTTTGCCAATCCTACCTAGATGATTTTTTTTTTTTGAGAAAGAATAAAGTGATTTTGATGAGAATTATTAATTCAATATTGAATTAAATCAGGTGGTGTGACGTCAATGGCACCATTCTTGAAGAAGTTTTTTCCGACGGTGTACAAAAAGACGGTGGAAGAGAAAGATTTGGGGAGTAATTACTGCAAATACGACAACCAAGGATTGCAGCTTTTCACGTCGTCTCTGTATCTGGCTGGTTTGACTGCAACGTTCTTCGCTTCCTACACGACTCGTAGGTTGGGAAGAAGGCAAACTATGCTCATTGCTGGATTCTTCTTCATATGTGGAGTTGTCCTTAACACTGCTGCACAAGACCTTGCCATGCTCATTGTTGGCAGAATCTTACTTGGTTGTGGAGTTGGCTTTGCTAATCAGGTTCCCTTCTTCGTCTTTTTCTTTTACACACTATTTCAAGACTCATTTGCATAACTATGCCATGAATAGTAGTAATTAATTGGAGTTAAGTGAGTCCGTGTTGACTTAAAATGATCCTATATAGGTAGTAATTCAAAATAAATAATGCATATGCATGTGTCATTTGTTCAACTAATACACGTGTATATAACTGTGTTACTTTGAAATCACGTAAAATATAGAACTGGTTAGTATTTTTTTTTTACGAAAACAGTTTAAAATTATTTATTGTTTTTATTTAAATTTTTGAAGACTCGGAATCTGAATAATCACCTTTTAAAAATATTTAGTGAAAAGATCAATAATTATAATCAACTATGAATAAAAAAAATAATCTCTATTTTTTTTATAAAACCTCTTAAAAGTAATTTTTGTTGTGGTACATATATACTTTACGTTTTAAAAAACAACACAAATGGGGAACGAATTATATTATACTATTTGTATGAAAAAAAATTACACTTTTCTTACTATTAATTATAAGTAAATTTTAATTACTTTTATTTCATTTAATGATATTTTAGAAAAATATCCCAACTTTAATTAATATCTGATTTTATATGATAAAATTTAATGTATTGAACTGTTTTTTTTTTTTCAAAATAACATTTTAGTGTTAGCTTAGTCATAATAGGACATGATTGTGTTGTTTGGAGAGTTTAAAAGGAAGATATTTTTTACATAGTTACAAAGTACATATCTTTATTAATCCAATCGAAAGAAGTATGATTGGTCATGTTTTACGCCTCAAAACTTACGTAGTCAAGATTCCTGTGTCCTAAAGAAGAAAATTACTATATTCAGTTTTTATGTAGTGTATATTGCGTGTGCCAATATTCTTCTATAGAGAGAACATGGCCGACGCATGAATTTATATTAGGTTAAGAATTTAATACATATAAAAACCCAATGGCGTTGTCGTGCACACACATGAATGTCCCACACCAACTTGGGTTGTGGATTCTCATGTGCCAACGGGACGCAAGTCTGTAGTTTGAATCGAGACTTTTTGTGACAATTGTCCATAATTTTCCCTCCCATTCATTTCTCCAATCCACTTTCACCACCTTTTCTACCGTTAAATATTCTGAACACTTACTTGTAACAGGGACCACCTTTTGTACCGTATTTTATGATTCCTAGTTTTGTCACTTTCACACCATTCTTTGAAGCTTCATATTCTGAAATAAGGTTCCTTGTGTGAATTAATTAAAAAGTCCTGGGCCTTTTCGCTTGCATTCTACAGTTTTGTATTATTGATCTTCACAAATTCTATTTTTCTTTCATTCTTTACTCTTTAGTCATTACCCCTACGTGTACGTATGTAAGCAATACAACGAAGCAACTTGTAGTCCAAAGCAGTAAATAATTGTGGAATTAAAATAACTCTTACTAACCATTGGTGTATCAACTTGATGACAGGCCGTGCCAGTGTTTCTGTCGGAGATCGCACCTTCAAGAATACGAGGGGCATTGAATATACTGTTCCAGCTCAATGTCACCATTGGCATTCTTTTTGCTAACCTTGTCAACTATGGCACCAACAAGTAAGTATTTTACGTCCCCCCACTTTGCTTACGTTTCTTCAACTGAGTAGTTAATTGGAATTTGAAATAAAACGAATCAGATGATGTATGTGTTAGAAAAAAGTGTGTTTTTATAGTCAAAGTAAGCAGTCCCCACACACTTTATTTTATTTTCCTGAGTTGACTTCATCGGTGCCCGGGTTTTCATCACAGGTAATGGTTATCAATTTGAACTGGTGAATATAATATTAATAATGAGGGTGGTAACGGTCAAGATTGTTAACTTGGTGAGCGTAACTGTTGAATAGAAACAACAAAATGACAATCATTTGTATGAATTTTATGTTTAATCGGCGTAATCAAAATTGTAGCCCATGCTTGCTGATTTGTAGAGAGTATCTGCTAACGGGACAAGTGTCAATTTAGTGCTTAGCCATGAAGCATATGTTTAGAGTGATTGGTCAAAGGTGCATGCTTCACAGAAACATGGATTAGGATCCTGCGCAATTTTAAACTGCCCAAGATTTCAGACGTTTGAACTTAATACTTTTTTTGCATACAATATTTAAAACTAATATCGTGTTTTCAACAGTGACGTCTTTATTGAATTGCAGAGTATCCTGTTCCAAGATTTTCCACTTTTAATAAAAAACAAGACCCGGGTGGACTTTCATTTTCATATGGCTCGTGGTTACCCATTTTGGTAAAGGCCCACATGGTCCAGGCCCAAACATTTTAGGCATTTAGTTGATAGTAGGGTGACAAAACAACTCAAATACCTCTTGTTTTGACATGGTCCGTCCCCCAACCTACAGAGAACAGAACCATTTGTTAAAAAGTCAATATTTTTTTTTATAATTTTTTATGTTTTTAAAATTTTTATTTATTAATTGATATTTTTTATTAAATAAATTAAAAATTTATGATGTTTATGTTAAAATATTTAATTATAATTTAAATTTAATTAATTAATATGTATGATTTAAATTATAATATTATAATAATTTATATATTTTATAATACCAAAATTTAAAATATATAATATTTTTTATTTTAATAATAAATATTTTTAAAAATTGGGTCAATAAGTTAATTCATCCCTCCCGTGAGACGGGTCAAAATAGACTCGTGAGTCAGTTCTAGTTTCGTAATTCCTAATTCACCTAATGTATGAATCAGTATAAAATAGTACTTTTAAGCTTGCAAATTTTATAACACTTTTCAATTTCATATTTTAGTTTTTTTTTCTTTCTATCTCTTTCCAGGCTGTAGAAATCATTGTGGAAAAAAAAAATAAAAAAAATCTGGGAATAACATTATTCAAAGTAGAATTTAAAAATTCAAATGAATACAAGTAATGCATGGTAGCTAGTACTCATGAAATCACTCATACAAAGTCAAAACATCACGGTCATTCATTCAAGAAAGAAAATTATGTGAAGAAATCAATGTTGCAGAATGAATCATTATGTTTTGGCGTAAAACGATTGCTAATGTTTGCAGACATAATGATTGAATTCTGAATTTAGTGTTTCTGTGTCAAGGAATTGTGTTCATTGACTATTATTGTGTTGTGTTGTGACTTGGAACAACAGAATCAAGGGTGGGTGGGGTTGGAGGCTATCTCTGGGGTTGGCCGGTATCCCAGCACTTCTGCTGACCGTGGGAGCATTGTTGGTGGTGGACACCCCCAACAGTCTCATCGAACGTGGCCGCTTGGATGAAGGAAAAGCTGTGCTCAAAAAGATTCGTGGCACTGACAACATCGAACCTGAGTTTTTGGAGCTGGTTGAGGCAAGTCGTGTCGCTAAAGAGGTCAAACACCCTTTCAGGAATCTTCTCAAACGCAGGAACAGACCCCAAATTGTCATTTCCATTGCCCTCCAGGTAATTGACTGTCAGAATTTAATGCCCGTGTATGAAAACGGTTTCAGCTACTACATGAGTATGGCATACATAACTCATTGATCTGATCTTAACTATTTTGTGTTGTATGTTGTAAAACAGATATTCCAACAATTCACAGGCATCAACGCAATCATGTTCTATGCCCCGGTGCTGTTCAACACTGTGGGATTCGGGAGCGATGCATCCCTCTATTCTGCTGTGATTACTGGGGCTGTTAACGTGCTCTCCACCATTGTCTCCATCTACTCGGTGGACAAACTGGGACGTCGCATACTCTTGCTGGAAGCTGGTGTTCAGATGTTCCTGTCTCAAGTGGTGATTGCCATCATATTGGGAATCAAGGTGAAGGACGATTCCAATGACCTTTCCAGAGGTTTTGCAGTGCTGGTGGTTGTCCTGGTGTGCACTTTCGTGTCTTCTTTTGCATGGTCTTGGGGTCCTCTTGGGTGGCTTATCCCCAGTGAGACTTTCCCATTGGAGACTCGTTCGGCTGGACAGAGTGTCACCGTTTGCGTGAACTTGCTTTTCACCTTTGTCATTGCGCAAGCCTTCCTCTCTATGCTGTGCCACTTCAAGTTTGGCATCTTCTTGTTCTTCTCTGGCTGGGTCTTCATCATGTCTGTCTTCGTGCTTTTCTTGTTACCCGAGACGAAGAATATCCCTATTGAAGAGATGACGGAGAGAGTGTGGAAGCAGCACTGGTTCTGGAAGAGGTTTATCGATGATGATTACACTGCCGAAGAGAAAGTGGCCAATTTCTCTAATGGATATGATCCAGCCTCCAGGTTGTAGATTACGCCCATTCAGGCAATCATTTGCCTCGTCAAATTATGAACCATTTTAGGATATAGAGCGAGTGCATGCCAAGTAAGAATGAATGTGGGCTTCTTACACCTCTTACCAACTTATTTTTTATTTCCCCCACCTCATGTTGCCTCAGACCTGCAACATCGTGTAGCCAGTTAATCAAACATTATTTTCCTGTTTTTCAAGCCTTATATGTAACGTAAATATTTTTTCTTTTTTCCTTTACGCGTTTTACTTTTGAAAAATAATGTTCCATAACTCGTACTAATCATATACTTGTCTTTGAAAAGGGATAATAATCACGTGGAAACACATTCTTTCAGTTGTTGTTTTTTAATGCTCCAAACTTGGCCTCACAATTCTTCAACGACTATTCTCATGCGATAGTTTCAGCTTCGAAGGGGAAATTTGTAGAATAAACGAATAATTTGAGACCTTCGAGCTGGACGCACCCTTGTTGAACATGATGGAGGCTTTTTAACTCTGACACTTTGTATGTAGTTTATATAGGATGCTCTATTTAAAGAAACAAAAATAGGAGATTAAGCAAAGAAACAGAACAAAACGAGTAATGATAAGTTAGAAATGTTACGGCGCTTTAAAATAATTACAATAACAGTGTGGAGTATTTTCTGAAAGTTTGGAAACGAGTTATTAGATCGGTGATTTTGCTGAAATATTTTCTTATAAAAAAATCTACCAATCACATCGACAACTGATGTCAACTCTTTGGCCTTCATTTTAACTAAACAGAGTTCATTTTTCTTTTGTGTATGAGCGTGGGAAAAAATCTTTTTGTGTGCTTCATGGAAAAACAAGCTCAACCTGTGAATTATTACCATACTTATCTTGGACAATTGCTTGGCATCTGATTTGATAGTGGTATATTGGATGTTGTTGTATAAAGAGAATGCTTATTGCTTTCCTCATGCGCAAAGCAATGTGATCTCCAAATGGGAACAATCATTTGACAAAACATGTTAAAAATACAAAAAAAGGTCATCATGGTTTGTTGCAATGAAGTGCAGTAGCAGCACAGATCCAAACCGTTTCCCCCGACATTCTTGCCTTTCAAGTCTCAACCTTAAACCCATTACCACTCACAACCAAGACTATCATGTCGCAAATTGCAAAGATAGAGAGTATATTATCAATGTTTTTGATCAAATTATTATTTCATTTTCACACTTGTCCTTTTGCTTTGCCTTGTCAGAATATCTATGATTCAACCTTTCTAAATTAATTATAATCCCTAATTAATTCAATGCTCTTCATCATCAATTTTTTCTCCATGCGCTCCACTTTTTTCATTGTATTTTCACCTGATTCATACTTTTTTGAAAGTCAAGGTAAAAAACCCAATATGATACCACCCGGTTAAAAATGCTTACATGCAAATGCAAAACACAAGTTTGGACCAGTTTTACTACACTAGTTTATTTTTTGCATATATCTCATCTCATGTCAGATATTGATATATTTATGCTGTCATACATTCTAATCTAGTAGAGTTTCAATTTAACAAAAAAGAAAAGAATAAACAAAATTTAGCCAAAAATAGGAAGACACTCCTCAATCCATTCCCACCGTCCAAACTTGATTGCAACTAGACCTAGGGGCCACCTCGTACATATTACAAAGGATGTTTTCATCAAAAGAAATAATAATAATAATAAAAAATAGGACCAAGTAATTAACTTTTCCATTCTTCAAGTTCCATTCTCCATCTACCAAAGCCATGTAGTAAAAAAGGGTATATAAAGGTCCCAGAGAGAAGAGAAGAGCCTCAATTGCTCAAACCTCAGAAAAAGAAAAAGGTGGTTCCTAATTACTGTGCAGAGGTTGTAGCCATGGCATTCAGAGAGAAAGCTGTGGTTTTCTTGATGATGATGATGATGACAGCTTCCCAAGTTTCACATGCAGCTGTGCACAAGGTTGGAGACTCATCTGGCTGGACCATCATTGGTAATATAGATTACAGGAAATGGGCTGCCACTAAGAACTTCCAAGTTGGTGACACTATCGGTAAGTTCCCTCCATCCAATTCTTTATGCTTTATTTATTCATTAATGTTCGTTGTTACATAGATGAGTTCAAAATTTTCTAGGAAATGAAAAATCCTTTCAATTGTACTTGCCCATGCAAGCTTCTTCAAGAATCAAAACAAAAAATAAACAGATACCAAGATATTAGAAGGAAAGAATTAAAAGTTGGTAATTTGTGTGATCAGTTTTTGAGTACAATGCCAAGTTCCACAATGTGATGCGAGTGACACATGCAATGTACAAGACCTGCAATGCATCGTCCCCGTTGACAACCATGACCACCGGGAATGACACCATAAAGATAACAAATTATGGTCACCACTTCTTCTTATGCGGCATTCCTGGTCACTGCCAAGCAGGACAGAAGGTTGATATCAACGTGGTGAAGGTATCTGGTGCAGCAGCAGCAGCAGCAGAAGCACCAACACCAACATCAGCAATGGCATCTCCAGTTCCACCTGCTAATGTACCAGCACCCTCTCCTAACAATGCATCCCCATTGATGGTTGTCAAGGGAGGTGTTGGTTTATTGACTTTGGTCATGGCTCTGCTCGCACTTCTTGCTCTTTCTACCCCCCATGCGTGAATGGGATTTATAATTGTTGAAGAATTTGGTTTATGGCCATTTTATTTTTTGTTTTTAGTTTTTAAAGATGGGACATGCCAATATATTTCTCTTCAGTTTCATTGCCAGGATTCTTCGCCTAGATGGTAGGCATCCATGTGAAAGTTTTTTAATGACATTATGTTTTTTCACACGGATATTTGGATTGCTTGAGTTTAGACAATGGCTTAAATAAATAAAAATTCAAAATTTATAATTATGTTGTTATTATTAACTTTAGGGTGGAATGGTAGAAATTAATTGTGATAAAGTGTGTTTTGTATTTATTTCTCTAATTTCTTCGCACCATTTAATTAATAAGTAAGTTCATACTAATATAATTTATGTTCATAGTTAGTTAAAAACTGCTAATTTTTATCCCATACAAAATAAGGTAGTGAAATAATAAGTATACACTTAAATATTAAATGACATCTAATAAGATTGAAAAAAAGAAAAAAAAATTATATTATAAGTGATATGCTAGGAAGAAAACCTTATCTATAAATAATAAGTTTGAATTAGGTATTAAAATAATAAGCAGCCAAAAATATCACTGTATAGAACAATAATATATGTAAAAATGCCCCTACATTAACAATGAATGACATATAAATTATATTATTATAATATAGCAAGAGAAATTGGAAAAATTATATATATTACTATTCTCTTTTAGCAAACTAAACTTAAAAAACCATCCTAACATGATGCGACTGGTTCAAAGTTGTTTAATCTAAGCAAAATAAAGCTGAACTCTCAGCCGACTTAGATGACTCTATGATTCCAAATTACCTGCACTAGTTTTAATATGCAAAAGTTCATTCATAAACATTATTAATTTTAATCATCATCAACATGAGCAACATGTATTACACTTCTTTATATTATATTATATTATTACATAGATTAATTTTTTAAAAGAAAAGAAAAGTAAAAATGAAAAAGATAAAAAGTTCATTTAAAAATAAGAATATATATAATTATTAGAAGTCAATAATAAACAAATTTAAAATTGATTTTTGGCATATTTTATGTAGATCCAACCAATCTCAACTCTGATTAATTGGATCATAAATTTTTAAAACTATTTTTTAATTAAAATTTGTAATTCCAAAACAATTTATTTTAGATTATAAGAATGATTAAAAAAAATCATATTATTTAATATTTGAATAATTTAATATTTAAAATATATATTTAATTAAAAATAATAACAATTAAATAATAGTTAAATTATTATTATTATTTAATATTTTTATTAGTTGAAGTGAAGTTAGATTTTAGGTTGAATTTTGTATCTTTTAAGAGACTACATCACATTAAATTCAGTATGATTCAATTAAAAAAATTAGATATAATTTATTTAAATTGAATTTAGATTGAGTTATGTGGTTACCTAACCCAACAAACATATGCTAAACACTCATATTAATGAGTAAGATAGAAAACTCGTTTGATTTAACTATTTTATAATTTTTAAAAATTATTAGATAATTATAGTTTGAAAATTATTTAAAAATAAATATATTGATAATGAAAAAAAATTATAATAAAATTGAAACAATTTTAATAACTTTGAAAATATAGTCACGAGTGAATACGTGAATATCATTAATAGAAAATAGAAAAAAAATTCATTAGTTTTTTTTTCATTTTTAAAATTAAAATATAAATAATTATTAAATAAAAATTTTACTTTTAAGAATTAGAAAACTATGGTAAGCAAACAAACACAATTGACGTCGCATACATATGTTTCGTATTTATGAATTTGTATAATGATTTTAAAGTGAACTAAAATGGAATAACAAATATTTTCAAGATTTCAAATTTAAAATATTATATATATATATATATATATATATATATATATATATATATATATATATTTTAACTAATTTTTTTGTCATAGGTAGATAAATAAATTTTAAAGAAAAAAACAATTATTATGATTTATATATCTAAAAATAGTAAAAACAAGAGAAAAAGAATAGAGAAAATTTGGATATAATTAAAAAAAAAATAAAAAATAAAATTTAAGATAATATTAAAAAAAAATTTATAAAATAATATAGCCACGAAAGTGTTTTAACACATGTTTCTACTTATATAAATAATGGAAATTAAAATTTGAATCGAATGTAAACTAGTTATATGAGAAAACTAAATTTGATTACATAAAAGGTTTCATTAAATTATAATAAAATAAATATTGTTGTGTTTAATAATGAAATAAGTATTTGAAATCATAATAAAATATCAATTTATAGTGACTCATACGATAATGTACTTTCCAAAACAATGTTCATCATTTTGTTTTGTTTTAAGAATATTTTTTTATATTAATTTATCGACATATAAATATTAACATAATAATAATAAAAAAATAATGATATACCTAAATAAATATTTTAAAGTCAAATCCCATTTGGAATAATTGAAACAAGATTTTATTTTTTGACATTAATCTATAACCTTATTAAAAAAATATTTAGTTACTTTTTTCTATACATATTTTCTTACAATTCTACTCTTAGCATTATATTAACTACTTCTTGTTATAATTCTACTCATAATTTTATATTAACTATTTTTTATCATATTTTGTCATATACTTATTTACAAATATACTTTTACATTATTATGAATATACTTTTATTATGATAATTACAAAATTTGCAGCTAATTATATATTACTTTCTCTAGATAATATGAAAAAATCACAATAATAAATAAAATTAATTATTTTTTTATTAATTTTTTATTTGTATCCTTATTAATAACCTTTGAATGAATTAATAAGAACACCCGTAGTCATGTGTTTAATAAATAACCCATTACATGTCCAATAAATTTAGTTAAAATAAAATCTGATATTTAAAAAATAGATTTTAAACCTAACTCACTTCCAAAATTGACTTACAAATTAGTATAACTTTCAATTGGGCATTTCATTATAACAAATAAAAAGTGAAGAAAGCAAATGACCTAAACCAAAAGAAGAAAGGGAAAGAAAACTCAGATCTTAACAGGTCACACTAAATTCAACTATCATTATCATGAATTCTTCCTCCCGTTCCCTAGTGTCAAATATACAAAATTCTAAGGCATTCTGTCTACAACCCTATTCCTAAATATTGGTTTCGCTAGCCTATTGGAAGATTGATAGAATAAATAATAAAGAATGATATTCAAGAAAAATTGAAAGCGGAAAGGACTTCGTGTTAGTTACTGGCAGTTAGTCCGGTATCTGATTCTGGAGCAGTCCGTTTAGCAAAGGGCGCTCCACATCGGCATTCCTTGTAGTCAATCTTTTACTCTGATGCCCTATTCTGTGATGAGAAAATCATGAAGAAAACTTGCTTAAATCAATTTATTGGGGTAAGCATAATCATGGTAGATTCATAACCAATCTTGCGAAGACAACCCAGTTGCACAGATTTTATTCCAGGAAAAAGACCATGAATTAGAAAATGCAGACGTTTCACGTCTCACTCATCCTTTATGGATAAAATGTATTGCTCACAATCTCACCGAAGAAAAAAATAACTTTACACACAGCATCAAACAATATAATAACATAAAATTCCCCTTTTATCGGACAGGTGATTACTTGTTTACTATTCCATCAAACTCAATCCAAAAACTAAGCACAAATCAAATTATGAATAATTTTCAACTCTATTAAAAAGTAAACCTTGATTAGAAGTTACCAATCATTAAAAATCATGTTTCATTTGAAGAGATAATCTGACAAAGATGTGCCCATAACCGCGTACACTTTCTGCAACTTGTGCACACATGGTCAACGGCATCTTTCATAAGGATAATTGAGTACAACATCCCTATTTTGTGCTAGGGGAGTACTCAAAACAATAAATAGCATAGACATGCCTGCAAACCTTGACAAATAAATAGCAATATTGATGACACTAAATATCAGGAAAAAATTTGTAAAGATCCACCAAAATAGAATTCATTCAGTTCATAGGCACCGTGGCAATCCACGATAAAGAAAAACTTAGAACAGTTTTTAGAATATAAACCAACATGGTTGACATAATATACTCAAATTTAGAATTTGAATCAATTAAATAGGATGTAAAGCATCAGAGACCTTACACTAGTTGACTGAAGCTCTAACGTATTCACATTTTCTTTGTCCTGTCCAATTACAGAGTACAAAAGTTTCAAAATATGGTATCCAGGTTCAACTCCACTACGCCAAAAAATTTAACAGTTACTAAGATTACCTCAATCAACAAATCTTTTCTCGTTATCAAACCAAGCACACGAGATGGACGAGGAACAACAAATAAATGCCGTAGACCAAGTTGACGGAAAAGATTGTATACCTGTGTCATCAGTAAGACACCATGGTCATCTGAACCAAAATTGATAATAGGAATGACAAAAATATTACTTAATGGATTTTAAATGGCACACCTTTGTCAAAGACATATCTTCTGGTACAATATAGGGCGAGGGATTCAAAAATGGAGCAAGATCGATGTACATTTCCAAGTCATCTGAACTTAGATGTATATCATCAATACGTATTCCTTTACTAGAGACAGGCTTTGCAAATTCACTAGAATCATGCCTGGAAGTTAAGGAGTCATAAACAAATGCAGCATACAGATGTAAAACGCCAAACTAACAAATCATCAGAAACCTTACCTAATTGACCTGCCCCCACCTCTGGAATCTGAGGGTAAAGGGCTATGCTGGAAGTCAACCTTCGACTGCAGAATTACCAATAAATGACTGCATAGAAGAAAAACATATAGAAGCTTGAGTTTTCAAGTGATGCAAGCTTTATCGTCAAGTTGCAACCATAATGATACTGTGTATGAGGTTTATTATGCTCCTTTCTCACCTACGAAGCACTAATCCAATAACAAGTGGTTCTCCACTTCTTGTGTGATCAATCACCTTGCAAAGTAAATTGCAAAATACAACTCAGAAAATGTAAGGAATAATGCTTAAGTCAAGAACAGTACAAAAGTTATACATACTGGAAAACCATTGTGTTTGTTGCTCCGCAGAATGGAGAGCACATCTGAAACCTTAACAACACGGGGGAAAGAGACCACCTTCAATATTCAGATTTAAACATACAATCAGTGGCCAGAGGAATAGCTACAATAAAAAGCGTGTGAAACATAGTTTACCAGTGACAGCCTCATTTTTCATAAATGTTAAACATTAAAGGTAACAGCACCACCTCATTAAGTCACCCATTGATTTTTGGTTGTATCCACTATCATGATTTTTGAATTCCTTCCTCTCTCTCCCTACGCCTCTCACTTTTTTGTATGAACAGGAGAAAGAAAATATTTAAATTTGCCTAGACCACATCACAGCCTCTTTCTTTGGTTATATTAGAAAGAACCAGTAATATCAATTAGGCTTTAAACTTGGGTGACCCTAACATGTGTTCTACATTCCAAACAATTTCATGAGTGGAAACACTGAATGAGAAAAAAAATACATTAATTGGACCGTTGCTAACAATAATTGACGAACAATTTGCATTCCTCCTTCCCCTCCCATTACTGGAAAAACATACACTAAAACACAATTTACTTAGACAACAACTGTTAATGCATATGCAATTTCTGAATTAATACAGCAACAGTAAGCCGGTCTTAAATAATTTTAAAATTATATTCACCCTTCCACTCCCACAGGCTTCCTTTGCTGTCATATTCCGCATTTCATATTTAGGCCTTGATTCCAGTAATGGAATGCCCCTCAATTGAGCCTGCTCCTCATAGATACCTTCATTAAAAGCATCACCAACAGCCTGTAACAGAAGTGCTTAGCACATTGTCTAGTGACTTTTATTTATAGAAGGGAGTTTTGACATCCATACCTTTGATATAAGAAGAACAAGCATAATCAGAGGTAAAAATTTTAAGTTATTTGAGATTTCAACCATAATGACACACAGAGACACTGTCATCCGCATTGAGCCTCCAAGAAAAGATGCTGCTCCCAGCAAAGCATACCTGAACATAAGAAATATATCAAGTGTAAATTTCTATTAAAATATAACTACACGAAATCATTCTGTACATCATTCATTAACATTGGATGCCATTGGACCCCCGATGGAAGAAAAAGGGAAATAAGGAAAATAGATAGAGTGGGTTAATTGTGGTTACAGAATTAATCGGGCTGTTAGGTGCAGAAGTAAGAGGTAAATAGGAGATTAGTCATTTATTTTCCTTTCTACTGTCTGTTCTTCCTCAACTCACTGAAAACTAAGAACTCATTTCTAGTTTCAAATACAAAACTGACGGGAAAAAAAAAATATAAACCCTGTTCAACAAGAATTAAAAGCAACAGTTCAAACAAAAATTTCAAAAGAGGTCATAAGTTCATAAATGCAGAATTTTACATTTCAACAGTCATTGTTGGCTTGTTAATCAACTTTTCTGGATTCTGAAGAACAATCCCTATCATAGTGTAAAAGTTATGCAGGCCATATAAAGCCAAGACGTCTTCTGATCAGGACTACTAATGTTTTGGGCCATTCTAATTTGGGTTGGGAAAATGATAAGTAAATCTTGTGAAATGATTCGCAGGGGGATATTCTTACATGGGTAAAGGAAAGATATGTAACTAAGTTTTTTTTTTTTGTTTGTCATATGATCAGGTATATTTTCGAAATTGTGATTATAATCTGTGCAATAGTAATGTGTTAAAGAATGATTAATATCTTTCATAAATATTACCCATGAAATTTCCATATCTATGTTGCATTATGCCCATTTCATACAAGTTCAAAACTTGTATGATAACCAATCCAGAAATGGTTCAACTAAGTTAAGAAATTGTGCCTCAGGTGCTAAGGAAGCTTAACATAATAGTCAATGAAGAACAGAAAACGCAAGACAGAGCATTGAGGCAGTCACACCAGATACAAACAATAAGGAAAACAGAAACAGAATGTAATGGACCCTCCCGAAAATGATCAAGCAAAAAAAGAATGTAATAAAAGGGAACTGGTAAAACAAAACAAGCTCCTCAAAAGTAATTTATGTGAAAATTGAACTTTCCTCCACTTGAAATTTATCCTATGGGACTATATACAAGGTATCAACATATAAATGTTAAATGTGAAGAATAAATACTACCCGCCTTAGATCAGCGGGAACAAGCTACTTGATAACCCATTAGTTCATGATCAACCAAGGCATAAGTGTTTGATATGTCAGTCAGCTCTTCAAGTAGAGAATACATTTTCCTTGAGACATCACAAACAAGAAGGAGGACAAGAGGGAGGGGAGCATATATCCATCTCCCAGAAAAGGTAATAGAAGATTGATCAATTGATAAATAGATGTCTCCCAAGAAAGAACCAATTCATATGTATAATAAGAAAGGAAACCATATATTCTTAATCATAATTTTGAACAAAAGCAACACATATACTCACGTTCCCTCTTCAATGTTGAGCTTTCTGTAATATTTAACAACAAACATGCCAACAAGACGCCCATACGTCGATCCTATCATTATACCAGGAACAAATTGACCAGCTGGCACAGCAGTACCAAACGTGACCACTGCTAAAGCATAAAACATAACCTGCAAGACAATAGAGGTAATAACTACTATATAAACATGTAAAGCATCAAAAGTGCCAAGTGACAAATCTCTCCAATATGGGAACATGAAGATAAATCAACTGGAATTCATGTAGTAGATTTTATGGCAACAACCTCCTTGAGGGGAAAAAAATATCCATTTTTCAAACCCTTTTGGAAAAGCTGTAGCTCCATACTAAATATTTTAATTACTTTCTGTTATTGGTTCCTATCAACTTCTGCTTACTGTATTCTTATTAAAAACATAGATAGTTGCCTACCATACAGATACTAGAATATACCAAAGTCCAAAGTTTGCTATAATTATAGCATTGAAAATAACACAGAACCAATGTCCAATGTATGCAAAATCCAAATCAGTAAGCAAGAATGCAATACCAAAAAGGTCAATAAACTTTGGGAACTGTACTCATTTATTGTTTTTGCACTGAACAAATTCCTTATGGCATCATCCTGAAACAAGAGTAGTAAATTTATATAACGTAGTACGAAATGAAAAACAAACTAAAAGATCCAGTTCATTCAAAACCTGCGTATTGAAGAAAATAGTTGCAAGATCATTGTATTCCTTGTCTTTGCTACAGAAAAACTGCATAACACATAACAATAAAATCAATCTCAAAATTTAATTAAAACAAAAAGTGGCATCTCAAATGTCACTAGAAAGGAGTTAAATTCAAAAGAATGTCTACTCTTGCAACAGAAGGGAAGAAGGGAAAAGACTTTGGAAACACGCATTAGCTACCCTCTGTTTGACTTCATCAAATTCAAAGTTTCATGCCCCTTTTTTCAAGGGAATCTCATGTGACATGCAGATTGAGAAACCCTACTAGGTTTTGAGGCTTTTATTTTTTATTTTGGTTTAGCCTCTTTATGTTAACTGTTTTCTTTAGCTTGTCTACCAAGGACTGTAATTTCCTTTTATCTAATTTTTTTTTTCTTTTATAAGTTTGAAGACATGGGACATATGTTTTATCATAATAAGAAACAAAACCAAAGTGCTTCAGCGGTAACTTAATCCCTCATTCCCTCACACTTTGAACTGTCATTATGTAGCACAGAAAACATGAAGGATATGTGTCAAATATCACAAGTGGGGAGAGAGGAAAGAGAAAACGAGAATGATCAATGAAGGCTCGTATATTTTTCTTCTATCATTATGAAGTAAAAGGAAGTGTGTATATATATATATATATAATGTCGAGCAACAGAAAAGAAAAAGAAAACATATCTATAACAGAAAAAAGAAAAGTTAAACAAACAGATAAATAACAAAGGTCTAACAGAAAGCTATAGCTAAGAGCTCCCTCAAGCTGGGAATGAATATTAAGCAGTCCCAACTTCGAACAAATATCTTGAAACAGAGCTGGAGATGGTGCTTTAGTGAACATATCTGTAAGTTGGAGCGAAGAAGAGATGGACAAAAGTTTAATCAATCCAATAGTAACTTTTTCGCGTACAATGTGACAATCAATGTCAATATGCTTAGTCTGTTATATCTATGACTAGTCAAAAATAAAGAAAGATGTGCATACCACTGACGCGGCTTGTTTAAGACCATAGAGAGAACGTTGAAGTTTACAAACTTGTCCAATATGTAATAGAGGTAAACCAGGAGGGGGTTGCATGTATACCTCTTCATGAAGATCACCATGTAAAAAGGCTTTATTGACATCTAATTGTTTGAGATGCCAATTATTGTTAGCAGTAAGAGCAAGGAGTAACCGAACAATTGTTAACTTGGCAACAGGAGAGAAAGTATCAAAATAATCAAAGCTTTCCATTTGTGTATATCCCTTGATAACTAAATGTGTTTTATATCGTTCAATAGATCCATCAACATTGTGTTTGATCTTAAAAATCCATTGACACCCGATTGCAGTTTTATGTGGAAGTAAATCAATTAGAACCCAAGTATTATTTGTTTGTAAAGCAGCGAGCTTAGCATGCATAGTCTTAAGCCAACAATCAAATTTTGTGGCTTCAACATATGTTTTTGGTTCAGATATAGTGGAAATGGACAAGACATAATGACGAAAAGGTGATAGATGATGATAAGATAGGAAACGTTCCAAGGGATAATGAACAGTAGTAGTAGTGATAACAATTGATGTAAAAACACTAAAAATCTTTTAGATATTTTGGAGGTTGACAAATACGGGGAGAACGATGTAAATCATGGGGAGGGGAAACAGTCAAACTCGGAGAAGAAATAGGCGGAGAAATGTGTTCTAAAGAAGGAGAGGAAGGAGATATGTAGTCATGAGTCGTAAAAAAAGAGGAATGATGGAAGGAAAAAGAATGAGAGTTTTGAACAGAAGAAGGATGTACGTGAGGAAAGTGATCCTCATAAAAAACATTCTGAGATATAATGATATCATGAGAATACAGATTATAAAACAAATAGCCTTTGATGTGAGGTTTGAAGCCTAAAAAAATGGAGGGATGAGCACAATGGTCAAACTTCTTGCGTTGGGCAGTAAGTGTACTTACATAATATAAGCATCCAAAAATATGTAGGTTAGAAATATCACAAGCATGTTTGTAAAGTTTTTCAAATGGTGACATATTATGTAAAAAAGGAGTAGAGATGCAATTAATAAGGTATGATGCATGTTGAAGAGCAAAACACCAAAAAGTTAAAGGAAGATTAGATTGAAAAAGTAATGTTCGTGAAACATTTAAGAGATGTTGATGTTTGCGTTCAATAATGTCATTTTGTTGAGGGGTTTCAATGCATGTAGTTTGATGTATGATTCCTATTGAAGAGAAATACTCATGCATAAAAAATTCAGCACCATTATCAGTACGAATCATTTTAACAGTAGTGTTAAATTGTTTTTCCATTTGAGTAATGAAATGAATAATATGATAACGTGTTTCAGTTTTGAAATGCATGAGAAAAATCCATACAAAACGTGTGTGATCATCAACTACTGTTAAAAATATTTGTGACCAAGCATGGAAGTGGTAGAGCATGGACCCCAAATGTCCATATGAAGTAGTTTAAATGATGCAGTAGCATGTGAATGACTAAAAAGAAAAGATAATTTTCTTTGTTTAGCATGATGACATGTATTACAAGCAAAATTTGAATCACTGTTCAACCAAGAGTATGTTAGTTTCATATTTTGTAGATGGGCATGGGAAGGGTGACCAAGATGGAAATGCCACAAATCTATGGGTATTTTATTACATTAGGGTTGAACTATGGTAGTATGAACAGATTTATCAACCTTAGTAGAAATAAAAGTGTATAATCCAGCGTTTACATCAACTGTACCAATCCTTTGTTTGTTGTTCGTGTCTTGTATAATGCAAGAATTAAGAGAAATCATAATGAAGAGAGGACACAAGGTTAGATATGGAAATAAGATTGAATGTGAAAGTGGGTATATACAAAACATCAGTAAGATAGAACAAAGCATTAAAATGAACATTTCCTGGGTATGTAGCAAAAACCTGTTGACCAATGGGAAGGTTAACAATGACAGGTTTAATGGTTTTGAAAGAAGAGAAATTAGTTAATGAAGATGAAACATGATCAGTAGCTCCTGAATCTAAGATCCAAGTAACTTTGAATTTAAATGAAGGTTTACCTGAAGAAGAGGAAATAGACTATATATGATTGACATGTGACAAAGACATTGCTGAAGTCCCATTGTTTGGTTGTTGGATTAAAGCCAGCAGTGCTTGATACTACAGTTGAGAGAACTGAAAATCTTGAGTCTCATGAGCCTTACGCTGATCATTCTCCGTGACTTCAACATTCTCAGTCACATAGTTGTTAATCACATGTTTAGAAACATGAAATTTATGTCTAGGAGGGAAACCATGTTTTCGATGGCAAACGTCGATAGTATGTCCTGACCTTCCGCAGTGGGTACACAATTTTCCACCACGAGAGTTATTGTATTTTATTGTTCTTCGCATCAGCAAACTTGCGATAGCAAACATTCTCCATATGGCCAAAGCGGCCACAATGAGTACATGAAACAGTAGTAGTAGCATTAATCATTGTTTTAGACACAGAAACATGTAATAGGACTGGTGAGTTGTCGTTCTTGTTGAGTGACATATGAAAAGATTTTAGAAATTGAAGGTAAACGATCCATAAGTAATACATGAGAGCGAATGTTGCTATATTGATCGTTTAATCACTATAAAAATTGCATTGCTCTATCTTTAAGTTTTCTTTGAACAATAAGAGATAATGCCTTGCATGAACATGTAGTTACACAGGTACACACACTAGATCTGGTATGAAATTCTCAAGTTCGTCCCAAACAGTTCTGAGTTTAGTAAAGAAATTTGTGACTAAAAGATCTCCCTGCCTCATCGAATATGCCTCATATTGCAGATCTGATACTCGTAAGAGATCTCCCTGTGCGTATCGTGATTTCAGATCTTTCTATATGTCTTCAGCGTTGTCCATCCAAAGGATATTGTGACATATCGGAATGGAAATGGAATGCACGATCCAAGACACGACCATATTGTTGCATCTGCGCCAAGCATTGTTCATTGGATCGAAATGTGGTGGCTGCGTTGCAGTACTATCAACAAATTCTACCTTATTCTTTAAGAGCAGTTAGCATAGATCTACTCCATGAATGATAATTAGAGGAATAAAAAAGAGGAGATACCAGTGTTGTTGCTAGATTTTCACTTGGATAGATAGAAGTAAAGATAATTGTGCACGCCAGGTGTTTGATTGTCAGTCATGATGATAAAGAATAAGGGAAAAAGAAGGAGCGGAGTGCAGCAGAGCCCTTCAAGAGAAAGGCTCTAATACTATATCAAATATTACAATCGGGGAGAGAGGAAAGAGAAAACGAGAATGATCAATGAAGGCTCGTATATTTTTCTTCTATCATTATGAAGTAACAGGAGGTGTGTGTGTGTGTGTGTGTGTGTGTGTATATATATATATATATATATATATATATAATGTCAAGTAACAAAAAAGAAAAAGAAAACATATTTGTATCAGAAAAAAGAAAAGGTAAACAAATCTGTAATAGAAAAATAACAAAGGTCTAACAGAAAGCTCTGTTTAGTAAGAGGGAAGAAATAGATTATAAATATAATGAATGGAAATAAATGAGAAATAAAGTGAAAATAAAGGTGAAGATTAGGATAAAGATAAATAAATTCAATAAAAACAAAATAAATATGAAGATAGAGGACATCAAAGAAACAATATAAAACAAAGCTCTTACATTTACATAATTCCCATACATTCCAGGAGGTCGTGGACATTCAATACCGGATGCAGGATCAGAATCAGGGCAAGGACTACATTTTTTTAGAAGTGGCAAGCCAAATGAAATGGATGACGTTAAAATGGATACAAGGCATGCTTCAATGATCTACAATTCACAGGAGAGGGGGAATGAGTGAAAAATTTGAGATAACAAAATGTATCGCAGGAAGAAAACCAAAAATATTATTGAATATTGACCACCCTCTTGATTTTTCTGTATTTTACAGAAGCAGAGAAGATAACAATCAGATCAAATTAACAGCATACCTTGACCCTGTTCCCCTTCTTGTGAAGATGATTTCGTCGCCAAGTGGTAATATAGAGTGTAAGCTGGTTGAATAAAGCTCCTGCAAATTAGTGATACTATATTAACAAATGAACTAGGTCCAAATATATAATTAAAGTCCAAAACAAGGGCAAAAATTCCTACCTAGTAGACCTCCAATAACCCCAATAATAGCCATTGGAAATAACTCTGCAAAGGAATAATCCTCTTGGCCACTAAAAATAAAATCAGTCAAAAAGAGGAAGGAAGAAAACAAATATCTGAAAATTCAACTGAAAGGGAAAAAGGTGATAGCTTAGATCTTAACTCTGATATATCCCATATGATGAATCCACCGGACCCAAAATGTCCACATTTTCCACTCTTACACCACCCCATTGCAGCTCGGACCACAACAGCCACAACAGCAGAAGTGAAGAAGACACGCCACATGAGTTGACTCCTCCACCTTCAACAGCACAGAAACAAATAATAGGTGTAAAAGCAATAAACACATAAGTAGAACAGACATTGCTATCTTTACTACACATGCTTCTAAGTAAACAAAATCTTTGAACAAGAATTAAAAATCCTTACCAAGATGTAACCTCTTCCAAAGCAAACAACACACCACCAACTGGAGCTCTAAATGCAGCCGCAACGCCAGCTGCACATCCACAGGTTACCTTTAAAGACATCAATGAAATTATAAATGAGCATTTTCTTCTTTCACGTCTAGGGTTGGAACAAATTTGATGAAGGAGATCATTGACATTTTGGTAAAGGTGGGTAATATCATGCATACTATATACAAAAGTACATTCTCTGCTTTAATTGGGTAAAATTCAAAACTAGTAGATTATAAGGAACAAAGTGGCCTACAAGATCTCGGCGATCCCGGTCACTTTTGAATACTTGAAACCACCTCGAATTTAGATGATACTTAGTGGATCCACCCTGTTCAAGGACATCAAAAGATTATTTCATTCAGTTTCTTGCTTGGAAGCATATGCATAAACAATAGTACAAATCACGCAAAAGTATGAAGTCAAATAAATAACTAATAAAGTGACATAAGTTTCAAAATAATTTTATTCTAGTTTCAAAATATCTGGATTATAAAATATCTTTATTTAAATTTGAAAACAAAACTTGATTGTAATGAATCTAGATTTCACTTGACTAAAAGATATTAGAAAGTCCTATATGAATAAAAGGGTCCATTAGTTGACAAACTGCCCAAAGTAAAAAATTGAAAGTCGGCAGTGTTTGTCTGTCATTTAGGGTTAGAGTTGTGACAGGTATCCTGTTTCGACCCACTAGGAACAGCAAGCACAGCTTGAGTGGAACAGAAGCTATAAATCTACAGTCAGTGTGATTTGCTAGCTCCGATTGCCAATTTTTTGCAATTTTGGCTGCAAAAATCGCCACTCCAACCACAATTTTTGCAACTTTGGCTGCAAAAATTGCCACTGCTAAATGGCCCTTAGAAAGCAACATGTTTCAATCCGCTGTGGAGAATAGCCTGATTTGCCACAAGATGTGATTCGAATTGTTCACTCAATTCAAGCTCAAAATTGATACCACTCACAATTTATTTCGTCAATCTAAGGAATTGCAACTTTGAATCTAGCACAAGACTGATAACCATGTTACTGATACATAGCCATGAAGAATTACGCTTCTTTCTGTATGTGTTCAGAGAGTTTAGACTTAAATCAGATGGCCCAATCATCAAATTAGGACTAAAATCAGGCCAGCCTGTTCACAACTTCCAAGCTGGAATTGGGCTAGCGGGATCACTACTTTTGAACTAAATCCTGTCTAGTCCAATCACCAATTTCTCACTGAAGTTGACCCACCCTAATATGTTTGTTTTTTTGTAAGAGAAATGAATAGCGAAGGCTAGATTGGTAAATTTTTGCAGATATTGAGAACAAAAAATAGATCATTTAAATGATTAATTAAAATATAATAGAGACTATAGGTTGTATTGATGTCATTTTTCAGTCTCAATAATTATTTAGGTTAATTAGAGAGTATTGATGAAAAGATATTTGTAAGGTCGCCCGCATATACTCACTGAATAGACTACTTTTTTAACACACTATGTAGATACTAGTGTATCTGAGTAGTAAGAACTTACTTGTCCAAGCAAGGAAGCAATACAAGCACCAGTATGGACAAGAGGACCTTCTTTACCCAAAGCAAGACCTCCACCCACTGAACCAATGCTTCCAAATATCTGTAGCACATAATCAGATCACACAATTTCAACAGATAAACATTTCTTAAAGACTCCCTTACTAACCCCCCCCCCCCCAAAAAAAAATGCGGGTAATCCATCACACCTTTCCAATTAAAGTTCTGAAAAGAAGAATGCCGTGAGTATCAACTCCTGAACATAAATGAGAATCAGCACTCTCAGTGCACTGGGAATCTTACAGGATCCACATTCAACACAAACCCAAAAACCTCGGAATAGTTTATCTCACCATTTAAGTAACCCTTGATTTCAGGAATACCAGATCCAGCAGCGGCTGGTGCAAATTGAGTGATGATATATACAGAGGAATACACCAAAGCCAAGTTGATCAGAACATATACAAAAAATCCAGCAATATATGATTTCTGAATTATATCAAATGTCATCGAGAACTTCCAGCCAGCAAAATTTTCAACAGCAATATTGATGAAAACAGCTGCAAGTCCTGTACCTGCAAGTAATAAAAGAAAAATATGGATAAATGCAAGGTGTGAGAAGCAGACTGAAGGCGTGTTCAATAAAATTGGAAAATTCACCATAAATCACAAAATATAGTCTTGTTCTTGTTAAAATAAACGACTGCTGTAGTAAAGGAAACTAATCGCAATAAATAATTTAAATAATTGTATGTGAAAGAATTCTATGACCTCTTCCGTCAGACATTTCCATTAAAACATTAATAAGACATTTTCACAGCAGAAAATTTTCAGCACTCAGTAAGTAGAGCTTTAAAACAAATTCAAACTCAGGCTTCGAGTTCACATCTTAATTTACAAACTAAATGAGCTACAATTTTATATCACTTCCCCTAATGCTTACATGCTTTGAAAAAGTTCGCTATTCAGAAAAAATAACTGAAGCACCGCAATAAAAAAAGGTAAACCAGAAAAATGGAACCACAAAGCACGTTAGCAAAGAAACAAACAACACTTACAAACCGCCGTTAAATTGAAGAACTTACAAATGCCAATGAGCAAAGCAAAGAACCATTTCACCACCAGCAAATAGGACACATAAAGCCTACCTCTCTGCGCCTAAAAATCACAAAGCAAAGGACAATATGATTTCATATTTGAAAAAGCATAATAATTAAGAAGATCATCGATCGATCAGAATAATAGTTAAAAGAGAAGAGTAAAACCTGTTCCTCACGATAAGCAAAATTCTCTATGACTTCATAGTCAAGGCTCTCAACACCGCCTCCGTCGCTCTTCTTGAGGATGCCAACGGTGTCGTCGAGTAACTGCGATTCATCAGAATCAGGAATCTGCGACCAAGCAAGCCTCCCCGTTTCGATGCCGTTCGGGAAATGATTTGCCAGCATCGTCGGTCGATCGGAACCGAAACTCAAAACCTAGAAAAGAACTCCAGAACCAGCGCTTCGTTTCGTTCTGCTATTCGGATCCGCTAGATTCAGTAGCGCATCGGTAGTGGATCAGCAATTGATCGAGTACGAAGCAGCAGTGTCGTAGGCCACTCTCTTCCTTCACTGATGTCCCGTCGTTTTCTCTTTCAGTGGTGCGTTCGTTCGTTATGTCCTCACTCTGTGTTTTCGTGTACCCAATGACAAAAAGTGAATGTGCAAATATAAAAAAAATGCAAGGAGGCACAGAACAATTTTCCAATACGGATACGCCTACGTTACGGAGTTTTAAGTTCGTTGTTGAGAATACAAACACGCGCTATGAACGGTTGGTAGTTTTGGTATCCTAAGGCGCCGCTGCACTTAATCACGTGCTCGCTGCGGTGCGGCTTTCTGAGTAAGTAATTCAAGTCCTCTTTCTGTTGACAAGTTAATTTTTATTAGTCACTTGATTAATTAATTAATTAGTGGGGTTAATTGATGTGACTGATGGGGTTTGCTGTCATGAAATTTAAAATAGATGCAACCTTTGTGCTGGTGGTGGATGTTCCTTTTTATTTTCAGGAACAGAGAAATAAATATCAAAGTAAAATAAACGAACACAAACTGCAACTAGGCTTATTATAATTTTCTTATGTTAATATATTATTGGAATATTGATATCTTCTCATAATAATTCTAAACAATGGCTTCACCGCAGCGAGCAATTACATGAAAAAAAAAGAAGTCATGTTTTAAGCTACCAAATTGAAAGTAATTGAATTGCAAAAAATTTCCTGTTAGTATTCAATATTAGGGTCACATCTTACACGCGGCAACTACCTGACATAAAAAAAATTATGGGTGGTCCAACAACTATTTGTAAACTGATAATACAATAGCTTCTAATAAATATATACTTAAAATCTGATTAGTAGGATAAAATATTTAATCATGATTGATTTAATGTGTTATTTAAGATTTCTGTTATATAAATTAACAAATTATTTATAAACTTGTAACTTTTTAATTGTATTTTCTTTTAAATCATCATAATAATTTATTATTTTTATAATAAATTAATTAAAAAATAAGAATATAACTGATAAAAAATAATTAATATAACCTTAAATTTATAAAGTATACTTAATATATGTATGAGGATTTTCTTTTATAATCTTATTATTTTTTTATAAAATATATGAGAGGAGAAAAAAACGTGAAATATATTTAAAAAATTAAAGAAGAAAAGAATAAAATAAAATTTAAAAATATTTCAAATAAAATAATAATACATAGAATATAAGCACACGGACACTTTAGTGTGCCTACGCAAGTAATGTATAAATAAAAACATTTTTTTAAAATTAATAATTAAAAAGAAAAGGAGACAGTATTTTGGATATGAAATTTCCGATAAAGGTATTGTTATTAACCTTTTCTCTCTTCACCTGCCAATTGCTCACACAACTATAACAGTTCTCCTTGTCACTGCCGTCAACGGCGTTCTCAATATTCATGAGTTTTTGTCAGTGCACATCACGGTTGATGTATTTTAGAAAAAGGAGCATCTCGAGTTTAAAATACTGGTGAATTGGAACAGTATTTTTTTTTTTCTTAAAAAAAAAAAAACATCTTTATGTGTTTCAATTCAGACTTTTTTTCACTTGTTACTAAATTTTATCATCTTTGTCCTTGATTGTTTGCATGATTGCAAATGCTGAAGCAATATTGGCCATGATGTTGGTAACTTGGTGTATACATGACATGAGATCACAGGGTATCGACTAATCAACTAAATGAATACAAAGGATACTCAAGATTGACCAGATATTCATGAAGTTGAAACACTGAACCACGTAGGCTACAACCCCTCAATATATATCCATCAAATTGAAGATAAACAGTACAGACAATCTCTGATGGTTTCCTTCAGAGACATTTTTTAAAACAGAACACAGCACCATAATCTACTCTGTACCTAGAAGCCACTATAACCAGTCCTTTATACATTAAACGAGCTCCATTAATTGCTGCGAGATATCTGCATAAAGTGAGAAACAGTATTAACTAATAAGCATGCGTAATCATAACTTCTTTTCCCAGAATTTTGAAAAAATGATTTGGCATGAATGTTAACAATGTAGATGGGCAAGTGATCTTAGCTCTTTATTCCATCAACAACTACTGTTGAATCTCGGAAAATTTCTGTCGAAATTTGGAAATTTATTTCTGCTTCAGCATAACTCTAAAATATGGAAGTCCAGTTACATTATCCTCTCTCGAAAATCAACCACACTCTACTTATCCATTACTGATGAACCAACCACTTTATAAATAAAAATACTATAAATTCAACGTTGTTTCTTGACAAAAGAAAAGGAAGGGATGAAGTGAGTGCAGAGTACCGCGAAGAATGGATGGTGTTGCCCCAAACTCTTGCCAGATATTGTGATATGCAGTTAGATCAACTTTCAGAAACTTTGAAGCAAGATACGCAGCTCCGGCAGCAATATGGTGAGGTTTATACTGAAGCCATAGAGAGCTTTGAAGCCTGCAAAACGATATTTTTCAGATTCAGAAAACAACACAAAGACATCATTATTGTGTTTTGCAAGCATCTCTTTACATACATTCAGAGATCTGCAAATATTAAACTATCTGAGAAAACAAGAACAGATATTCTTGTAAAACTTAACACATGTTTTCACTATGTTAGACATCATGTCAGCTGTTGAAATAAAAAATAAAAATTAGATAAGACGTACAAAATTGAACATTGATTCCAACTGCAAAACACAAATTTATTTACTTCTCCTTACCAACAAGAAAGGCAGCAACTCAGGAAGAATATTATTCATCAATCTCTGCACAAATGCTGGTAGAGTACCAAACTATAGCATTATCTTATACTCATCTAGAGAATTATTCAGATTTCCATGCCAAATATGCTGTGGGGGCTTTAAACTCCAGAAATCTATGTAATTAAAATCAGAAAGCATACACAGGGTGCTGCACGTTGCAAACAATGGAATCTTTCAAAGCTAATGCCAATGCAACATCTTCTGCGCTACATTTGGATCTGGACAGCCTTGCTAATATGGGAATCAGAATACTTGTGATGAATGCATCCTATTCTGCACTAGAGATTAACTCACTAAATCCTCTACCACTGTCCATATTGCAGGTGCAAATTGTAAGTTTAAGCATCATTACACAATACAGAGCATCAAAAAATGGAAGGAGAATTTGATTTATCCTTTCCCAACAAATAACAAAATAAAACAGAAAAACCTTCCTGATAATTTTAGTACAAAGCTGCAGCTAATTATAGATAAATAATTTTACCTCTATGTAGTCACAAGATAGAAATTATTTAAAAGATAAGATCCAACACCAAAATGGAGCCTTCCTTTACAACTTAAGTACTATTTTAGAGTTCAGACACTAAACTATCAATGCTCAAATGAGAATGTCATTTTCAAAGTGTGAATCGTGAATTGAGGAGTTAAAGTGAAGAAGAAAACTTAAATAAGATAAGTTGTCTACAACATGCATTTCCATATTTATTAGAAAATAGAGAATTTATTGCAAAAATTACATGGATTTTCATGAAAAGTTAGCGCTGGAGTAGGAGGATGGTTTTTGGAAGCCATGGCTAAGATTCAAGGAGCTCTTGATACCATATTAAGAGATAAACAGAAACAAAAATAGAGAAAGGAAAATTCTGTATTGATTATACTGAGTTTGTACAAGTGATAAGCTTATGTTTACAGCAACTACATACAGACTACAGAAACTCATCTAACTCACCAAGTCAGTTATAGCAACAACCTGACAGTGACATACTAAAAGAAATAAACAAATAATAACAGCTGAAACAAACTACCAACCAAAATACAACAGATAAAAAGAATTATTCACTCACAGCTCCCACAACATTTGACCCAAATAAATGAAATGTGATGACTGGACTTATCATTTAAAATGATGACTTTCCAGTTAATAAAGCCTGAACTATAATTTTTTTAATGAAAATTTTGAAATATTGTATGACTAAGGAAGAAAAAATTCAGAGATCCTTCAAATTGAGGGAATTATTCGAGACAAAATTTGATAATTGAAACTACAGGATTTTAGGCTTATGGAAACCAAAGGTCGTGTATACACATAACCTAATAGCTCTCCAATTAAGGTTTTCAACATAAAGCTTAGGATCCCATAACGTATGATTTAATCAAATCCCGGACAACAATTTCCCACCTATCGAAAGTATATACCACAATAACTTCAAACGAAAACCTTATTGCTCAAAAAAGGTGAAATTCTTAGTTCTGAGTGACCAGATTCAATAGTATTGTTACTATTCTTATTGATTTATACATATCATCGAATGACTAACAACCATTTCACATGTATTATTGAAAATGATTGCCAGTTAAAACTCAACTTCACATTTCCATGACAATCTTTGTTGAATATAGAAGAAATAGAGTTTGAGATTAATCTCCCTTGTGTATAAATCACACATAGGGTAGTTTATTTATAGTAGAGAGATACAACTAAAAGAGTAACTGAAAGTAACAGAATAAACAGAAGATATTGTTTAATATTGTAGTTAACAATATCTAACAATATCTTAATATCAAATAATATCTAAACAATATCTAACACTCCCCCTCAAGCTAGAGCATACAAATCGTATGTGACAAGTTTGTTACAAATAATATCAATTCTAGGATCCCGTAAAAATTTAGTAAAAATATCTGCTAACTGATCACTTGAGTTAACAAACTCAGTCTTGATGTCTCCAGACATAATCTTTTCTCGAATAAAATGACAGTCAATCTCAATGTGTTTGGTCCTCTCATGAAAGACAGGATTAGAACTAATATGAAGAACGATCCGATTGTCACACACAAGTGACATTTGAGTGACATCTCCAAATTGTAACTCTCTAAGCAATTGCTTGATCCAAACAAGTTCACAAGCAAGTGAGGCCATAACTCTATATTCTCGCTTCGCACTAGATCTTGCCACAACACTTTGTTTCTTACTTTTCCATGAGACCAAGTTACCACCAATGGAGATAATATCCAGGATGTAGATCTTCTATCCGAAGGAGATCCCGCCTAATCGACATCCGAGTAGCAAACAACTCTTGTATGGTTATTAGAATCATATAACAATCATTTTCCAGGAGATCCTTTAATATACTTTAAGATACGAATGATCGCATTCCAATGATCTTCACATGGGGAATTAAAAATTGGCTTACCACACCGATCGCAAAGGAAATGTCGGGATGAGTAACTCGTAAGATAATTCAATTTTCCAACCAATCTTCTATACTCGCTCAGGATCGGTATAAGCTCCCCCGATTTGGTAGAAGTTTAGTATTGGGATCCATGGGCGTATCAATTGACTTTGAATTCATCAACCCAGTTTCCTCCAAAATATCCATGGCATACTTCCTCTGAGATATAATACCATCATTGGACTGTGCCACCTCAATACCCAAGAAATATCTAAGTTTGCCAAGATCTTTGGTCTAAAAATGGTGACAGAGATGTTGTTTCAAATGAGAGATGTCATGGTTGTCACTACCTGTAAGAACGATGTCATCAACATATACTATCAAGTAAACACATCCAGCACTTGAGTGTCGATAAAAGACAGAGTGATCTGCTTCACACCGAGTCATACCAAATTGTTGAACAACCTTGCTAAACTTTCCAAACCAGGCCCTAGGAGACTGTTTTAGGCCATATAGGGATTTGCGAAGACGACATACCATCCCAAAAGACTCCCCCTGAGCAACAAACCCAGGAGGTTGCTCCATATAGATTTCTTCTTGCAAATCACCATTGAGGAAAGCATTTTTAACATCTAGTTGATAAAGAGACCATTGTTGAAGAGCGGCCATGGCGATAAATAAACGAACAGAAGTCATCTTTGTCACAGGGGAAAAGGTATCTCCAACCCAAAAATTTGAGTATAACCTTCGGCCACAAGACGAGCTTTGAGGCGATCATTAGTACTATCAGGTCCAACTTTGATAGCAAACACCCACCTACAACCAACAACAGATTTTTCAGACGGTAACGAGACCAATTCTCAAGTTCCACTATTATGAAGAGCACTTAGTTCATCTAACATGGCCTGACGCCAACCAGGATGGGCTAAAGCTTCACGGACAGTTTTTGGAATGGTCACAGAAGAAAGAGAGGAAAGACATGTATAAAAAGATAATGACAGTCGATGATAACTCAAACCAATATAATGGGGAGAGGGATTACGTGTAGAACGGATACCTTTTCGGAGGACAATGGGAAGGTCAGACTCAGGTGTCACATCCGGAGGAGACAGAGTAGTTGACACTTGAGTAGAGTCACATGGTGGTGGTTGTGATTGGTTTCGGCAACTATAAACCTGAAGAGGTAGTGAAGAAGAAGCTGACTGCGGAGTAGAAACTAATGGTGAAGAAAACACAATTAAAGGGTCACAAACAACAGGAACATTAAATGTACTAGGAGTGTTGACGAGATTGGATGGAGAAAGAGGTGAAGATTGACTTTTAAAATAAAAAGAGAACTCATCAAAGGTGACATCTGCAAACACAAAATAACGGTTAAGAGAAGGAGAAAAACATTTGTATCCTTTTTGTGATCTTGTAAACCGTAAGATAACACATTTATGTAATCTAGGAGAAAGCTTGTCAAGACCAGAACTGAAATTATGAACAAAACATGTAGACCCGAAAACTTTTAGAGGTAAGGGATGAAGTGGTTCATGAGGGAATAAAATGGAATGAGGTATTTTATTATCTAAAACCAAAGATGGCATGCGATTAACAAGATAACATGCACTAAGAAGAGCATCACCCCAAAAATGCTGAGGAACCTCTCCATGAATTAAAAGAGTACGAGTTGTTTCAATAAGATGTCTATTTTTACGTTCAGCTACACCATTTTGTTGAGGTGTATAAGCACAAGAAGTTTGATGCAAAATACTATGAGAAGCCATGAATTGTTTAAAAGAATGAGAAAGATATTCTCGACCATTATCACTGCGCAAAACTCTAATAGAAACACCGAAATGAGTTTGAATTTCATTGAAAAAAGTTTGAAAGATATGAAATAATTCAGAATGATTTTTCATTAAAAATAACCAAGTGCATCTAGAATAATCATCAATGAAAGTAACAAAGTATTGAAAACCTAAAGTAGACTTAACGCGGCTAGGTCCCCAAATGTTAGAGTGAACCACGACAAAAGGGGACGAAGCACCACGTGTGACACAACGAGGAAAGGAAGTACGACTATGTTTGCCTAATTGACACGACTCACATGCCAAACTAGACAATTTAGATAAGGCAGGGACAAGTTGTTGTAACTTGGCAAGACTTGGATGACCTAACTGAGCATGGAGAAGAGAGGGAGACTTTATAACTGCACCAACATGTGTAAAGGGACGAAGATGATAAAGATCATGAGACTCACATCCTGTGCCAATCACCTGTTTCGAACTCCGGTCCTGTAAACACACAGAATTGTTGGTAAAAAAAACAACACAATCAAGAGAACGAGTTAGACGACTGATGGATAACAAGTTAAAAGGAGACACAGGGATATAAAGAACATTATCAATGGTTAAAGAAGGGAAAAGTTTAACAGTTCCAACACCATGAGATGATACTCTAGAGTCATCAGCCAATGTAACAAAAGGTAAAGGATCAGAAGAGGATAAAGAGGAGAACAAAGATTTGTTATCAGTAATATGATCAGTGACTCCTGAATCAAAAACCCAAGGATCAGAAGAAGATTGGGTCAGACCAGCAAAAGATGTACCTGTGTGTGCGACAGGCACAGTGGAACTAGAAGACTGTTGATCCTTATACCATTTGAGAAATTTGTTGAACATAACAGGTGTGTCTGATGAAATAGAAGAAGGAGATCCTTAGCAGATAAAGGTGGGGAAAGATCAGTCTGAGCAACTGCAGCAGATCGAGGAGGACGACCATGTAATGCATAACACTTGTCAATCTTGTGACCTAGTTTGCCACAATGTTCACACTCATGTAATGCATAACACTGGTCAATCTTGTGACCTAGTTTGCCACAATGTTCACACTTAGGACGCCCTTTTCCCTGTTTGCGAGGGCGAGTTCGGTCATCACGGTGAGATACCAATACAGAAGCAGGTATGTCAGGGTTGGGTTTTGCTGGTATACGCAAAAGAGTGGAGCAGGTCGATGTCAAGGTGGGGACAATCGGAGAACCCAAAATCTGATCACGAATATGTGAATATTGATCAGCAAGTCCGTGTAATGCCCCTAGCATGAAGAACTTTGATCGTTGTCCTATCTCGGTGGCAGGGTCGGGGGAAGGAGGCAATAACTCATTGAACTAATGAAAAAGAACATGAATTTTGCCCATATAATCAATCATAGAATATTGATGTTTAGAGGCAATAACATCTACAAATTTAGAACAGACATCATAGAGACGTTGAGTATCATTGGTGTATAATAACTTGGCATGTTCCCAGATTTTGGCACATGTTTCGTAGGAACGAAAAATTTGTTTTAACGAAGGATCAAGAGTACCCTTGAGAACCACACATAATTGAGCATCAATGGTGTCCCAACGGTCTTCCTCACTAGGAGTGAGAGTAGGTGCTTTCGGGGCAAGATGATCAAGATAATTCTGACTCTTAAGCCATAATCTGACGTCTGATGACCATGTGGCATAATTAAGGCCAGTTAACTTGACAATGGATAAGTGCACATTAACATAGTTAATGTAGATGGAAGGATCAGACGCAATACTGACAGAATTGGAAGTACTAAAAGGAGCAGAAGAAGTCATAAAGGGCGGAGGCGATAGTGACAGCGGCGTGAACCAGTACACCAGGTAAGTTCCCAGGTAAGAGAGGTGGGTCACTAATGGACACGCTTAAATACCAAGTCTTTCCTTGTCAGAACTTTCCTAGACATGCACTTTCATACTACCAAATAACTGACAGCGATAGTGGTGGTGGCGGCGGCTTCAATAGTGGTCAAAGGCGAAAAAAAAAAATTCAAAATAACCTTAAGCTCTAGATACCATGTTGAATATAAAAGAAATAGAGTTTGGGATTAATCTCCCTTGTGTATAAATCACACATAGGATAGTCTATTTTTAGTAGAGAGATACAACTAAAAGAGTAACTGAAAGTAACAGAATAAACAGAAGATATTGTTTGATATGGTGGTTAACAATATCTAACAATATCTTAACAATATCAAATAATATCTAAACAATATCTAACAATCTTAATAACTAATCTTAATGTCAATGAACAATGAGATTACAATTTTTGATCATATGGAAAATCCATCTGAGGACATTAACAAGAGCAAGCTATCAAAGTCTGCTAAAAAATAGTGAGGTTAAATCAAAATGAAGACCTTAAATGTTTCAACATATAATATGGAAATTTAAAACACCCAGGAAAAGAAAGTAATCCAAGTAACCAAAATTCAACGTGGCCAGAAAAGTGAAGGGGGATTGAGACACCTTGCACAAACCCAAAGATCGGCCCTCCAAAATAATAAAGGAATCAGTTTAAAACAAAAGGATTTTATTTATCAGCACTTTCAAATTCAAACAACAGTTTTCGTAAAAATTAAAAAATAATTAATAAAACAGGTTGAAAACAATAAATAAAAACCTAAAACCAGAAGAGCAAATATAGAGAAGACAACCCAGTACATGAGTTTCCTGTACTTGGGCTTGGGAAGGTATATATATGCAACATTACTCTGGAGAGACTGTCTCCAAGGTACCATTTTTGAAAAATTAAATGTTTTTTTTTTCTGCTCATTATATTTAAAGTGAAAAGATACTTATTTGGCCTCGTCAAAAAGACATTATTCTCTCCTAAGAAAACATAAACTTATTTGGCTAAGTCATCAGAATAAATAAACCACAAAGCATGAAAGGTCTGTCAGAAAATCCAGTTTAGAGGTATAGTAGTAGGGCTATCTTGGATAGCCAAAAGAAAGTTTGTTAGAACTTGTTTAGATAAACTTCTTCTTCCTAAGCATTCTTAAAGAAGAAAGTAAATAAATAAACTACTCTGCAAATTAAAATTAGTTAATGCATAAGTTAAAAATAGACTTTTGGAGAAGCTAATATGAGAGAAGTTCGATAAAGTAGCGTATGCATAAGCTAATACTAACTTGTGATGAAGTTAATTTCATTCCACCAGCATGAATGCTAATTCTGACGAATAGATAGCAGGTAAACCCACCGTCATAAAAGTACTTCACACCTCTCCTGTTGTGGACTACTTGATTTCTACTTCTCAGCCTGGCTAACAGTCCTTCCACCAGTCATTGAGTCAGCCCCTAATCCTTCTTCGGATGCAAGTTTTACCTTCTTATTTTATTCTACTAGAAGATCTTACACAAAGTTTATCAAAATAGGACCTTAGGGTATAGCAATCCATTAGACATCAGCAGTTTCACTTTCAGATGTTAAACAAAATGTTCAGTGAACGTTGAACAGCATATCAACCCACCAGCTAAATATATCATTCAGGGTAGCATGCTAATATTGTGAAGATCCTGCACTATATGCATGCCAAAAGAATCAATATTTCATGAAAGGATAATTGCAAGGAGAAGTTGCTCTAAAGAAAAATACGAGAGATTAAACACAACCTTGAACCAAAAATTAGAAGGGAGTCAAGAAAATGTACTATCATTTTTACGGCAATTGCTGTTTTAGATTATATGAGCCAAGTCCAAACCAACGAAAAGGATGTCTAAAGAGGACATCAGGTTGAAACAATACATACGCATGCAATCAAAACAGGCTGAAGGGAAAGGAGGTGTATATCTATCTGATGGGTTATCTGCACCCAAACCCGAGCCCAAAATCCAACAAGTAGGCTTAAGGCTGAAAAAGTATAATAGTTCTGGAGAGGAGTTAGTTACTGAAGAGAGAACTGACATATAAGGGGGGTCACATAGCGATCATGTCATCTCTATTTGTCGCTTACAATTTGGGCTAGGAAGTTTTTTCCATAGCTGGGAGCTCTTTATTTCTGTAATTAATCTTTACTTCTCATCAATAAAATACATTCTGCCAACTAGATAGGTCCAGATCCTATCATTTGGTGTTTTCATAAAGAAGCAGTTGTGAGCGAGAATCCATTGTACGCAAACTTGTATGGCTTCTCAATGAATTGACACTTCAGACACTCACATGGTAACTGTTGAATCCACTGTCAAAAATCAGGAGGAAGTACTGATGTATAATCATTATTTGACACTGAAGGAACATTATGGTACGGCTGAATGATCATTCAGCTCAGCTGGGTTCCTTGCAGACCAGCATTGAGGATATTACCAAGTCCTTTGTGGCTTAACATTTAAAGGTACGACAGGGATTGCAGTCCCAACAGAAGAATTTGGATTCCTCATCAGCCAGCTCGGGTGTTAGGGATAATTGCTTCAAACACCTATTGCCTCTAGGTAAATTGTGCTTCCACCCCTCTATGTACGAGGATGATTCAATCGGGAGGATTTCCTGCACATAAATGTATTTCATTGTGCAAAACCACCACCAGAGCCGTAAGTACAAGTGGCACAAATATGTATGGAGAGATTGAGGGAATGACATGGCTTTGTTCAAGGTGCTGAAGGAGGAAGAACTAGGATTGGACTGGGAAAGACGCACATGAGCTCCTTGTGACTAATATGGCAATCATTATACAGGGAGCCAGATCTTGCAATCAAAGGTGCTTTTCTAGGATGGAACAGTGAATAATAAGTGGACAAGTTTGAGATGCTTGCTTCTCAAATAAATAACATTTGAATTTGATTGGGGCTTTGGGCACAGATAATCCATCAGTATCAGAAAAAATTTGGTCCACAAAATGAATGGAAAAGCAAACATACTGCAGCATTTGCAGAGAGCATAAGAGCCAACAAATATGAAAACTCACCCTTTGCTGATCAAGTTCAATGCCAGATTCACCAAAACAGTCTTTGATGGGCCTAATTTGTCAAGGATAGATGTAAGAGGTGCATATGGATGCTGCACATTGAGTTCAAAATTTAAAGTAGTAAGCAATAATAGCTCAGCCTCAAGCACCCGGTCATGATACTTTTCAAACCAATCCTGAAAAAAAATCAAGTCAATATAAGTGAAAATTTTAAACTTAAAGAATCTTATTCCAAAGAAGAACCTGTCCAAGAGATACTTTAGTATTGGAGAATATTTTAGAAGCATGAAAGAAAAATTTTGACTTATTTGAGCTAACATGCTGCTTAAATAACACTTTGCATCTAAAAATTTATTGCAGATCAGCAACCATATCCATGAGTAATATACATATCTAATACATCCACATAAAATTCATAAGGATTCTATTATTTGTATTTATTTATTTTTTGCTTCTCTCCTACCAGCAATATGCTACCAAAAGAAGTAAGAAAATGTGCATAGTTTGAAGTCTACTCACAAGAGGAAGCAGATAGGACAGCAAAGTAAAATCTTGTTTATGTAAGAATTCACTGGATGCTCTCAACACACTATTCAAAGGGCATGGTGTTTCCTCCGACTTTCCGGCAAGAAAAAGGGCAGCAGTAGCAATTAACTGTGGCAGAGCACAATCAAAATTAGTTAAATCACATGTTGTCGGTCTATAGAGAAACAACTTGGAAATGCAGGTATGAAATACCACATGTCATTGTCACTGCATATTTGTTTAAATAAAGTAAGTTAGGAATCGCACACATATGTCTACAAGGATTAATGGCCATTTCAAAATAATCACTGTTCCCGTCTTTAACATAAACCATATCACATATTTCAGACATTTTGAACACTCCTAACTAAAGCATGCAAAAAAAAACACATTTGTATACTACTACGAAGTAAATAGATGAGTCATGGTATATCTCTAACCAAAAGTAAATGATGGTATTTCATTAACTAATGATATTTTTTGAGTCACACACTCTTCCTTGTAACTAAAAATTTGAGCTTTTGTACTAGTTTGATACTAATTTTATATATTTCAGTCGTCATTTATCTAAAATTCGTCATTTCCTGCATCCATGTTGTATTGTATTTTTCTTATCCATACTTCCAAAAGAAAATCCATCATAATATTTGTGCACTTCTCAAAGTATGACAAATTCCACGATCATTGTAGTTTTTTCTGTGATCATGTAAGAAATAAAGTAGGTACTCATAATTAGAGGGCAATTAGACTAACAAATCTGTCATGGCAGGCGTGAGATTGTCGAACAAAAAAACGGTGGCACAGAACCATGGCTGTCCCGATAGTAGTTTGAGGCCTGCAAACGAACATATCAAACTATAGACAGGTACTAGACAAACAACTAATTGATAACCACATGTAAGAATATCATAAACATATATCCGTAATTTTGCTATGTTAATTGTTTAAAAAAACACAAAGCATGTGACCTGCAATGTGAATCTTACAAGTTAAGCCACATCCCAAGATTTTGAAGGAAAGCACAGTACGAGTAGCGCAAGTGTGTCTCATGAAGTACGTCAATACCATCTTTTCTTGATGGAGAACATCTATCAATCTCATCCCTTGACATAAACACCGGCTCTTTATCTTCAAATATAGAACAATCAAGCTTGCAGATAGGTGATATAGAGGTATCAGCATTGGATCTTGTAGGAGGTTCTTGGAAGTTAACAGAGGTAGGGATATTGCCTTGGGCAGTGGATGGAAGATAGTGTTTCTGACTGTTTTCCCAGCTAGGAGCTGGATGTTTTCTCCTTTTCGAAGATGAAGGTCCAGCATCATACTGAACATAGTTACCGTTATCAAAGTTGTGAATATTAGAATAGACACCGTGTTCTGCCCAGCAATGATTACGAATGTCATAATTCCCATGATAATAGTTGATCCTGCTTCGCTTCCGGTTGCCATTATTGTTGTTTCCATCAAAGGTGGGCCAATAACCACCATGTTGATGTCCTTGTGCTTGCAAATTCCATCCAAAAGACATACTTCCTTCCTGCAAAACCATAATCAATCACCTGTTTATTGGTGATGAGATGACTGATTTTATTTTATCAATCTTCTCGTATTTCTTCTATTCTACAACATACCATCTCTACAATCAAATTTCGATTTCATCATTCGCATCCTATAACGCCACCAACGAAATTTCAATAATTTAGTGTCCAAACCGATAACTAAAAGTTCAGTGCCAGAAAATCCAATTTGCCTTCCCAAACTTATATAACAGAACTCAACATAAAATTCCTGAATGCTAGCATCAAATGGCATAGAGGATAAAAAATCGTAGAATTAGATTGTGGAAAATTCATCATCGTTCACATCTTGTGGAACATAAGAGGTGACAAAAAAGAAAAAAGAAGAAAAACAAGATGAGGAAAATCCAAGGTGATAAATGAGAATGGGTGATGGTTTACCTAATTGAGCAGAGGAGCAAATCTGGGAATATTAGTATGAAATCAACGTTTAGAAATTGGAATTGGAATGAAAAATCAGTTATTAGAGAGATGAACAAGGAACACCCTTGCGTTGCGCTTCTTTGAAATTTGAAGATCAAGGGTAGCTCAGATAAAAAAAAGCTTAACTTCCAATTTGGTTCAGGAAGGCATACAAGGTTTCTTTTCTTTTTTTTAGTTAATTACTATTTCTTTTTACTTTCACGAGTAATCAAAATTAATTTCCTGGAAATTTATTTACTTGTTTTAAAATTAATTTATTCTTTAGATATTTAAGGTTTTTTTTTTAATTTGTATTTGAAACAATTATAAAAAAGTTAAAAAAAAATAAAAAATAGTGGAGATCTAATAAAAAATTTAGAATTTTATAAGACTTGAAATTAAGATTTGCAGACAAAAAATTATAATTTTTATTTAAACTGAAATTTAATATTTTAATCTTTGAATTTTGAATGGAAGACAATCGTTTTATTTGAAAAATCAATTCAAATTTAAATCAAAGAAATTTAATAAACAATGAAATTTACTTGTTTAAAAAATAAGAAAACTTAACTAGTTAAAAAAATAATGCACATAAAATTACACGCATTTGTTGAATATTTAAGATTAAAAATATATTTATTTATTTTTATTGAATTTTCAATACAATCACTTAACATAATTTTTTCCTTACAAAGATTCTAGTATTTTGTTAAGGAAAATCTGACACAAAGGTAACAAATTTCTAATTTGACGAGTTAGAATATTCATAACTTTACGTGATTGGATTGATAGAAGAATCCGAATGAATAAAATCTTCCCACTCCCAGTTCATTCATTCGTTGTAACAGTTTAAATTGAAGTAAAAAAAATTAACATCCTAAAACTTACAGCTATAAATAAAAATGATCTCATCATAATAATAAGTAATGATGACTACTTTCATTATAGACTAACTAACCTATATATTGAAACATCAAGTTACCCTTACTCTATATTATTTGAATCTTTAATAGAACCTATGTATTTCCTTTTAGATTCTAACTAAATACACATATTCCACCTTATCAAAGAATACTACTTATATGATAACTATTTGTATTTCTATGTTATAAGTAACTTAAAACTCTATTCATCAAAACTCACAATTCAAAACCATATATTTAATCTAACACTGTTCATAATATGTATTAATTTAATTACATCATATTATTTTAATATTTATCTTCATGTTTTTAATACAAATAATCAAAGCCTTTAAAGGCATATACATATATTTTCTAATGAATCCCTCTTTAAAAAAAATTAAAAGCGTTGAATAATTTTTAAATTTTTTATTTCATAACTCAACTTTGTACAAATTTTGATAATTTACTAAATCAAAAGTTACGTCATTTTTTTTCTCACTACCTATAACTTGTTGACAAAAATAACAAAATATTTTTTTTGGGTTAAAATAAAATAAAAAAGTAGAAAGTGAAATTAATAAAAACTTATAATCAATTTGATTGATATAATGAAATAAAAAATATACTGATTAAGTAATATAATAAGTAAAATGTATTTTTCTTAAAATTCAATAAAAATAAATATAAATTCAAAAAGAAAAACATAAAATAGTTACTTCTTATCTTTTCAAATGATCTACAAAATATTATTTTAAAATAAATTTAAATTATCTAAATAATTAATTATAGAAATGCATGTAATCAAATTTTGTTTCACATGCTAAAAAAATCAAATAAAAAATAAAACACATTAAAGTGGCACATATAAAAAAAGTAATAAAAATAATTATATTACAATATTAGTATATTTAAATCAATTTAAAAAATTATTTAAAAACTTTTATTTAATTACAAAGAAAAAATATAATATCCAACCAAATATAAATATAAATATTAATTTACATATATAAAATATAAAAGAACAAGTAGTTAAATAAAATAATTAAAAAAGTATTTTTCTTGTAAATTACTGTTTTTTCTTGTTGTATATAATAACAAGATTATAGAATATGTGATAATTATGTTACTTCAGTTTCCTTATAATACTATAACTTCATATAATTATAGAACAACTCATCAAATGTAACATAATTTTAATTGAAGAGTTATTCTAATTCATAAAATTTAACTACTAATTCACAATACAAAATCATTCATATTTATACTATTAATATTTGTGATGAACTCTAATTTAAAAAAAATCACATATTTTAATGTAAAATACTATTATTATATTAAAATAAATAACTATTTTTTCTTACATAAAACAAATGAACTATTCAAGTATAACTACATAATAGGTCCAAAATTGTTTATGGAAAACAAAATCAATAAATCTAATACACTACTACGAGCCTAGATAAGAAAAAATCATTATTTTACCATAAATTCTGCATGCAACTACATTACCCATCACAAAAAAAATAAAAAATAGAAATGAGTAAAAAAAATTATTATACAACGTGATTCTCCCAATGCAATGTGATTATACTTTTATGAATGAATCATCTTTAAAAAGTTAAAGCACGTATTTTTATTATTATTAAACTAAAATAATTAATGATGGGTTATCATTATCTTTTTTATAATGAATATATGTATGTTTAGATTTGTCCATTTAAAACAAAAATATTAGAAATATTAAATAAAACGTATTTATTTATTTATTTATTTTATTAGAGAAGTTGTTGATTTTGTGTAATAGGTAATTAGATAGATCATAAATTTTTAAAATGTAATTTTATTAAAATTATAAATTTTAATAATTTTTATTAAATATTTACAATATTTATAAAAATATTAAAATAATTTAATAATTTAAAATATATTTAATTAATAAAATAATTAAATAATGATTATATTATTATTGTTATTATTATTTATTAATTTTGGTCATGTATTTAACATAAAAAATGGGACACAAAATTAGTAAGATAAGATTTGAATTAGATATAACTTTATTATAAATAAAATTCTAAATCAATTTATTCTAATTAAACTAGTTTATACTGCTCCTTAATCCTAATAGAATGCACCAAAAAAACACACTGAAATTTAATTTGAACAATTTTATTATTAACTACTTTTTGTTCTTAATTTTTTTTTTTCTGAGGTGTGTTTTAGTTAAATACTAGTAAATGATGAACATTGGTGCACAGTAGATTTGAATTTTTAAAGTAATTTAAAGTCCGCGTTGTTACAGTAGGTCTTTCGTACGTATCTTTATTGCATCATTGTACATTTCTCACATTAATAGCATGTCTCCATTTGTCATCACTGGGTTTCCCCATTGTAACCCACTCACTCACCATGAGTTTTTAGATTAATCTGGACTCTCTATTGTTGTGGTAGATCTCCTTCACTGACATAACCTTTTCAGTAGAATTTGAGTTGGGCGAGAAGAATCCAAGCCATGTTGATGACATTGAAGTGGACCATCCACTATGATTTCCGGAACGTCACTTTTGAACCAGATTGTCTTGATTTGGTTGGAGAAGTCAATGGTCATATGAAGCTGCTCCTATTCTTACAATATTATGAAAATGAGGGTTTTTAAATCCAAGATGCGGGTAAGAAAGTTATTTGTTATCCAATCAAAGAACTATACTCAAAATTTGTTATTTCCATTTTTACTATCATATTCTTTAAATGAATTTGACATCATTTTCTATCTATTATCAACAATTTTTCAAAACAATTATTAATAAATTTAATCACACTAATTGATTTTTGTTTAGGTAAACGATAAATGAAGTTTTTCTATTTTATTTGATGATAATTAAATCATGCTACCTTGTAAACAAAGCATCATAGTCGGTCACCCCACCGGTAATGCCACGAATCCTGCTGCAAATGCATATGCCCCACTATGCTAATTCAGATTCGATTCAAATTATCTGTCAACAGTGACAAGAAACTGCGAATGACATGACTCCAATGTCTACGCAGACAAACCAACAATCTGGTTTCTGTGTTAGAAGAGGTTTTAATCACTGCTACCAAACTTATTATTTTTTCAGCAAACATCATTCACAACAATCTTCACCCACCAATGCAAAAACTACTTCTATCTTTCCCATATGTACATTTTTCTTTTACTAATAGTCTATAACATGTTTCACTGTATATAACCATATTAAAACCATCTTCACAATCTTTATTACCTCTAATTACATCTTTAGCCTTTGTTAATTTCTAAATTAATAAATGATACAAAATTTCCAGCTCATGTGGTTATTTTTCTTCTAACAGTTTATGTGAATCAAAATTTATTTTATCTCTTTAATTACCTCCTGTTTCAACGCCTGAAGCACGTGACAGAAGGAGAGAGGTCACACATGAGAAGGCGAACTTAGATCCTTTCACAAACTCCACCTCGCCCATGTGAGTCAGTGTCGCCAGCCTTTATTATCTCGCATGAGAAGCGGCCCTTGTTCATGAAATCATAGAAAAATCAAACACGCTCCTACCCCAACTTATTTTGTCTTATGCGATTCCTTGAGGAGCTACCATTTTTATTAATCATACATTACATACACTCCCCTTCACCTTATAAATGGGAGGGAGGTGCTCTTTCTCCAAGTTTGGGTGCTATATCATACACCAGTGTTCATGGAGTTAGGACTTGTAATGAACGAGAGAAGAGAGATGGGAAGGAGAAGAGGGAAAGAATCCAAATCATACACGCTTCCCTCATCACCCTCTCACTCTTTCTCCTCTTCTTCCTCCTCAGACTTCGAGTTCACAATCTCAATCTCGCCGCGTAAATCCTCCACCACACTCTGCCCAGCAGATGAACTCTTCTACAAGGGCCAGCTCCTCCCTCTCCACCTCTCCCAACGCATTTCCATGGTCCGCACGCTCCTCCTCTCCTCCGCCAGCACCTCCTCCGCCTCCACCGCTGCACGGGACTCCACCGGCAGCAGCTCTAACGACTCTCACTCTTCCTTCACCAGCGACCTCGCGCTTTTTCCCGACTGTGATTCTTCACGTCCCAGTTCCGTAACTGAGGAAGACGAATTCAAGCGCCTCAACAACAGTAACAGCAACAGCGTCAACAATCCATCTCCTATCTCCAAAAAGTCTAACAAGTACTTCTCCTTCTCCAGATTCTCCTCCGTCTTCCGCAAGGAAAACAACGGACCTGTCAAAACCCGTGACCTAGACAACGCCTCTGCTAATAATTCCTCCGTGAAGCGAATGAGCGTCACGGCAAGGGAGGTTATCAGAAAGTATTTCAAGAAGGTCAAGCCTCTCTACGAGAAGCTCTCCCAGAAACAGCAGAGGACGGCAGCGGAGGGTGCAAATGCAATGACTTCAGTTTTTTCTCTTTTATCCAAGACGGAGAGATCTACCAAACTAACCGAGGATACCAAGAGAGGCAGAAAAGATGGCGTGGGTGCGCTTTCTCACTCTTTCTCTGGAAACCTCAGATACCCCAGGAGAAGAAGCTGTGTTTCGAGTTGTCCTTCTTCTATGAGATCATCCCCGAATCACTCTGGTGTTCTTTCTCAAAGAGGTGCTGCTATGTATTGTGGAGACACTTCTTCAATGGAAGAGTTGCAGAGCGCAATCCAAGGAGCTATAGCCCATTGCAAGAATTCTTTGATTCAGAACAAAACTATGGTCAGTAACGAAATCTAAATCTAATTAACCTAATCTAATCAAGTCAAATCGATTCGCATGCAGTTTCTTTCTTTTAACCTCTTTCATTCACTAGTCAATGTTTAAATCCATGCTCCATCTGATGAAATAATTAACCACAACCAATGGTCAATGCTCAAAAAATATTTTATTTATTTAATTTTTACCTTCAACTATATGGGGTGAGGTAAGAAAAGTGCATGTGACTATATTTGGAAGTTCCATTTGGATTTGGCAGCAAAGATGAAGAAGAAGGAAAAATGAAACTTTATTATCTGACTGTTTTGGTGGCCTTTGAAATTTGAAAAGTTATGGTCTGTATAATTTATTGCATAACAGTGACCTGGCTCTAGTTGTAGTAATTGCTCTGCAATGCTAAATTGGCAGCATGTGACTTGGAGTTTTATGGGATATGAGATTCCATTTGTAACATTACCTCAACAAGCCAACTTCTCAAAATCATTTTCATTTATCTAGTGTCATAATAATGTAGTTTTATTTTCATATTTTGGTATTTTGATCCTGAAAATCCAACTTGGTGTATACGCTAAAACTAATAAAAACAATAGTACATATTCAACTAGGGCTCGTGGTGCATGTGCGTAAATTGTAAGGAAGTTTCACCCTTTGTCCAATCATAAGGTGTTATATTAAATGTGTATTTATTGTTTGAGGAAACATGTAAGAAAGTTCTGTGCATCTCTCTGTCGGTTGAATCTCAATGCATCAATATTTAGAATTTTTAGTTAAGATAAATTATTTAATAAATAGTGAAATAAGTTTATTTGGGCTTAAATATATGTAAATCAGTTTTGTATTGTAGTAAAATATAATAAAAGTATATATTGTATTCAGAAAAATGCCTTCTGAATACCCTAATGGATGTCTATATAGATAAAGAAATAAAAAACATTATTGCATATTTAATTAGATAAAGCAATTAATGTATAAAAATCAAGATATAATTGTGTCGATTAGAACTATATAATCGAACTACTTTTTAAATCAATTAATTAGTTGATACAATTTAACTGTACTATTTTGAATGTCACATAAAGTGCTATTTTTCTTTTTTAACAGAAGTTTGTAATACATAACTTTTTTTTATCGTTTTTTTAATAACCTGATTGCATATTTATAAGTGGAAATGATAATAAGCACACGAAACATAATCATAACTAAATTGAGTTTATGTTCAGTAAACTTATTAATACTATTAAAAATACATGTGTTCTAATGTACACTTCTATTATATAAAAAATAAATTTTTCTTAAAAGAATAATTTGTATTTAAAAATGTCTGTGATGGTCGATAGATGATGTAATTAGTAAAGAGTACATTGTTATGTACTTTACTAAATAAATAAACTATTTTAATTTGTTAAAGGACAAAATTTTGTAATTAAAATGATACCAAAAATATTTAAAAAGATACTGTATTTTTTATATAAAGGTGTAAATTAAAGGATTTAAGATATACGATTTACATAATTCTAATAAAAAACGATTTATATATATATATATATATATATATATATATATATATATATATATATATATATATATATATATATATATATATATGATACATTCCAGAATAATAGTATTTTTTTAGTTTTTTTTTTCAAAATCAAACCTTTTAAAGTTTTTTTTAATATACCATATATCTAATTAAATGATAAATTAATAGAATACTTTTTACGTTAAAATAAGACAGAAAAATAGTAAAAAAATTTATTATTATGTTTGTTTAAATTTTTATTAATTCAATATTTTTGTAACCAACATGTGTCATAATTTTGAAATGCTTATTTTGGATTAAAAAAGTTATAATTTTATTCTGCAACTTCATGAGATATTTTTGGGTAAATAATGTTTGTTATAAACACCTATTCCTAATTGGAATAACACAAATTTTACACGAATATCGTGAAACTACTTTTATTGAATAGACCTATTGATTAGTCAATTTTTTTGCTAAAATTGTATGCCCAAACAAAATTAACAATTGAAATTAAAGAAGAGTGCGTAGACATAGATACTTATCGTTATGCCAGACAATACTCTTTTTTTTGTCTTGATGAAAATTGTTTCTGGATTTTGAAAAATATTATAAATCTTTTTTTTTTTTAATTTGAGTTTCGCTCTGTCTACTAAATTATATTAGTTTTATTTATGGTAAAATAATTACGACTTATAGAATTAATTTTGGTATTCAATAAATATTCAACACAACATTTTAATCTAAATGGATGGTTTCTGAAACCACTTGAAGTTTGTTAATGTAAGGTGAATTTGAAGTATTGAAAATTAAAATTTGTGGAGAAAGAAGGAAAGGGATTACATCTTGTCTCATTGAGCATTACGCTAACAAATGAAGTAAATGTGTTTTTAACGTATTGCAATCCAGTATTCCCTTTCTTACATTCTCTGTTCTTCTTCACGTGTTTAGGTAAACCATGCCTATTCTTGACAAAAACTTGTTTACGAGTTTCCCACTTGTCATGTTATCAAAACTGTTATCTATGGTCATTACTCATTTGGGTTTGCAGTGTGCCAGCACAAGCATTATTGGAACACATTTGATTATGGGTCTTGATCTGTTTGGTAACTTTGGAGTACATTGCATTCTCATGTATGGAGACTCTGCTATCTATTTCTGGGCTTCCATGGTATATTTGGTGATCGAAAGAAGATTAAAAATTTCATAAGAAGACATCTTTTTAAACTGTGAATCTTGTTTTGTGATCTCGCATGATTTTTACTATGAATTGTTGTATCATCCCTTGTCTCGAGATGTTACAATTAATACAAAGATTCACAACTCCTCAATTTGTTTTATTCTAATTGTCATTCCAACTCTTACTTCCTCAAACATTTTTTTTTCCTATCTTTTCACTATTAGACTGGAGTCACTTTTTTTAATGAGATATTTAATTAGGACGCTGATACAGATACATCCCAAAAAAGTAACTCTTCCAATGACACGTGACAATTTTTTAAAGTTTCAACATTTACGTGAAATTGAAAAAAAAAAATGAAAAATAGGGAAAAGTTATTGAAGTAAAAATTAAACATGTTGTTCATCTTTTTAGCAGTGGTCTCTCATCTCCTGCTGAATAGGTTCCATTGTTTTTGTCCTTCGATTTTAATTCATAGTGTGTGTTTAATTTTATTTTCTTTTTAAGTCGCGGTTTCATTCATCCTAGTGCTTGTGTCCATTTGGTCTCCTTTCACGGTAGTCTATGGTATGTTTTATTTTTTCATTTCAATAATATGAGTATCTTAACCATGGGGTGAGTATAGTGACTGTTTTGTGGGTTTAACAAAACACATTTATTTTTTTCTGGGTTACAGTGTGTTGAGATTGGTTGGTTGATTTAACAAAAGTTTTGAGACCCATTTAACAACACTGTGGATGTGGACAACAAAGGAACTTTTTTTCTTGCAAACCTTTATATTGCTTAACCTTTCATTATGGGCTGAGCAAAATTTTTAATTTGTCTTTTGAATAATTTCAACCACCTTTTAAATGAAATCCTAAACCCAATGTCAATCATATTTTTCCCATCATCAAAACGGCTTAGCCTTTCATTTGGCCTTTCATTTTAGATATTTTCTGCAACTAAACTGTTTAGCGGTCTTGTATAGGTTAAACGGAAACGTTATTGTTTTTGTCTCTTCAATTTTCTTACACCATTGAGAATAATATTTTTTTTAGGGGCTGACTACTAACTAGTTTTCTTTTTCTTTTATTAAGGACTTAGCAGATTTGTGAGGGTTGGACGAAAACAAATTCTTTTGTATGTGGAACTTAGTTTTCTACACCAATTTTTTTACACAAAAGCTACAACAAGAAACTGATATCATAATATAATACAATGATCACTATACCATGTCTTTCTATTAATGTTTTGACAATATTAACATGTAAAATAATATCAACCAATAACATAATGAAAAACATGTCAATTACATAAATCGCTAAATCTTATATCAATTCATAAAATATCATATTGTAATTAAACATCCAAAATGAATATTAAATACATAAATTTCAACCACACAAAATTTACAACAACTAAATATTTTCATGATAATATTATACTATATCCTAATAACAAAGTAGTTACAACAATAACTACATTTAAATGTACATAAAAATAATTACTTCAATAACTACATCAAATAATTTGTCTATGTGTACTTCATCTAGTATTATGATATTTAACTCATGGTGATTTTATTACTAAAATATGAACAAGTTTCCTAAGTTTTTGTTTCATGCGTTTATACATATTAAAAGTTTTTCCATCTACTACTTTAGTATCTTCATTCACATTATCAATGTCTTCATTTACTGTGTGTACCTTTTTAGTCAGGACTTCAAAATCAACATTTTTCTTGTACCCATCATTACAAATCGCTTGTTGTTGCTTCAAACATGTCTTTATCTCTAATAATTAGAGTTCAAGTTCTCTAATCCTTTTCTCGAAAACTCTATTCTTCTCCAACAACATTTTATTATCACCAACAATCTGCTTGATATGAGTTCCAGAAATATTGAAAAAGATAAAACTATTACTTTCTTTTGCAAATACATCCCTAACAAAATTACGTGCAACTTCTATATTTGTCATACATAGATTCTCCACAACCTATCATTCATATGGAAATATATATTCATTTTCATAATATATAATGACTAGCTAGAAATAATGATTACACCAATTATATATGTAACAAATTCTTGTTAAAATAAGCTGAAATAACTTTTTATTTTCACTGAAACATCTTTTCACTTCAAACACTAAGGGAATACAATTTTGCTTTCTACACACTTTGATGAAAAATTAACTACATGCTCAAAGACCTAAACCTAAAATTTCAATTCATTGACCAAAGTACATAACATATATAAAATTAACTTAATAATAACATTATATTTAAAAGTTAATAACGTACATGTAATACTATAATACATCTAACAATGTGCATTT